AGTCAGGACTAATATGGTCGTACTTCCTGGTTCTAGTCAGGACTAATGTGGTCGTACTTCCTGGTTCTAGTCAGGACTAATGTGGTCGTACTTCCTGGTTCTAGTCAGGACTAATGTGGTCGTACTTCCTGGTTCTAGTCAGGACTAATGTGGTCGTACTTCCTGGTTCTAGTCAGGACTAATGTGGTCGTACTTCCTGGTTCTAGTCAGGACTAATGTGGTCGTACTTCCTGGTTCTAGTCAGGACTAATATGGTCGTACTTCCTGGTTCTAGTCAGGACTAATGTGGTCGTACTTCCTGGTTCTAGTCAGGACTAATATGGTCGTACTTCCTGGTTCTAGTCAGGACTAATGTGGTCGTACTTCCTGGTTCTAGTCAGGACTAATGTGGTCGTACTTCCTGGTTCTAGTCAGGACTAATGTGGTCGTACTTCCTGGTTCTAGTCAGGACTAATATGGTCGTACTTCCTGGTTCTAGTCAGGACTGGAGCTGCTGCATTTTGAATGTACTGCAGCTGTTTTACAGCCTGTTTGGACAGACCTGTGAGCAGGCCATTGCAGTAGTCTAACCTACTGGAGACAAATGCATGGATAAGAATCTCCAAGTCTGCTTTAGACATGACTAGAGTGGTCTGAGCGTCATGTATACTGAGACTAGAGTGGTCTGAGCGTCATGTATACTGAGACTAGAGTGGTCTAAGCGTCATGTATACTGAGACTAGAGTGGTCTGAGCGTCATGTATACTGAGACTAGAGTGGTCTGAGCGTCATGTATACTGAGACTAGAGTGGTCTGAGCGTCATGTATACTGAGACTAGAGTGGTCTGAGCGTCATGTATACTGAGACTAGAGTGGTCTGAGCGTCATGTATACTGAGACTAGAGTGGTCTGAGCGTCATGTATACTGAGACTAGAGTGGTCTGAGCGTCATGTATACTGAGACTAGAGCGGTCTGAGCGTCATGTATACTGAGACTAGAGTGGTCTGAGCGTCATGTATACTGAGACTAGAGTGGTCTGAGCGTCATGTATACTGAGACTAGAGTGGTCTGAGCGTCATGTATACTGAGACTAGAGTGGTCTAAGCGTCATGTATACTGAGACTAGAGTGGTCTGAGCGTCATGTATACTGAGACTAGAGTGGTCTGAGCGTCATGTATACTGAGACTAGAGTGGTCTGAGCGTCATGTATACTGAGACTAGAGTGGTCTGAGCGTCATGTATACTGAGACTAGAGTGGTCTGAGCGTCATGTATACTGAGACTAGAGTGGTCTGAGCGTCATGTATACTGAGACTAGAGCGGTCTGAGCGTCATGTATACTGAGACTAGAGTGGTCTGAGCGTCATGTATACTGAGACTAGAGTGGTCTGAGCGTCATGTATACTGAGACTAGAGTGGTCTGAGCGTCATGTATACTGAGACTAGAGTGGTCTAAGCGTCATGTATACTGAGACTAGAGTGGTCTGAGCGTCATGTATACTGAGACTAGAGTGGTCTGAGCGTCCAAATGTCCGAGCGTAGATAGTCCGAGCGCAGATAGTCCGAGCGTAGATGGTCCTAGCGCAGATGGTCCGAGCGTAGACAGTCCGAGCGCAGATAGTCCGAGCGTAGATAGTCCGAGCGTAGATAGTCCGAGCGTAGATAGTCCGAGCGTAGATAGTCCGAGCGCAGATAGTCCGAGCGCAGATAGTCCGAGCGCAGATAGTCCGAGCGCAGATAGTCCTAGCGCAGATAGTCCTAGCGCAGATAGTCCGAGCGCAGATAGTCCGAGCGCAGATAGTCCGAGCGTAGATAGTCCGAGCGTAGATAGTCCGAGCGTAGATAGTCCGAGCGTAGATAGTCCGAGCGCAGATGGTCCGAGCGTAGATGGTCCTAGCGCAGATGGTCCGAGCGTAGACAGTCCTAGCGTAGATAGTCCGAGCGTAGATAGTCCGAGCGCAGATAGTCCGAGCGCAGATAGTCCGAGCGCAGATAGTCCGAGCGCAGATAGTCCGAGCGCAGATAGTCCGAGCGCAGATAGTCCTAGCGCAGATAGTCCGAGCGTAGACAGTCCTAGCGTAGATAGTCCGAGCGCAGATAGTCCGAGCGCAGATAGTCCGAGCGCAGATAGTCCGAGCGCAGATAGTCCGAGCGCAGATAGTCCGAGCGCAGATAGTCCGAGCGCAGATAGTCCTAGCGCAGATAGTCCTAGCGCAGATAGTCCGAGCGCAGATAGTCCGAGCGCAGATAGTCCGAGCGCAGATAGTCCGAGCGCAGATAGTCCGAGCGCAGATAGTCCGAGCGTAGATAGTCCGAGCGCAGATAGTCCGAGCGCAGATAGTCCGAGCGCAGATAGTCCGAGCGCAGATAGTCCTAGCGCAGATAGTCCTAGCGCAGATAGTCCGAGCGCAGATAGTCCGAGCGCAGATAGTCCGAGCGTAGATAGTCCGAGCGTAGATAGTCCGAGCGTAGATAGTCCGAGCGTAGATAGTCCGAGCGTAGATAGTCCGAGCGCAGATAGTCCGAGCGCAGATAGTCCGAGCGCAGATAGTCCGAGCGTAGATAGTCCGAGCGTAGATAGTCCGAGCGCAGATAGTCCGAGCGCAGATAGTCCGAGCGCAGATAGTCCGAGCGCAGATAGTCCGAGCGCAGATAGTCCGAGCGCAGATAGTCCGAGCGTAGATAGTCCGAGCGTAGATAGTCCGAGCGCAGATAGTCCGAGCGCAGATAGTCCGAGCGCAGATAGTCCGAGCGTAGATAGTCCGAGCGCAGATAGTCCGAGCGTAGATAGTCCGAGCGTAGATAGTCCGAGCGTAGATAGTCCGAGCGTAGATAGTCCGAGCGTAGATAGTCCGAGCGCAGATAGTCTGAGCGTAGATAGTCCGAGCGTAGATAGACCGAGCGTAGATAGTCCGAGCGTAGATAGTCCGAGCGTAGATAGTCCGAGCGCAGATAGTCCGAGCGTAGATAGTCCGAGCGTAGATAGTCCGAGCGTAGATAGTCCGAGCGCAGATAGTCCGAGCGCAGACAGTCCGAGCGTAGACAGTCCGAGCGTAGACAGTCCGAGCGTAGATAGTCCGAGCGTAGATAGTCCGAGCGTAGACAGTCCGAGCGTAGACAGTCCGAGCGTAGACAGTCCGAGCGTAGACAGTCCGAGCGTAGACAGTCCGAGCGTAGATAGTCCGAGCGCAGATAGTCCGAGCGCAGATAGTCCGAGCGTAGATAGTCCGAGCGTAGATGGTCCGAGCGTAGATAGTCCGAGCGCAGATAGTCCGAGCGTAGATAGTCCGAGCGTAGATAGTCCGAGCGCAGATAGTCCGAGCGCAGATAGTCCGAGCGCAGATAGTCCGAGCGCAGATAGTCCGAGCGCAGATAGTCCGAGCGCAGATAGTCCGAGCGTAGATAGTCCGAGCGTAGATAGTCCGAGCGCAGATAGTCCGAGCGCAGATAGTCCGAGCGCAGATAGTCCGAGCGTAGATAGTCCGAGCGCAGATAGTCCGAGATAGTCGAGAGTAGTCCGAGCGTAGATAGTCCGAGCGTAGATAGTAGATAGTCCGAGCGTAGATAGTCCGAGCGTAGATAGTCCGAGCGCAGATAGTCTGAGCGTAGATAGTCCGAGCGTAGATAGACCGAGCGTAGATAGTCCGAGCGTAGATAGTCCGAGCGTAGATAGTCCGAGCGCAGATAGTCCGAGCGTAGATAGTCCGAGCGTAGATAGTCCGAGCGTAGATAGTCCGAGCGCAGATAGTCCGAGCGCAGACAGTCCGAGCGTAGACAGTCCGAGCGTAGACAGTCCGAGCGTAGATAGTCCGAGCGTAGATAGTCCGAGCGTAGACAGTCCGAGCGTAGACAGTCCGAGCGTAGACAGTCCGAGCGTAGACAGTCCGAGCGTAGACAGTCCGAGCGTAGATAGTCCGAGCGCAGATAGTCCGAGCGCAGATAGTCCGAGCGTAGATAGTCCGAGCGTAGATGGTCCGAGCGTAGATAGTCCGAGCGTAGATAGTCCGAGCGTAGATAGTCCGAGCGTAGATAGTCCGAGCGTAGATAGTCCGAGCGTAGATAGTCCGAGGCGGTCCCGCAGGTCTCTCCCTCAGACCAGTCTCTCCAGAGGATACGATGTAAGCTAGCTCTGTTCAGGGCTTGGTTTCTTCTTTGATCATGTTGTGGCTTTAGTCCCTCTTCTCTTCCTCACTGTTGTGTGGTTTGGGCTGTTTTGCTGTGTCTGCAGTTACAGCCAGAGGAGTTATAGCCACTTATGCTAACATGCTACTGTGTTTAGCAGCGCTGTAGAGGCTAGAGGACGCAGCCTGTTCTGTGATTGGAGGAGAGCGGGCGTCACGCTAAGTCTCTACTCAGCACTTTTTTTATGAACTCACACAAAAATCAGGTATAGCTTCTTTAAGACAAAAGTGCTCTCAGTCTTAAATGAACAACTACTTCAGTAACGAACAGCTCAAAACGGTTATGCCTTTCGTAATTCGCTTGGTCTTTTGCAAAGCGGGTGGCAGCTTGCCCAGTCCGTCCTGGATTGTTCTCTGGCTGTTAGGCTGCGCGTGCACAACCTAAGGGCACGGTCAGAGCTTGGGGTCTAAAGTGTCAGAAGGGCCTAACTTCTGTTTCTCTTCCTGTTTACACAAGGCTACTGTGCGCTTTGCAATCAATGAGTACAAGTGTTGTAAGATGTGTCTTTCTCCAATGTGCAGCAGCTTAGTGTGTGTGTGTGTGTGTGTGTGTGTGTGTGTGTGTGTGTGTGTGTGTGTGTGTGTGTGTGTGTGTGTGTGTGTGTGTGTGTGAGACACGGGACCACACCTTGGAGTAAACTGTGTGAGTGCTGAGAAAGAGCGTGTGTATACAAAGTGTGGTGCACGAGGAGCCCAGAGCAGTTCTCACGGCGAGGTGGGTTGGTTAGCTCAGCCATGCTTGTTGTTGTTTTGTTTTTTCTGGAGGAGTGTGCTGTGGATGCACCCTCTCGGTCCGTTTACCAGTGGCGTTTCGAAGAGTTCCGCCTTACTTGCCATATTTACTGTAAAGAATCGGAATTTGAATGTTTGTGATTTGTTCTTGATTCATCCACAACCTTTGTATATAAAATTCGCTATATAATTAAACATTACTTACTTACTTACGGCCGACTTGCAAATAATCTAAGAATCGTAAATTTCCCCCACCTCTAGGTCTGAGCATCATGTATACTATCATGGACCCCTCGAAAAACAAGATGGCGCATTCTATTAATAAACTAAATCTTCTCCATCCAGAGTATTTTGAGCCTCATGTTTACTTTGCAATGCGCAGTAAACTGCAGAAAGTCCTACGCAGCTCTGTAGTAGTTGTTGTTTTGTACTTTACAATTGTTATTTTTCTTGCTTTTTGGTAGTTGTAAACGTTACTGCAGTACAGCGGCCATGGTTTTACACTGATCCAGACCAGAGTAGAACATGTGGTCCAAAACAAGCAGACTATGCATACATCTGGCATAGGAAGCAGCTCATCACCAGAGGCTGCTCCACCTCTGCTGCTCCACCCAGAGGCTGCTCCACCTCTGCTGCTGTGACCTGCCCTGCTCCACCCAGAGGCTACTCCACCTGTGCTGCTGTGACCTGTCCTGCTCCACCCAGAGACTGCTCCACCTCTGCTGCTGTGACCTGTCCTGCTCCACCCAGAGACTGCTCCACCTCTGCTGCTGTGACCCGTCCTGCTCCACCCAGAGACTGCTCCACCTCTGCTGCTGTGACCTGTCCTGCTCCACCCAGAGGCTGCTCCACCTCTGCTGCTGTGACCTGTCCTGCTCCACCCAGCGGCTGCTCCACCTCTGCTGCTATGACCCGTCCTGCTCCACCCAGAGGCTACTCCACCTCTGCTGCTGTGACCTGTCCTGCTCCACCCAGAGACTGCTCCACCTCTGCTGCTGTGACCCGTCCTGCTCCACACAGAGGCTGCTCCACCTCTGCTGCTGTGACCTGTCCTGCTCCACCCAGCGGCTGCTCCACCTCTGCTGCTATGACCCGTCCTGCTCCACCCAGAGGCTACTCCACCTCTGCTGCTGTGACCTGTCCTGCTCCACCCAGAGGCTGCTCCACCTCTGCTGCTGTGACCTGTCCTGCTCCACCTCTGCTGCTATGACCTGTCCTGCTCCACCCAGAGGCTGCTCCACCTCTGCTGCTGTGACCTGTCCTGCTCCACCCAGAGGCTACTCCACCTCTGCTGCTGTGACCCGTCCTGCTCCACCCAGAGGCTGCTCCACCTCTGCTGCTGTGACCCGTCCTGCTCCACCCAGAGACTACTCCACCTCTGCTGCTGTGACCCGTCCTGCTCCACCCAGAGACTACTCCACCTCTGCTGCTGTGACCCGTCCTGCTCCACCCAGAGGCTACTCCACCTCTGCTGCTGTGACCCGTCCTGCTCCACCCAGAGGCTACTCCACCTCTGCTGCTGTGACCTGTCCTGCTCCACCCAGAGGCTACTCCACCTCTGCTGCTGTGACCCGTTCTGCTCCACCCAGAGGCTACTCCACCTCTGCTGCTGTGACCCGTCCTGCTCCACCCAGAGACTACTCCACCTCTGCTGCTGTGACCTGTCCTGCTCCACCCAGAGGCTACTCCACCTCTGCTGCTGTGACCTGTCCTGCTCCACCCAGAGGCTACTCCACCTCTGCTGCTGTGACCCGTCCTGCTCCACCCAGAGGCTACTCCACCTCTGCTGCTGTGACCCGTCCTGCTCCACCCAGAGGCTACTCCATCTCTGCTGCTGTGACCCGTCCTGCTCCACCCAGAGACTACTCCACCTCTGCTGCTGTGACCCGTCCTGCTCCACCCAGAGACTACTCCACCTCTGCTGCTGTGACCTGTCCTGCTCCACCCAGAGACTACTCCACCTCTGCTGCTGTGACCCGTCCTGCTCCACCCAGAGGCTACTCCACCTCTGCTGCTGTGACCCGTCCTGCTCCACCCAGAGGCTACTCCATCTCTGCTGCTGTGACCCGTCCTGCTCCACCCAGAGACTACTCCACCTCTGCTGCTGTGACCTGTCCTGCCAGTGAGGGGCTGCTTACAATTGTTAGCAACTTTTAGAATTATGTATTTATTTCTGTGTATGGATGGATGTGTTTCTGCTGCTGGACACCTGATTTTCTCCTACAGGGATCAATAAAATATCTAAGAGTGGCCAGAGCCTCATGTATACTGAGAGTTGTGCTGTAGTTTTAACATAGTCATGAAAATGTGTTTAACAGAGCTCCATGTAAGCTTAATTATAAGTAAGTAATGTTTATTTATATAGCGCCTTTCACAGACCAGAGTCTCAAAGCGGTTTACAATTGTTATTTTTGGGAAATTGTCCTGTCACTCCACACAGAGATGGGAGCGGGGTCGCCGAACAGGAGGCGCATGCCAGACCTATTATTATTGAATACTGCTGGTTACCTCTTTGCCGGTGAGGATGTGGCGGGCCAGCTTGACTTTGGCAAAGTTGCCCTTGCCGATGGTCTTAAGGAGGCGATAGTTGCCTATGTGGGGCTGCTCGTCTGAACACACAGCAATGGAGTTTCGACAGCGAGCCCCGAGAGAGCGGCTGGACCATGCACTGGCTTTATCCGACTGGCCGCCGGACAGGGACGCCTATGGACACAATCACCACCGTGAAGTCAGCACAATCCTGTTGTATAAGTTTGCATATATCAAACACATGAAAAACAAATGAACCGATGGGCTCAAAAGAGGGTCTCTCTACTATAGAACAATCATTTTCAGAATGTTAGACCAACAATAGTGCATATCATGTACAAAGTACAAAATTACAATACAACTTCTCGTGCGGCCTGTGACACATACTGATACTGAAACCAACTGGAGTAAAACAATGGGTGTGTCAACAGGGGAAGAGCCCAGAACGAGGGGAAGGAGAAGCCAAAGGGCAGGAGCCAGAGGGGAGGGGCCAGAGGGGACGGGCCAGAGGGGAGGAGCCAGAGGGGAGGAGCCAGAGGGGAGGAGCCAGAGGTTAGGAGCTAGAGCGGAGGAGCCCGAGGGGAGGAGCCAGAGGGCAGGAGCCAGAGGGGAGGGGCCAGAGGGGAGGAGCCAGAGGGGAGGAGCCAGAGGGGAGGGGCCAGAGGGGAGGAGCCAGAGGGGAGGAGCCAGAGGCAGGAGCCAGAGACAGGACCAGAAGCAGGAGCCAAAAAGTGCAACTGAGGCATCTCAGCTGTAAGAAAATAAAAATGAGTCAAGCATTAATCGCTCTAAAAACGAGAATGTGAATGACTAAAGTTAAACAATTGTAACATGAACATGACAAACACTGAAAACAGTCTTTTGAATCATCATTCTGGAGATCTCATATTTGTCAGAAGATTGAAGAACAAACTGCATTCAGTAATGAGGGAAAAGCTTGAAATAAGATGCAGTCGATATGCACTCAAATAACTCCCTAAAACTAATGCTTTGAAGGCAGTCCAAGATTGAGAACAATCCTTTTAATGTATGAATGAATTTAGAAAAAACACATAAGATGAAGTCAGTGATTTTTTCCAGACACATTTATTTTTAATTTTGTGGGAAAACGTCCCTAAACCCTAAAAGTATCAAGTTATCATGTGTTTTCAAATAGTAATGGAATTGACCAGATGCCTAGTCTCCAAAAATGTATAAAAATATTTTGTAGCAGACCGATGAAAATAAACCAATGGGATGAGTTTACCCCCTTCACCCTCTTCCTGTTTCTCGCGAGTGTGCGCTACGGCTAAGCTAACAAGATCGCTTACTGCACCTTTAAACAAATATTCTTAATTGACAGATGAAAATAGATATGGTATTCTTTCATTTCCCTAACTTGCATATTACATATCCTTAACACAACCAAAATTCCAAAAAAGTGCAAAAATACTTCAACATTTACATATTTTTATAACTTTTAAAATACTACTTTGTGCATGATTAAAAAAAAGCACTTCTTAAAATATAATCATTAGAAAAGTCCCAGAGCTCTCCACATCAAAACAAAAGAACATTTTATAAATGAGTAGAGGCAGTTAAACTGAGCTCAGATCCCAGCCATGGCTCTGTCTGAGTTATGTGGTTGGAAATTGGCCAACACTGATAAAGGTTTGGTATCCATGAGCTAAGAATCCATAAATATTGTATATGTTTTATTTTTCTGCTGAGATTGACGCAAACAAGGGGGTACAGAATAGATTTGTTTTAATTAGGGCTGTAACATCCTCCTCCCCTGCCACTGCCACCTTAAGGTGGTGGGGGAGTTTGAGCACTCGAATGATCCTCGGAGCTATGCTGTCTGGCAAACTCTCCATGGAACGCACGTAAATATCATGACATTGCCCAGCATGGTGCAGTCGGGGTACCACCCTGGAGCCAGGTCTGGGGTTGGGGCTCGACGTGGGCCAGCCCTCCTGTGGACCCATCATCCACAGAGGGGTGATCGAGAAGAACAGCCCCTTAATCTGAACCCGAGCGGTGTTCAGTGGTTGGACTTCTGTGCATCACAAACACCATGTTTGAGCACAAGGGTGTCCACCAGGGGGCGTGGTACCAGGACCCTGGGCCGGAGGATAATTTCAGAAAGGAATTCAAATATAATGGAAATAAATTTTACTCTGCAAATTTAGAAAGAGAGCATCAATAAACGTAAAATGCATATAAAAAAATGCAATAATTGCATAATCCTGACCAACCCGCTCCTGACCAACCCTCTCCTGACCAACCCTCTCCTGACCAACCCTCTCCTGACCAACCCTCTCCTGACCAACCCTCTCCTGACCAACCCTCTCCTGACCAACCCTCTCCTGACCAACCCTCTCCTGACCGGCCCTCTCCTGACCAACCCGCTCCTGACCAACCCTCTCCTGACCAACCCTCTCCTGACCAACCCTCTCCTGACCAACGCGCTCCTGACCAACCCGCTCCTGACCGGCCCGCTCCTGACCAACCCGCTCCTGACCAACCCTCTCCTGACCGGCCCTCTCCTGACCAACCCTCTCCTGACCGGCCCTCTCCTGACCAACCCTCTCCTGACCGGCCCTCTCCTGACCAACCCGCTCCTGACCAACCCTCTCCTGACCAACCCTCTCCTGACCAACCCTCTCCTGACCGGCCCTCTCCTGACCAACCCTCTCCTGACCGGCCCTCTCCTGACCAACCCTCTCCTGACCAACCCTCTCCTGACCAACCCTCTCCTGACCGGCCCTCTCCTGACCGGCCCTCTCCTGACCAACCCTCTCCTGACCAACCCTCTCCTGACCAACCCTCTCCTGACCAACCCGCTCCTGACCAACCCTCTCCTGACCAACCCTCTCCTGACCGGCCCTCTCCTGACCAACCCTCTCCTGACCAACCCTCTCCTGACCAACGCGCTCCTGACCAACCCGCTCCTGACCAACCCGCTCCTGACCAACCCTCTCCTGACCAACCCTCTCCTGACCGGCCCTCTCCTGACCAACCCGCTCCTGACCAACCCGCTCCTGACCAACCCTCTCCTGACCGGCCCTCTCCTGACCAACCCTCTCCTGACCGGCCCTCTCCTGACCGGCCCTCTCCTGACCAACCCTCTCCTGACCAACCCTCTCCTGACCAACCCTCTCCTGACCAACCCGCTCCTGACCAACCCGCTCCTGACCAACCCTCTCCTGACCAACCCTCTCCTGACCAACCCTCTCCTGACCGGCCCTCTCCTGACCAACCCTCTCCTGACCAACGCGCTCCTGACCAACCCGCTCCTGACCAACCCGCTCCTGACCAACCCGCTCCTGACCGGCCCTCTCCTGACCAACCCTCTCCTGACCAACGCGCTCCTGACCAACCCTCTCCTGACCAACGCGCTCCTGACCAACCCGCTCCTGACCAACCCTCTCCTGACCGGCCCTCTCCTGACCAACCCGCTCCTGACCAAATCGCTCCTGACCAACCCGCTCCTGACCGGCCCTCTCCTGACCAACCCTCTCCTGACCAACCCTCTCCTGACCGGCCCTCTCCTGACCAACCCGCTCCTGACCAACCCTCTCCTGACCAACCCTCTCCTGACCGGCCCTCTCCTGACCAACCCTCTCCTGACCAACCCTCTCCTGACCAACCCGCTCCTGACCAACCCTCTCCTGACCGGCCCTCTCCTGACCAACCCGCTCCTGACCAACCCTCTCCTGACCAACCCTCTCCTGACCGGCCCTCTCCTGACCAACCCTCTCCTGACCAACCCGCTCCTGACCAACCCTCTCCTGACCAACCCGCTCCTGACCAACCCTCTCCTGACCAACCCTCTCCTGACCGGCCCTCTCCTGACCAACCCTCTCCTGACCAACCCTCTCCTGACCAACCCTCTCCTGACCAACCCTCTCCTGACCAACCCTCTCCTGACCAACCCTCTCCTGACCGGCCCTCTCCTGACCAACCCTCTCCTGACCAACCCTCTCCTGACCAACCCTCTCCTGACCAACCCGCTCCTGACCAACCCGCTCCTGACCAACCCTCTCCTGACCAACCCTCTCCTGACCAACGCGCTCCTGACCAACCCTCTCCTGACCAACCCGCTCCTGACCAACCCTCTCCTGACCAACCCTCTCCTGACCAACCCTCTCCTGACCGGCCCTCTCCTGACCAACCCTCTCCTGACCAACCCTCTCCTGACCGGCCCTCTCCTGACCGGCCCTCTCCTGACCAACCCTCTCCTGACCGGCCCTCTCCTGACCAACCCGCTCCTGACCAACCCGCTCCTGACCAACCCTCTCCTGACCAACCCTCTCCTGACCGGCCCTCTCCTGACCAACCCTCTCCTGACCAACCCTCTCCTGACCGGCCCTCTCCTGACCGGCCCTCTCCTGACCAACTCTCTCCTGACCAACCCTCTCCTGACCAACCCGCTCCTGACCAACCCTCTCCTGACCAACCCTCTCCTGACCGGCCCTCTCCTGACCAACCCTCTCCTGACCAACCCTCTCCTGACCAACGCGCTCCTGACCAACCCGCTCCTGACCAACCCTCTCCTGACCAACCCTCTCCTGACCGGCCCTCTCCTGACCAACCCGCTCCTGACCAACCCGCTCCTGACCGGCCCTCTCCTGACCAACGCGCTCCTGACCAACCCTCTCCTGACCAACGCGCTCCTGACCAACCCGCTCCTGACCAACCCTCTCCTGACCAACCCTCTCCTGACCGGCCCTCTCCTGACCAACCCTCTCCTGACCAACCCTCTCCTGACCAACCCTCTCCTGACCAACCCTCTCCTGACCAACCCTCTCCTGACCGGCCCTCTCCTGACCAACCCTCTCCTGACCAACCCTCTCCTGACCAACCCTCTCCTGACCAACCCGCTCCTGACCAACCCGCTCCTGACCAACCCTCTCCTGACCAACCCGCTCCTGACCAACCCTCTCCTGACCGACCCTCTCCTGACCGGCCCTCTCCTGACCAACCCTCTCCTGACCAACCCTCTCCTGACCAACCCTCTCCTGACCAACCCTCTCCTGACCGGCCCTCTCCTGACCAACCCTCTCCTGACCAACCCTCTCCTGACCAACCCTCTCCTGACCAACCCTCTCCTGACCAACCCTCTCCTGACCGGCCCTCTCCTGACCAACCCGCTCCTGACCAACCCTCTCCTGACCAACCCTCTCCTGACCGGCCCTCTCCTGACCAACCCTCTCCTGACCAACCCTCTCCTGACCAACCCTCTCCTGACCAACCCTCTCCTGACCGGCCCTCTCCTGACCAACCCTCTCCTGACCAACCCTCTCCTGACCAACCCTCTCCTGACCAACCCTCTCCTGACCAACCCTCTCCTGACCGGCCCTCTCCTGACCGGGCCTCTCCTGACCAACCCGCTCCTGACCAACCCTCTCCTGACCAACCCGCTCCTGACCGGCCCTCTCCTGACCGGCCCTCTCCTGACCGGCCCTCTCCTGACCAACCCTCTCCTGACCGGCCCTCTCCTGACCGGCCCTCTCCTGACCGGCCCTCTCCTGACCAATCCTCTCCTGACCAACCCGCTCCTGACCAACCCGCTCCTGACCAACCCTCTCCTGACCGGCCCTCTCCTGACCGGCCCTCTCCTGACCGGTCCTCTCCTGACCGGCCCTCTCCTGACCGGCCCTCTCCTGACCGGCCCTCTCCTGACCGGCCCTCTCCTGACCAACCCTCTCCTGACCGGCCCTCTCCTGACCGGCCCTCTCCTGACCGGCCCTCTCCTGACCGGCCCTCTCCTGACCGGCCCTCTCCTGACCAACCCTCTCCTGACCGGCCCTCTCCTGACCGGCCCTCTCCTGACCGGCCCTCTCCTGACCGGCCCGCTCCTGACCAACCCTCTCCTGACCGGCCCTCTCCTGACCGGCCCTCTCCTGACCAACCCTCTCCTGACCGGCCCTCTCCTGACCAACCCTCTCCTGACCGGCCCTCTCCTGACCAACCCTCTCCTGACCAACCCTCTCCTGACCGGCCCTCTCCTGACCAACCCTCTCCTGACCGGCCCTCTCCTGACCAACCCTCTCCTGACCGGCCCTCTCCTGACCAACCCTCTCCTGACCAACCCTCTCCTGACCAACCCTCTCCTGACCGGCCCTCTCCTGACCAACCCTCTCCTGACCGGCCCTCTCCTGACCAACCCTCTCCTGACCAACCCGCTCCTGACCAACCCTCTCCTGACCAACCCTCTCCTGACCGGCCCTCTCCTGACCAACCCTCTCCTGACCAACCCTCTCCTGACCAACGCGCTCCTGACCAACCCGCTCCTGACCAACCCGCTCCTGACCAACCCTCTCCTGACCAACCCTCTCCTGACCGGCCCTCTCCTGACCAACCCGCTCCTGACCAACCCGCTCCTGACCGGCCCTCTCCTGACCAACGCGCTCCTGACCAACCCTCTCCTGACCAACGCGCTCCTGACCAACCCGCTCCTGACCAACCCTCTCCTGACCGGCCCTCTCCTGACCAACCCGCTCCTGACCAACCCTCTCCTGACCAACCCTCTCCTGACCAACCCTCTCCTGACCAACCCTCTCCTGACCGGCCCTCTCCTGACCAACCCGCTCCTGACCAACCCTCTCCTGACCAACCCTCTCCTGACCAACCCTCTCCTGACCAACCCTCTCCTGACCAACCCTCTCCTGACCGGCCCTCTCCTGACCAACCCGCTCCTGACCAACCCTCTCCTGACCAACCCTCTCCTGACCAACCCTCTCCTGACCAACCCTCTCCTGACCAACCCTCTCCTGACCGGCCCTCTCCTGACCAACGCGCTCCTGACCAACCCGCTCCTGACCGGCCCTCTCCTGACCAACCCTCTCCTGACCAACCCTCTCCTGACCAACGCGCTCCTGACCAACCCGCTCCTGACCGGCCCGCTCCTGACCAACCCGCTCCTGACCAACCCGCTCCTGACCAACCCTCTCCTGACCAACCCGCTCCTGACCGGCCCGCTCCTGACCAACCCGCTCCTGACCAACCCGCTCCTGACCAACCCTCTCCTGACCAACCCTCTCCTGACCGGCCCTCTCCTGACCAACCCTCTCCTGACCGGCCCTCTCCTGACCAACCCTCTCCTGACCGGCCCTCTCCTGACCAACGCGCTCCTGACCAACCCTCTCCTGACCGGCCCTCTCCTGACCAACCCTCTCCTGACCGGCCCTCTCCTGACCAACCCGCTCCTGACCAACCCTCTCCTGACCAACCCGCTCCTGACCGGCCCTCTCCTGACCGGCCCTCTCCTGACCGGCCCTCTCCTGACCGGCCCTCTCCTGACCAACCCTCTCCTGACCGGCCCTCTCCTGACCGGCCCTCTCCTGACCGGCCCTCTCCTGACCGGCCCTCTCCTGACCAATCCTCTCCTGACCAACCCGCTCCTGACCAACCCTCTCCTGACCAACCCTCTCCTGACCGGCCCTCTCCTGACCGGCCCTCTCCTGACCGGCCCTCTCCTGACCGGCCCTCTCCTGACCAACCCTCTCCTGACCAACCCTCTCCTGACCGGCCCTCTCCTGACCGGCCCTCTCCTGACCGGCCCTCTCCTGACCAACCCTCTCCTGACCAACCCTCTCCTGACCAACCCTCTCCTGACCAACCCTCTCCTGACCGGCCCTCTCCTGACCGGCCCTCTCCTGACCGGCCCTCTCCTGACCGGCCCTCCCTGACCAACCCTCTCCTGACCGGCCCTCTCCTGACCGGCCCTCTCCTGACCGGCCCTCTCCTGACCGGCCCGCTCCTGACCAACCCTCTCCTGACCGGCCCTCTCCTGACCAACCCTCTCCTGACCAACCCTCTCCTGACCAACCCTCTCCTGACCAATCCTCTCCTGACCGGCCCTCTCCTGACCGGCCCTCTCCTGACCGGCCCTCTCCTGACCGGCCCGCTCCTGACCAACCCTCTCCTGACCGGCCCTCTCCTGACCGGCCCTCTCCTGACCGGCCCTCTCCTGACCGGCCCTCTCCTGACCAACCCTCTCCTGACCGGCCCTCTCCTGACCGGCCCTCTCCTGACCAACCCTCTCCTGACCGGCCCTCTCCTGACCGGCCCTCTCCTGACCGGCCCTCTCCTGACCGGCCCTCTCCTGACCGGCCCTCTCCTGACCAACCCTCTCCTGACCGGCCCTCTCCTGACCAACCCTCTCCTGACCAACCCTCTCCTGACCGGCCCTCTCCTGACCAACCCTCTCCTGACCGGCCCTCTCCTGACCGGCCCTCTCCTGACCAACCCTCTCCTGACCGGCCCTCTCCTGACCAACCCTCTCCTGACCGGCCCTCTCCTGACCGGCCCTCTCCTGACCAACCCTCTCCTGACCGGCCCTCTCCTGACCGGCCCTCTCCTGACCAACCCTCTCCTGACCGGCCCTCTCCTGACCGGCCCTCTCCTGACCAACCCTCTCCTGACCGGCCCTCTCCTGACCGGCCCTCTCCTGACCAACCCTCTCCTGACCGGCCCTCTCCTGACCAACCCTCTCCTGACCGGCCCTCTCCTGACCGGCCCTCTCCTGACCGGCCCTCTCCTGACCAACCCTCTCCTGACCGGCCCTCTCCTGACCAACCCTCTCCTGACCGGCCCTCTCCTGACCAACCCTCTCCTGACCAACCCTCTCCTGACCAACCCTCTCCTGACCAACCCTCTCCTGACCAACCCTCTCCTGACCGCCCTCTCCTGACCAACCCTCTCCTGACCGGCCCTCTCCTGACCGGCCCTCTCCTGACCGGCCCTCTCCTGACCAACTCTCTCCTGACCGGCCCTCTCCTGACCGGCCCTCTCCTGACCGGCCCTCTCCTGACCAACCCTCTCCTGACCGGCCCTCTCCTGACCAACCCTCTCCTGACCGGCCCTCTCCTGACCGGCCCTCTCCTGACCAACCCTCTCCTGACCGGCCCTCTCCTGACCAACCCTCTCCTGACCAACCCTCTCCTGACCGGCCCTCTCCTGACCAACCCTCTCCTGACCGGCCCTCTCCTGACCGGCCCTCTCCTGACCAACCCTCTCCTGACCGGCCCTCTCCTGACCAACCCTCTCCTGACCGGCCCTCTCCTGACCGGCCCTCTCCTGACCGGCCCTCTCCTGACCAACCCTCTCCTGACCGGCCCTCTCCTGACCGGCCCTCTCCTGACCAACCCTCTCCTGACCGGCCCTCTCCTGACCGGCCCTCTCCTGACCAACCCTCTCCTGACCGGCCCTCTCCTGACCGGCCCTCTCCTGACCAACCCTCTCCTGACCAACCCGCTCCTGACCGGCCCTCTCCTGACCGGCCCTCTCCTGACCAACGCGCTCCTGACCAACCCTCTCCTGACCGGCCCGCTCCTGACCAACCCTCTCCTGACCAACCCTCTCCTGACCAACCCTCTCCTGACCAACCCTCTCCTGACCAACCCTCTCCTGACCAACCCTCTCCTGACCGGCCCTCTCCTGACCGGCCCTCTCCTGACCAACCCTCTCCTGACCAACCCGCTCCTGACCAACCCTCTCCTGACCAACGCGCTCCTGACCAACCCTCTCCTGACCGGCCCGCTCCTGACCAACCCTCTCCTGACCAACCCTCTCCTGACCAACGCGCTCCTGACCAACCCGCTCCTGACCAACCCGCTCCTGACCAACCCTCTCCTGACCAACCCTCTCCTGACCAACCCTCTCCTGACCAACCCGCTCCTGACCAAATCGCTCCTGACCAACCCTCTCCTGACCAACCCTCTCCTGACCAACCCTCTCCTGACCAACCCTCTCCTGACCAACCCTCTCCTGACCAACCCTCTCCTGACCGGCCCTCTCCTGACCAACCCTCTCCTGACCGGCCCTCTCCTGACCGGCCCTCTCCTGACCAACCCACTCCTGACCGGCCCTCTCCTGACCGGCCCTCTCCTGACCAACGCGCTCCTGACCAACCCTCTCCTGACCGGCCCTCTCCTGACCGGCCCTCTCCTGACCAACGCGCTCCTGACCAACCCTCTCCTGACCGGCCCGCTCCTGACCAACCCTCTCCTGACCAACCCTCTCCTGACCGGCCCTCTCCTGACCGGCCCTCTCCTGACCGGCCCTCTCCTGACCAACCCTCTCCTGACCAACCCTCTCCTGACCAACCCTCTCCTGACCAACCCTCTCCTGACCGGCCCTCTCCTGACCAACCCTCTCCTGACCAACCCGCTCCTGACCGGCCCTCTCCTGACCGGCCCTCTCCTGACCGGCCCTCTCCTGACCGGCCCTCTCCTGACCAACCCTCTCCTGACCGGCCCTCTCCTGACCGGCCCTCTCCTGACCGGCCGTCTCCTGACCGGCCCTCTCCTGACCGGCCCTCTCCTGACCGGCCCTCTCCTGACCAATCCTCTCCTGACCAACCCGCTCCTGACCAACCCTCTCCTGACCGGCCCTCTCCTGACCGGCCCTCTCCTGACCGGCCCTCTCCTGACCGGCCCTCTCCTGACCGGCCCGCTCCTGACCAACCCTCTCCTGACCGGCCCTCTCCTGACCAACCCTCTCCTGACCGGCCCTCTCCTGACCGGCCCTCTCCTGACCGGCCCTCTCCTGACCAACCCTCTCCTGACCGGCCCTCTCCTGACCGGCCCTCTCCTGACCAACCCTCTCCTGACCGGCCCTCTCCTGACCAACCCTCTCCTGACCGGCCCTCTCCTGACCAACCCTCTCCTGACCAACCCTCTCCTGACCGGCCCTCTCCTGACCAACCCTCTCCTGACCGGCCCTCTCCTGACCAACCCTCTCCTGACCGGCCCTCTCCTGACCGGCCCTCTCCTGACCAACCCTCTCCTGACCGGCCCTCTCCTGACCGGCCCTCTCCTGACCAACCCTCTCCTGACCGGCCCTCTCCTGACCGGCCCTCTCCTGACCAACCCTCTCCTGACCGGCCCTCTCCTGACCGGCCCTCTCCTGACCGGCCCTCTCCTGACCAACCCTCTCCTGACCGGCCCTCTCCTGACCGGCCCTCTCCTGACCAACCCTCTCCTGACCGGCCCTCTCCTGACCAACCCTCTCCTGACCGGCCCTCTCCTGACCGGCCCTCTCCTGACCGGCCCTCTCCTGACCAACCCTCTCCTGACCGGCCCTCTCCTGACCAACCCTCTCCTGACCAACCCTCTCCTGACCAACCCTCTCCTGACCGGCCCTCTCCTGACCGGCCCTCTCCTGACCGGCCCTCTCCTGACCAACCCTCTCCTGACCGGCCCTCTCCTGACCAACCCTCTCCTGACCGGCCCTCTCCTGACCGGCCCTCTCCTGACCGGCCCTCTCCTGACCGGCCCGCTCCTGACCGGCCCTCTCCTGACCGGCCCTCTCCTGACCGGCCCTCTCCTGACCGGCCCTCTCCTGACCAACCCTCTCCTGACCGGCCCTCTCCTGACCGGCCCTCTCCTGACCGGCCCTCTCCTGACCGGCCCTCTCCTGACCGGCCCTCTCCTGACCAACCCTCTCCTGACCGGCCCTCTCCTGACCGGCCCTCTCCTGACCAACCCTCTCCTGACCGGCCCTCTCCTGACCGGCCCTCTCCTGACCGGCCCTCTCCTGACCAACCCTCTCCTGACCAACCCTCTCCTGACCGGCCCTCTCCTGACCAACCCTCTCCTGACCGGCCCTCTCCTGACCAACCCTCTCCTGACCGGCCCTCTCCTGACCAACCCTCTCCTGACCGGCCCTCTCCTGACCGGCCCTCTCCTGACCAACCCTCTCCTGACCGGCCCTCTCCTGACCGGCCCTCTCCTGACCAACCCTCTCCTGACCGGCCCTCTCCTGACCGGCCCTCTCCTGACCGGCCCTCTCCTGACCAACCCTCTCCTGACCGGCCCTCTCCTGACCGGCCCTCTCCTGACCAACCCTCTCCTGACCGGCCCTCTCCTGACCAACCCTCTCCTGACCGGCCCTCTCCTGACCGGCCCTCTCCTGACCGGCCCTCTCCTGACCAACCCTCTCCTGACCGGCCCTCTCCTGACCAACCCTCTCCTGACCAACCCTCTCCTGACCAACCCTCTCCTGACCGGCCCTCTCCTGACCGGCCCTCTCCTGACCGGCCCTCTCCTGACCAACCCTCTCCTGACCGGCCCTCTCCTGACCAACCCTCTCCTGACCGGCCCTCTCCTGACCGGCCCTCTCCTGACCGGCCCTCTCCTGACCGGCCCGCTCCTGACCGGCCCTCTCCTGACCGGCCCTCTCCTGACCGGCCCTCTCCTGACCGGCCCTCTCCTGACCAACCCTCTCCTGACCGGCCCTCTCCTGACCGGCCCTCTCCTGACCGGCCCTCTCCTGACCAACCCTCTCCTGACCGGCCCTCTCCTGACCAACCCTCTCCTGACCGGCCCTCTCCTGACCAACCCTCTCCTGACCGGCCCTCTCCTGACCGGCCCTCTCCTGACCGGCCCTCTCCTGACCGGCCCTCTCCTGACCGGCCCGCTCCTGACCAAACCATGGCAGTCATGCAGGAGTGTTGTGAAAAATGTACTATTGACATCATGATTGTTTTCCTAAAGTTGTTTATATTGATTTATGCATGTTTGCTTCTCTGAGGTCCTCCTTCAGGTTCTCACTAGGGTCTTCCTTGGCAGGGTACCGTCAGGTCTCTCCTGGTAGGACATTTCCATAGGGTCTTTTTGAGCTGATGAGGTTCACTCAGTTGACTCTTTCCTTGTACTAAATCTTTTATATCATTAGCAATAATTCAATGGTTATACAGCTACTGTATAATATAATTATATAATATAATACATAATATAACTGTATAATATAATTATAATTATTATACAGTAAACTAAAGCACAATGGACCATCTGGTATAAAGTCATTACAGACTCGATCACAAGCAGACACAAGAAGTCAGACCAGAAAATAGAGTTGATGCGCACGGTCGGAGCAGAGCCCGTGGAAGGTTGTTGTGCAGTAGTTGTGGGGCAGCGGAGCGGATCAGATCAGAGTTGAGTTCAGGTAGTGAAATTCAGGGTCAGGGTCTTTCTCATCATGTTTGGATACATTTCTTTATAATATTTTAGTCGCACCTCACAACCAGCAGGAGGTGAAATACACACGTGTTACTGCCCCTTTTCTATGGTTGCAGCTATGGGCTCTATGCACTAAGCCCCGGTGATCCAAGATGGCGCCCTATTCAAATGAACGGCTTGTGCTCAGTGGCTCATGGGACTTCATGGAGACCGAAAGATTAGAGGAACTCGCCTATATTTGGGCATTGTCTGGTCCTCCCAATTCTGCGCAGTGGACAAGCTCCCATGATGCTTTGCGCCAAATACGTGTGTGTGGCTCTCACGCACGTGCACAGAGGGGCTCAGCCTCGCTCTGACCAATCAGAGCTGATCAGAGCAGCAGCAGGGCGGAGTCAGAGCGGGAAGGAAAGGAGCAGAGTTTGTGGCAGTAAAGTGTGGATTTAAAGAAAACAGAAGGAGCATCGGCCTTTGGGCCTGGGGGTCATAGGTTCAAATCCACCACGAGACCTACTTCATGACTCCCACTGATGTCTACTGTCGTTGTGTCCTTGGGCAAGACACTTAAACCCACTTTGCCTGAAGCTGGAAGACCAAGGCCCCTGTGGACTCACCACCTGCAGGAGGGTCAGTGAGGGGCTGGTGTGTCCTGGGTGTAGCTCTGACTGCCACCCCCCGACCCAGAAATGGATTAAGGGGAAGAAAATGGATGGATGGATGGATGGATTTAAGAAGAAAAAAGGTTCAGGATGACGAGGGACACTAAAATCCCCACAAAATCTGACCTTTATGAAAGCTGTAGGTTCTCTGTCAGGTTCTCTGTCAGGTTCTCTGTCAGCTGAGGTCAAGCTGGTTTAGTTCACATTGAGTTCTATGGGACTTTTTCTGGGTAGCCTACATGAATTTAGTCTGCAGTACCACAGCGCCCCCTGTGCCCAAAGGTGGGACAGCTTTAAGCTAGTAATACTCTATCCAGTTATTATTGTAGATCCATGCTATGCACGCACCACCCGTGGGGATCGGCTTGAGTTTCTCTGGAGTTCACCAGAAGTTTACACGAGTTTCCTAAATAATGGTCAAACAGGAATTAAACTGAGGATACTGGGCATTTTAGGGACACATCAGTGCTCTTTGATTGTGCCGTCATTGTGCTTTTATAAAGTTAACTAATCTCTCTGAGTGGCCAAAGTCAAAGCTATTCCTCAGAGAAAGCACGTCCACACTTTTGGGTCAGTCTCAAAGCTGAATGTATCGATGTAATTACTAAAAAACGTCACAACAACTCACCACAATGCCATAGCACTGGCATGCACAGACAGGAAGTAAACAAACTGTTCTTTGGTTAAAGGAAATGACGTCACGCCTCCCCGTGCATATATGGTGAAGGCAGGGCCACTCATCGCTGCTTGCGGCTATATTTTTATTAAGTCTGGAAATGTCAAATACAGAGTATAAGCTTTTGTAAAGCTGTATCTTCATCATGACGACAATAATATTTCTTTTTCCTTTTTCCTCAGCAGACAAAGCCCCACCTCTGTTCCCCGCAGCTCCCGATGGGACAGTGCCTCACAGGATCAGACCCGGTGTCTCCACATCTCTCATGTATACGCTTAATGTCATTGTTTTCCTTTATTTAAAGTGCAAGCACGTTTTCAGAATAATACGGTTTGCGTGAGGATTGTTTGGGATGGAGCGAAATGCGATGAGGTGTTGACGAGGACAGAGCTGAAACATGAGTTATTGATGTAATCAATGTGATGTTGTCAATAAAGCGCATGCCGATTTTAGACCAGAGGTCAAAATAGAGCCGGGGGGACTTTCTCACATAACCTGCTTTGACCTGGGACTCATTACAAAACACATGCGCTTATGACAAAGTAAGTATGCAGTTGTTCATATGTTCAGACTGTAACTCAAACCCCTGCAGGCCATAATGTTTACCTCATGTTCATGCACACGGGATTATTTTATAGTCAACACATATTTACCCTCTCGTTCCCCAGCAGCGCGGTGCGTAGAGACATCCTCTCCCGGACAGCAGTGAGTAAAGCTGGGGTGAAGTGGGGTGTAGCCTCGTCACACGCTCTCCATCACTGACCGTACAGATAGCGCACGCCGCGCTCATTCATCCAACATACAACCATGTCTCTGCATTCGCTCCACTACCGAGGCTCCACTACCGAGGCTCCACTACCGAGGCTCCACTACCGAGGCTCCACTACCGAGGCCCCGGGCCCCGAGCCAGTCCCACGGAGCGCCTCAGCATCGTCTGCGGGCGGAGCGGAGAGTACAGCACTAGTTCAGGGCACAAGACGCTGTGGTCAGCCGGACAGCGGCCGGGCCTCACATACAGTACGTACGGGATCACAGGGCTACAGGCCTACAGTGGAACAGTCACGGACCTTTACGCAGGGCCTCTCCAAACCAGTGACTCAACAACAAAGCGACGGATGTGCGCCTCACGGCCGCAGGCAGGCTCTGAGCCTCTGCGGGGCTGTGTGGAGGCTGTTAGGTCAGAGAAGGTCCAGAGGAAGTCCAGAGGAAGTCCAGAGGAAGTCCAGAGCCTCCGCAGAGTTCAGTCTACAGCTCAAAAAGCGGCTCCGGACCGTTCTCAGAAAGAGGAAGGAGAGGCCGTGGACAGAATTGACTGTAGGCTACTTCTGCGCATGCGCCCGGGTCACACTGTGTTTGGGGATCTGTAACCCGCACGCGGCACATGGGCCCCGTCCTCTGTACTCTCCACCCCAGGGACCACCCCTGCTGTCTATCTCCTAAGTTACAGACTGACTCAGTCCAATTTAATCTCAACCAGGTTCCAAAACTAAACTTGATTTGTCATATGAATCGGAAACATTGAGAAACTGCAAAGTGTTAATAATAAACTAAATCCGTCTGGCTGAATATATAATACTATCATTACAAAGCCAATTGTCCTTCTTCTCTCATTATTAGCCGACTCAGAAGTTGCGTTTCCACTATTTTATTTATTTAGCAAATGCAAAGTCCTTAAGCCAGTCAGTTGCTTCCTGGTCTGCGGTGTGGAGGATGATTTTCCTCCTCTCAGTCGTTGGAGAGGGAAGACTTCAATGATGTGTTCCATTGTCTGCTCCTCTCCACAAGTGCACAGTGGACAAGGGCTGCTGCCTCATCTGTGAATGCTGACCAAGCATTAACCATGTCCAGTCCTGAATCTGTTGATGGTTGACCGTTGTCTCTTTATGAGGTCGGTGCCAGGGACCTGTTGGGTAGGGTCTGGCACCAGGTGTTTGTTGGGGACCTCCTTGGATGCCCACTCACTTTCCAGGCTGATTGGATGGAGAAGTCAGGGGGGCGTTACCCTTCTACTGACTCAATATCTTAGAGTACAACATATTTTTCAGCCCTTAACTTTTTAGTCAACTGAAGAGCAGTTCTTATGCGTTGTTCTAAGTGTCAAGAACATGATCAAAGAACTGACAAACAGCTGCAGGAGCAAAATCAATATTTATTTAAAATTTGATTTTGAAAGCTTGGAAACAGAAGTGTTGGATTTTAGCATTGGGTTAGCGTTAAAAATGATCAACTTTTGTCCCTATAATAAGTTGATCATTTTTATTGTGACAATTCATGTTTTAGATGTGAAATTATTGGTGATACAGGGATACATATATAACTGAATAAAGGATCAGAGGAGTGAGACACCATCTTGTGGTAGTGTCATTATCTATTTAGTAAAAATAAAACATGGTGTAACTGAAGACCTGCAGTAAATTATAGTGGCATCATTTGAAGAAATGGAGAAAAACACACAGGGCTTAGCATAGTTTTTTCATTTCTTTATTTGAGTTATTTTTGTCCTAAACCCCACTGTGGGACGAATAAAGGAACTCTAATGTTTTTTATGTTTGTATTCCTGTTTTTTGACAAGACAAAAAAACAGCCCTGTCCCTCACAGGGCCTTCATGATGTAACAAGTTTGAGATTGGAGCATTTAGACAGAAGTGGCAGAGTGATGAATTTGTGCCAAACGTTTACTTATTAGCGGGCGTGTGCACATGTGCATGCATGTATGTGCACAGGTAGAAACAGGTTGGGTTTTTGATAAGGAACAATGTTGCAACATGGATAAAAACTGATAAATAATTATACATAGTTTTGTGTGTCGTGTTCTTGTTGTGTGATGAACTTTTGGGAGCTCCTGTGGGGAGAATGAGGATTTGACTTGTGTAGGCAGCGCGGCCTAAAGCGTAGTCAGACACACTTGTACTTGTGGTCACGCAGGCTGCGCTGGTAGGCAAAGCTCTTCCCACAGCGTTCGCACTCGTAGGCCTTGAGTCCACTGTGTGTGCGCATGTGTGCTTTGAGGGCGCAGCTCAGGCTGAAGCTGCGGCCGCACACTGTGCAGCTGTATGGCTTCTCTCCGCTGTGGATGCGGCAGTGGCGCTGCAGGTTGGTAGAGTTGCTGAAGCTTTTCCCGCAAGTATGACAGGTGAAGGGGGCTCCAGTGTGCACTGCCTGCTACACACACACACACACACACCCACACCCACACACACACACCCACAATTAACAGACAGACTATTTTTGTACAGAATATTGGTCTGTCAAACCGCAAAGGATGCTATTAACCAGGATGTAATATGGTGTTCGTCAACATTGTCATGAAGCATAATAAGTGTGTGATTATTGCTTGGCTCATTTATCAGGCCTACACAAGGGGTTTATCGGACAAAGGAAGTAAGGTGTACACACATTGTTAATATTCATCTGTGAGCCAGCTCTAAAGAATAATCAATAGCCGATAACAATTGTTAACTTGCAAAAAGCTGGATAGGCTTTTGATGTTTATCCATCCATTGTTTGATAACCATGTCTAAAAACAAGTTCAGAACGGTTGCAAGACTTCTGTAGAGAACCCCACAAAAGGAGCTGATATGTCTCAAGTATTTTTTTTAAATGTTGTTTTTTACTTTATGAAGCTGTGTTTGTTGATCCTTGAGATCTGCAGTGATTGGGTGTGGATGGGAGTGCTGCCACATTGGAGGAGGGTATACCTGATGTGTGCGGAGGTAGTTTGGATGGGAGAACCTCATGTCACAGCTCTGACAGGCGAAGGGCTTCTCTCCTGTGTGCAGCGTCTGCGATAACAGTGAGACAGTCAGGAGAACTGCTGCCCACTCATGTAACCACGGTCTGGACTTTATTCAAACACATTCTATACTAAGGAATACAACACTTACCCTTAAAGCTGCAATAACTGATTTTATTTTTGTATTCATTACGAAAATCCAATCCATGTCCATGCAGTGCTTTGGGATATACATCCTTTTGAAGAATATGTAGTGCAGATTTGTGCTGGAGCTTCATTTTATTTTACATCTAGTTTTAGTGAAACAAGGAAGAGAATGTGTTTGGGGTCCAGATTGTGACCAATCACAGCGGACCACTGGCCCCCACTTTCTTGAGAAAAGCCACAGGTCTGTGGTTAGCACAGACAGCTGAGGTAAACAAGCGGCGGAGGCTAACCTGAAGCTTCTGTGTCTTTGTTACCGGTTACTGCTTGGGGGGGGGGGGGGGGGGGGGCGTTCTGATTCGAAAGTTTCTCAAACTCAGTTAGTGCAGCTTTAATCTTCTTTGGATTACACCCACTGACATCAATTAGGAAAATACATTATTGTGGCCTCCCCACACCAAGACTGTAAAACATTGTAACATTTGTGTCAAAAGGCTGCAGTTTTGGTCAATGTCAGGGCAACACAGTAACAAATATGGCATTGATCATCTTGATAAAAATTGTGAGAATCATTTTTGAAATACCACGATTTTGTTTCCCTAAATAAATGATTGATATTGTTTGTTATTATTTATTTATTATTAATTTAGGCACGTAAAGGCCAAGACAAAAATCACATGACAGCCACATGACCAATGAGATCAGTCATGTGACTTTCATATAATTTGCCAGTATTACCACCTGTGACCACTAGATATTACTTTCCTTGATGAAGATCCGAGAGGGACCTAAACGCGTCGCAATGTCCCTTCAATAAAAAAGGATTATTATCTATAAGCCATAGTGCCTCTGACCTTTTCCTCTTCGTTTCCCACGGATAATTGAAGATCACCGGACCGCTCACGTTGGCTCTAAATTTTTTAGAGCAAATGCGTACTTGGCCCAACACATCATGAGAGCTTGTCCACTGCGCAGGCCCGGAGGACTAGACGATGCCCAAATATGGGCGAGTTCCGTTAATCTTTCGGTCTCGTGGCTGTTCTGTGCACTACTGAGCACAAGTAACACTTATGGAAGCTTGAGGTGCAGATTTTAGAGATTAAAAATAAGAAGGACCAGCCATTTTACTATATAAAAATATATAAATCCAAATCCTTCATTGCAAATTAGATCAAGTGGTTGATAGTCACAAAGAAGACACAACAATATGGTTTTGTGACTGTATATCAAGTTTGATTACAACATGCGTTCTTGTTTTGAGCTGTAATTTTCATCTTCTTAGTGCAATCCCTTGCATTGTCTCCACCACATAAACTAACAAGCACTGACCTGATGGGCTTTGAGAGAGACCTTCTGAGTGAACCTGCGTCCACATGTCTGGCAGACAAAGGGCTTTTCTCCAGTGTGCACCACCTGAAAGAATATGACAAGCCACATGAGAAACGCACAATTTCTCGAAGAAGAACTTCTTTTAGTCGAATAATAAAAACACATTGCAGCTTTTCTGCACTGGGACAAAACACATTTTGCAAAACTAAAAGCACATGGTAAGTGACCTGAGGCTAACAACCCCGACAAACTGCAAGCTCAGTGAGAGCCATGCGCTCAAGGCATGCATGCACAGTGTGTGAAGTCTCCAAGTCACTCTAAGTGATATAGATGAAAAGATATGTGGAGCTGATCTAGCCATCAAAGTGCAAGTATATGTCCAATCTATTTTTACTGAAAGCATCCGTCACTGCATGCCCCGAACAGGGCGCATATCTGAAATCAGCTTAAATATTGGCAAACTGTGCCCTCTTTTGGCAACAACACAGAGGTGCAGATACAGATATACAGATACAGTCGAAATGGAAAAAAATGTAGCCACGAGGGATCACTTCAAAGTGTCCCTAAGATCAATCAATTCTACATACCTTTGAGAGAGTGAAAGAAAAAGAAAATAATTCTAACATGATCAAAGCATGTTGACTACCTGGTGTGTTTGGAGGGCAGACTTGACGGTGAAGCCGCGGCCACAGGTCAGGCAGGTGAAGGGCTTCTCTCCGCTGTGTAGACGCATGTGCACCTGCAGGTATCCGAACGACTGGAAGCTCTTGTTGCAGATGTGGCAGTGGTTTGGCTGCAGGCGCCGGTGCTTGTGCTGGTGAGTGTGGAGCTCGGGTAAGGTTGTGATGGCCTGCTGACAGAGTACACAGGAGCAGGGGAAGCTGTGTGTGCGCAGGTGCTCCAGCAGGATCTCCTTATTCTCCATCCTGGAGCCACAGGCCACACAGGTCACTTCTCCATCCCAACTTTCTGAGATCTTCATGTGGGTCCGCATATGCACTCGCAGGCTGCTCTTCTGGATGTAGGCCTTCCCACAGAAACACTTGCAGTGTTTGAGTCCAGTGTGGCCCAGCATGTGGTCCTTCAGGGAGCTGGACTGTGGAGGAGGCACAAGGACACAGAATATTAAAGAATTCAGTTTATCAATATGTGCATGTTTAACATGTCACATTAATGAGCAGAAACCAGAGCAGATACAACTGGATAGACACCAGAACTCAATTTGCAACCATCTTTTTACTTTTCAAGAAGAAAATACTTACCTTGTAAGATAAACCACTCGTTCCCTGTCCTGTAGGATAATATACAGATAAGTCCTGGACCCTAATGGGGACACAAGTATGGACCACCTTGTCCTCAACGTCAACGTTTCTGCAGTACATGGTTAGCTATTAGCTGCCCGCTTAAGGCGCTTTCACCTCGAGCGGTTTACAGCTCACATTGCGCAAAACTGTGGCTGGGTTTAAACAGCAGTGAGCAGAGGAGGCTTATAGAACCTAAGTTATCCCAAAGTCTTACGAATGCCTCATATCTCGCACAGATGTGGACTACAAACAAGGGCTGGGAATGTATGAGTCCCTCACGAGACTATCATATTCAAAATATGGCTCATGATACCATTATGATATGGTGATTCTGCGCTCACATAATTGTCAACAATATGTCATTATAGGTTGAAAGATACCGACTAGAGATAGTCGGCCTCACCTCCACACACAGCTTGGGCTCTGGAACCCAACTCCTTGAGAGAGGTTGGACGCTCCACTTTCCTGGTGTTTCCCGCGGGGAGAGGCGGCGAGCTGGGGTGGCCATACTCATTGCCCCCCATCTCAGCTCCACGTGTTGGAGTTCTCCCCGGTGAATGAGAGGGTCGCGTCCCTCCGCCTCCGGGTGGGGGACAAGTCTCTCACTGTTGTGACGGCCTACAGGCCTAACAGCAGTGCAGAGTACCCGGCCTTCTTGGAGTCCTTGGGAGGGGTACTGGACAGTGCACCGCCCGGGGACTCCGTTATTCTCCTGGGGGACTTCAACGCCCATGTGGGAAATGCCAGTGACACTTGGAGAGGGGTGATCGGGAAGAACGGCCCTGATCTGAACCCGAGCGGTGTTCAGTTGTTGGACTTCTGTGCCAGTCACAGTTTGTCCATCACGAACACCATGTTTGTGCACAAGGGTGTCCACCAGTGCACGTGGCACCAGTGCACGTGGCACCAGTGCACGTGGCACCAGTGCACGTGGCACCAGGACACCCTAGGCCGGAGGTCGATGATCGACTTTGTTGTCGTATCATCTGACCTTCGACCGCGTGTCTCGGACACTCGGGTGAAGAGAGGGGCGGAGCTGTCGACCGATCACCACCTGGTTGTGAGTTGGATCCACTGGCAGGGGAAGGAGCCGGTCAGGCCTGACAGACCCAAGCGTGTAGTGAGGGTCTGCTGGAAACGTCTTGCTGAGACCCCTGTCAGACGGACTTTCAACTCACACCCCGGCGGAGGAGGGGGACATCGAGTCTGAGTGGACCATGTTCTCTTCCTCTATTGCCGATGCGGCGGCTCGTAGCTGTGGTCGCAAGGTCTCTGGTGCTGGTCCCGGCGGCAACCCCCGAACCCGGTGGTGGGCACCGGCAGTAAGGGATGCCGTCAGGCTGAAGAAGGAGTCCTATCGAGCAATGATGGTTCGTGGGACTCCTGAGGCAGCTGTCCAGTACCGGCTGGCCAAGCGTGCCGCGGCCCGGGCTGTTGCAGAGGCAAAAACCCGGGACTGGGAGGAGTTCGGAGAGTCCATGGAGCATGACCATCGGTCGGCCTCGAAGAGATTCTGGCAAACCATCCGGCGCCTCAGGAGGGGGAAGCAGTTCTTTGCCAACACCATGTACGGTGCGGGTGGAGAGCTGCTGACCTCGACTGGGGATATTGTCGGGCGGTGGAAGGAATACTTTGAGGTTCTCCTCAATCCCCCCGTCACGTCCTCCGTCCCAGAGGCAGAGGATGTTTGGGGCGGACACCTTTCTCCCTGGCAGAGGTCACCAAGGTGGTTGGCAGCCTCCTTGTTGGCAAGGCCCCAGGAGTGGATGAGATCCGTCCTGATTATCTAAAGTCTCTGAATGTTGTAGGACTGTCTTGGCTGACACGTCTCTGCAACGTCACGTGGCAATCGAGGGTGGTGCCAATAGAGTGGCAGACCGTGGCAGACCGTGATGGTGCTGGAGAGGAGGCTACGGCTGATGGTCGAATCTCTGATTCAGGAGGAGCAGTGTGGTTTTCGTCCCGGTCGCGGAACACTGGACCAGCACTATACTCTCCATCGGATACTCGTGGGTTCATGGGAGTTCGCCCAACCTGTCCACATGTGCTTTGTGGATTTGGAGAAGGCGTTCGACCGTGTTCCTCTTTGGGAATTTTTGGGCGCAGCCAGGGGCCGGAGGGGTTCGGTTCGGGAACCACAGGATTTCATCTCTGCTGTTTGCGGATGATGTCGTCCTGTTGGCTCCAACGAAGCAGGACCTGCAACATGCACTGGGACGGTTTGCAGCCGAGTGTGAAGCGGCTGGGATGAGAATCAGCACCTCCAAATCTGAGGCCATGGTGCTCGACCTGAAAAAGGTGCCTTGCCCTCTTCAGGTGGGTGGAGAGGTCCTTCCTCAAGTGGAGGAGTTCAAGCATCTCGAGGTCTTGTTCACGAGTGAGGGAAGGATGGAGCGTGAGATTGACAGGTGGATCAGTGCAGCGTGCGCAGTGATGCGGTCGCTGTATCGGACCGTTGTGGTAAAGAGGGAGCAGCGTCTGCAGTCAGAGCTATATCGGACCGTTGTGGTAAAGAGGGAGCTGAGCCGAAAGGCAAAGCTCTCGATTTACCGGTCAAACTTCGTTCCCTCCCTCACCTATGGTCATGAGCTTTGGGTAATGACCGAAAGAACGAGATCGCGGATACAAGCGGTCGAAATGAGCTTCCTCCGCAGAGTGGCTGCTCCCTTAGAGATAGGGTGAGGAGCTCAGTCACACGGGAGGAGCTCGGAGTAGAGCCGCTGCTTCTCCACGTCGCGAGGAACCAGTTGAGGTGGATGCCTCCCTGGGGAGGTGTTCCGGGCATGTCCCATCGGGAGGAAGTCCCGGGGAAGACCGAGGACACACTGGAGGGGCTATGTCTCTCAGCTGGCCTGGGAACGCCTTGGGGTCCCCCTGGACGAGCTGGAGGAAGTGTGTGAGAGGGAAGTCTGGGCGTCTCTGCTTAGACTGCTGCCCCCGCGACCCGGCAACGGATGAAGCGGAAGAAAATGGAATGGTATTTTAGTTTTATTTACCATTTGCATCATTGAGGTATATTGACAAAATATGTATTTTAAAAACAATTTATTTAAAAGGGTCTGGATATTTTCTTGTGATAGTGTTTTTACGAACAAAAAGTTTGTCTGTACTTGGATTGAAACAGCACTGGGCTTACAGTTTTATTTTCAAATGGAATTATTACCCAATGCTTTGCTTTTCAGAGTACAATAATAATAATTAATACATTTGTTTTCTATAGTGCTTATCAGGACACTCAAAGACACTTCAGATGTCATTCTTTCACTCCATACATAGTGTTGATAAACTACTGTAGCCAATGCTGCCCTGGGGCACACTGACAGAAGAGATGAGACCAGTCTGTGCCATCGGCCCCTCTGACCATCACCAACCATTCAAGCACACACCAGAATCATTACAGGCAACGTGGTTTAAGTGTCTTGCCACAGCGACGCAGTATGGCCACAAAGGATGTGGATGTTTTCCTGAGAATAATCTTTAAAATTGGTCATTTTAAAACTAAATTAACAGGCTTCCAAAGCTCTCCCCAGTAGCCCTTTTGAGTCACTCAAAATGCACTCGAGTAGATTTTTTAACGCACTAAAAATAAGGGTGTTGGATAATAGAACGTCCTGATGCATTTCTGTGTGCAGACCTCCTCCAGTATTTCATCCGCAGAGTCTAGTTGTGGTTCATTGTAACATTTATGGACAGTAGTGACACACGGGTAGTTCAGTGCTGGTTTGATCAGTCAAACTATTTTTGGACTGAGGCAAAAGGGATTTGGTTGAAAACCCTGGATAGTTTGTCAGTGAAAAGGCCTACAGTGACAGGGCAGGTAAAAATGCAGGTCGGGTAAATACCTGGTTGAAGCAGCGGCCGCATACGTCACACTTGTAGGGCTTCTCTCCCGTGTGGATGAGCTCATGGCGCTTTACGTTGTTGTTGTTGGTGAAGGCCTTGTCACAGTAGCGGCACTTGAATGCACGCAGCCCTGTGTGAAGGATCATGTGCCTGTTGAGCAGATATTTGCGACGGAAAGACTTGGCGCAGGTGGGACAGCTGAAGGGCCTGTAGGAGCTGTGGATCCTCTGGTGAGCGGTCAGGCTCTGCTTCAGAGTAAAGCTCTTCCCACAAACATCACAGAGGTGCGGCTTTTCACCTACAGCACACAACCACATTAGGATCATCTGACATACATTATGGATAAATTAGGCATGTATTATGTATCCAATACAGTAAGTATAAGGGTTTTTATAATCTCAATACTCGCCCCACATTTATTTTTCCCCACGATAGTCCGCATGTGGAGCCCAGGCTCACCTGTGTGCCGCAGCATGTGTATGTCCAGCCCCTTCTGCCTGTAGAAGAGCTCTGCGCACACAGGACACTTGTGAGTCTTGGGGGCGTTGGGTGGGCCGCACCTTGGCCTCCGCTTCCGTGGAGCTGTGCTCAGAGGAACCTTCCCCACTGCCACCTTCCTCACCAGCCTAGCTATGTGCGCTCTGTCAGGATCTTCAGCCTCAGCTTCAGTCTGAGGACAATATCTCAATTTATTTACATTTTCCCAAAATGACTTTACATTTCCATAGATATTACCAAGTTATTTCCATCCATCCATCCATTTTCTTCCCCTTAATCCATTTCTGGGTCGGGGGGGTGGCAGTCAGAGCTGCACCCAGTACACAGAGCACCAGCCCCTCACTGATCCTCCTGCAGGTGGTGAGTCCACAGGAGCTGAGATCTTTCAGTGGGAGCTTCAGGCAAAGTGGGGTTAAGTGTCTTGCCCAAGGACACAACGACAGCAGTCATCAGTGTGAGTCGTGAAGTAGGTCTTATGATGGGCTCGAACCCACGACCTTCAGGCCCAAAGGCCAATGCTCTACCAACTGAGCTACTGTCGCCCTTAAAACCAATGTCATGGTCTGTGTTTGATGGAGTTTAAGAACCAATTAGAATAATGGAAATGGCGCCTGTTGGGATGCTCAATGAAGGCCCCCTGTCTTGGACCCTCTCGGACCCCATGTAGCAGGAAGGCCTGCTGCTGAGAGCCCGAGTCTCTCCCTCTCCACCATGTTTCCTTGTGTGTATTAGGAGTGTGACAATATATCGATATGGTGATGTATCATGATACGTCCTCACGCAATCGATTATCTATATGCTTTTGCTAAGTATCGATTTAAAAAAATAAAAATATATTTTATTTTTTTAAGCTTTACTTGAAATAAAATAGGGAATTGATACTCTGTAGAATGGCAGCATTACGCATTCTACAATTACTGTAGAATGTTTATATTGATTTTATTGGATGTGAGACAGATTATGTAAGATTCTTACTCAAATGTGCAGGTTAAAAGGCATTTTTGCTTGTTCACTTTAATGTTACACATGACACTTTATCCATTTATCTTGAAAAAAAAAGTGTATAAATTTTCACTTAATTTATGCCATAAATATAAGAAAAATATTATCGTAGGTATATTTTTGACCAATATATCAATATTCGTTGCATCGTCCTAATGTGAGCTTTGTATCGCACATTGTATCATATCATGAGGTACCCTGAGGTTCCCACTATAAGGTTTTTCTGTGATCTCTGTACGTATCTCTGTTTAGTGTCATTAAATGTCCTGTCCAGTCCAGTTTATTTATGAAGCACTAATAAAAACAACAAGGTTGTCCAAAGTGCTATAAAAATCCTCTTTTATATCAAACTAGATTTTTGTTATAACGCCGCCAGAAGTAAAATCTCAACCCATAAGTCAACAACAAACAGAAGCCAAATACTACTGTTCTTTCATAAATTGCGTCTCATACAGTGTGGTGTGGTTTGTAGGATATGTATATGAGCGCTGCAGAGAGCACACCTGCTCTGGAACGTCCGGTTCAGGGCTCTCTGGCTTCTGGACGTCTTCCTCCATAGTATCCTCCTCTGAGGGGCCCTTATTAGCAGTTATGTGGGCAGCGTGGACATGGTCAGCGTGGACATGGTCAGCGTGGACATGGTTAGTGGCGTCCTCCTCTGTGGGGCCCTCCTCACTCTCTGGGGGCCCATCTGAAGCATCCATCTCCTCGTGCTCTGGGATGACTTTGTGGACTCTGTCCTGATGGACACAAAATGATGTGTTGGTTCTTTATGAATTTAATCAAAATTATATGAAGAAAAAATGGAAGTACACAATGAGCCTCAATGAAATGTTCTTAAAAATGTGTAGTATTCAGGGCTTCACAATCTATTCTCTTAACAGGAAACGTTTGCTGTTGACTATTCTCAGGAATCAAATTATATCAACTAATGTTATTCCGCAGAATAGATATGGAATCATTATTCATTAGGGAATAATAGGTTATACCAACCTTTTTACTCTTCCAGTTTCTGAAGAAAGGCATCCGCCTGAGGGCCGTGTCACAGATCATCACCACTGGGAAGAACACATACAATTCAGCACAAGCTTACAACCAGCCTCTTCCTGGTGCACAAGCACAAGGCTGCTACCTACAGCTGAAGCATAAACCACATTTACTGTGGACATCTGGCGAAATACCAAGGACTATTAAACTAATAGTAATTTTGAGTACTTCATATTGGGCACAAAATAAGATTTATTTTATTTCAATATATAATTTATGAAAAATAACTTTAAATACAAAATTACAAATATGACTTATGTGCTAAGATTATACAGTACATGTCACACAAATCAACACTGTTCTGCATAATATGGGGCATTAACATTTCCACAATATTTTGACTGGCTGTGTCAAAACTGTCTGACATTAAATACAGACAAAACCGTCTCAATGTATTTTACAAACCGAGGTGAGCATATCCATTGTCCAAATATTTTTTATATTAATTCATATTTTTTATTAATAATTAACCATTTATGGTTTTGAAATAAAAAATGTTGATGTATTCTCATATTTAGGTGTGACCCTGGATCAAAGAAAATTTGTAACACTCTTAAGTTTAATTTGGCCAACTTCAGATACATTCAGGGGTCACTCACCACTGAGGCGTCCCATCTGTATCTGAACTCCATGATCCTGTCACATTTTGTATATTATATTTAATAATAGTAATGCATCGGTTTAATATCGGTTTTTGGACACTCAGACGCTTTACACGTCATTCATTCACATACACGGTGGTGATAAACTGCTACTAGGGGTGTGACGATATATCGATTTTTTGATATATCACGATACTTTCTCCCGCGATTCAATTATCGATATGCATTTTCCAAGTATCGAAATCGATTGCCCTGCCCTCCGCTCTGCCCTGCCCTCCGCCCTGCCCTCCGCCCTGCCCTCCGCCCTGCCCTGCCTCCGCCCTGCCTCCGCCCTGCCCTCCGCTCTGCCCTGCCTCCGCCCTGCCCTCCGCCCTGCCCTCCGCCCTGCCCTCCGCCCTGCCCTCCGCCCTGCCCTCCGCCCTGCCCTCCGCTCTGCCCTGCCTCCGCCCTGCCTTCCGCCCTGCCCTCCGCCCTGCCCTCCGCCCTGCCCTCCGCCCTGCCTCCGCCCTGCCCTCCGCTCCGCCCTGCCCTCCGCCCTGCCCTCCGCCCTGCCCTCCGCCCTGCCCTCCGCCCTGCCCTCCGCCCTGCCCTCCGCCCTGCCCTTCGCCCTGCCCTCCGCTCTGCCCTCCGCCCTGCCCTCCGCCCTGCCCTCCGCTCTGCCCTGCCCTGCATCCAGTTACTATAATAGATCCATGGGCCCAATGGCGTCCCTCCTCCATGGTATGTAGCAGCCTAGCAGCATTAGCCCAGCAGCATTAGCCCAGCAGCATTAGCCCAGCAGCATTAGCCCAGCAGCATTAGCCCAGCAGCATTAGCCTAGCAGCATTAGCCTAGCAGCATTAGCCCAGCAGCATTAGCCCAGCAGCATTAGCCCAGCAGCATTAGCCCAGCAGCATTAGCCCAGCAGCATTAGCCCAGCAGCATTAGCCTAGCAGCATTAGCCTAGCAGAATTAGCCCAGCAGCATTAGCCCAGCAGCATTAGCCCAGCAGCATTAGCCTAGCAGCATTAGCCCAGCAGCATTAGCCCAGCAGCATTAGCCTAGCAGCATTAGCCTAGCAGCATTAGCCCAGCAGCATTAGCCTAGCAGCATTAGCCTAGCAGCATTAGCCTAGCAGCATTAGCCTAGCAGCATTAGCCTAGCAGCATTAGCCTAGCAGCATTAGCCTAGCAGCATTAGCCTAGCAGCATTAGCCTAGCAGCATTAGCCTAGCAGCATTAGCCTAGCAGAATTAGCCCAGCAGACACCACTGGAAACAGCAAACAACAGCATGATGATTCAGACGGGGTTTGAGGCATCGCAGCAAAATAAAAAGATATATTAAGACATGTCAGCTTCACCTCGAAGCACTGGGGAATCATCACACTCCAAAACAAGCTGTAAAAAGTTTTTAAAAACTGAAGCAGGACTATAAAAAACTCAAAGACCACAACAACCGGAGCGGTCACGAACGTAAAATAAACAAATGGGTTTGGCGCATGGATCTATAATAATAACAGGTTTGGCGTAATGAGTTTTGCTTCTGCAGCGATCGAAACATATGACGTTGCCGAGTGGTCCTACTGCAGGAGAGACACTGACACTGAGAGGAAGGTTCCTGTAAAAGTTCCACCCCGCTCCTTTTACCAGGAACTCCTGCGGTGGAAACGCGCTGCGGCTTAAGAAAAGTCGTAACATTGAGTGCAGACAAAATGACCCAAACAACTCGACCCGCGTCTAGAGGAGAATGCATCTCTGTGACAGCCATGAGTCAGTGGAACACACTGCCCACAGAGATTAGTCAGTGAGGGTAATATTTTAGTAGAAGTTGGGGAACTGTATTTTTTTTAAATTATATATATTAAATGTTTTGTGAATGATGTTATTTAAACTCTGTAAATGTAAGACACGGTCATGTATCTATCTACATTAGAATCTGTTTAAATGAACATAACACCAGCCTGCCCAGGAACTACAGGCGGAAATTAGCATTTTTGCTATAACCTGGTACAATACATCTCTTCTTTGTGATAATGTTTAATTGTAAAATGTCCCTGCTCAAATAAAGTACACACCACACCATCATACAACTGTAAAAAGCACTTTGTAGTCTCATAAAATATCCCATATTATGGGGTATTTCAAAGTAGTATTATTGTGCTAAACTTTGTAAAACTCACAATAAATTAACAGCTTACTCATGTCAATAGTTAATGCAAATCGATTACGATTCAGAGGCTGTGATTAAATTAAAAAACAGTTATTGCATTTTTGCATAAGTTTTTTATGTATGTAAATTGATGCACTTTTTCCACATTTCCAGAGTTAAATTCTTTTCCATTATATTTTATCATGAAATTATCCCTTTTTGCTATTTTTATTGTTTCATATGTTAGTTACAAATAATATGGTCAGAAGGGTCTAAAGCAGGCATGTCAAAGTCAAATACATCAGAGGGCCAAAAAAACAAATTTGCTGCGAGCCGAGGGCCGGACTGGTTCAATGTTTATTAACTCATTGCCTGCCAGCCCATTTCAGAACAGGTACTCCCATATTTCCAGCAGTTTCTGATGATTGTTATAGATTTTTCAAGACCCACAGACTATTGTGTACTATGACTATCTGAAATCCGAAACCAGATTCTGAAAGATTAGACTGTCTACTTTCATCAGCAAAAACTATTTTGTTTCTAGCTTGTAATCCCCAGTTGAGTAGAGGAAAGTTTTACTGAAATCACCAAAAAGCTGAGAAAAAAGAGGCACAAGTGCATCTAACTGTTTTCAAACCATGCTGGCTCGATTCAATATGCTCTCAAGCTTATCCCCAAACATATTAGATATAATAGACATCTGGGAACATGAAAATAGCGGAAAACGCAATTGACGTAATAGTGCGTCAATGGCAACGGGCCATGTAAAATGCATTCGCGGGTCGAATTTGGCCCGCCGACCTTGACTTCGACACATGTGGTCTAAAGGGTCAGAAGGGCCTACTTCAGCGAGGTTAGTTTACCGTTTCTCTTCCTGTTTACACTAGGCTACTGTGCACCAACCAGCTCAAGCATGGATTGCATTCTTTGCAATCTACAGAGAGTCAATGTGTACAAGTCATGGATCTTAGGGCGACAGTAGCTCAGTTGGTAAAGCATTGGGCTTTGAGCGAGAAGGTCGTGGCTTTGAGCCCACCACAAGACTTTCTCCATCAACTCCCACTGTCTGCTGTCTTTGTGTCCTTGGCAAGACACTTCACCCCCATTGCCTAGAATGAGTCTGGTTGGTGGTGGTGGTCGGATGGCACATTCTGGTTGCCTCGCTTCTGTCAGTGTGCCCCAGGGCAGCTGTGGCTACAGTAGTAGTTTATCACCACCGTGTATGGAGTGAATTAATAATGACATGTGAAGAGCCTTTGAGAGTCCAAAAAAGCGCTGTATAAAACCGATGCATTATTATCTATAATAAACAACAGGATAGGGTATTACTAGCTTTTTGCTGTCCCACCCTTGGGCACTTTTTTCTGAGTAGCCCATGTGAATTTAAATTATTTTAAATTCATGTGGGATACTCAGAAAAAAGTCCCATAGAACTCAATGTAAACTAAAACAGCTGTGATATGGGTCTTTCTCAAATGTGCAGTGGCTTAGTGGGTAACGCGTGTGTGTGTGTTTGTGTCTTTGAGCGGGCGCAAGGCGGACACGGGAGCGCGCCTTGGAGTAAACGCTGTAAGCGCTGAGAGTGAGCATGTATATGAAAAGTGTGGAATCGCAATTAATCCAAAAATTGTAAATTTCCCCCACCTAGATAATGGAAAACCACGGAGGACCCGTGCGATATCCTTGGGCTACACTGCTATCAGCTTTTAACAGGCCCTTTGCTCCTTTTATTTTGTCTGTCACATGCTCAGGTATGTATTAAAACAACTTACAACTTATTATAACTGGTGGGGCAACAGTAGCTCAGTTGGTCGAGGAATGGCCTGAAGGATGTAGGTTCAAGTCCACCACAAGACCTACTTCACAACTCCCACTGATGAATGCTGTTATTGTGTCCTTGGGCAAGACAATCAGCCCCACTTTGCCTGAGGCCCCCATTGAAAAATCCAAGCTATGCTCTCACTGACAGAAGCCATCCTCCTGCAGGAGGATCAGTGTCCTAACATGCTCTAGATTTTGATTATGAGATCAGCACCACGGACCCACATGGGCAGGGCAGTCGATACTCTTCGCCTTGGAGCGTCCTACTACAAACATGTTTCTCCACATAACAATATTACATTTCCACCTTCACATTTTATTCTTTTTTTTATTGTACATAATATATCCTGAAAAGACTTTTTTTGCCTTTAACATGTTTGCACACTTCTTTCTTTTGCACAAACCTTGAGTGATTCTATCCATGCCAAAAGCGACATGTAAATTGTGTGAGATCAATAAAGTTTATCTTATCTTCACGGTGTGCATCTTTGAGGTGTGTGCGTGTGTGCGTGCGTGCGTGTGCGTGTATCTTTGAGGTGTGTGTCCATACCTTTGCGCTGTGGCTGGGCCTGTTCCCTCAGATTTGCCTCTGCAGTCTCCAGCCTCTGCCGCAGATCCTCCACCTCAGACACCTGCACAAACACACAAATCTTTCACGGATGTTTTAAGTTCTGACAGGAAAAAAATAAAAAATAAAACAAATAAAATAAAACAAATCGCTGCCCACTTAAGGCTGCAGTTTACTTCCCCGTACATCTCCAGTCTGTGTAACAACGGACAACCCCTGGGACTGTATTCCTTGTTGTGGTGTCAGGTATGCAAAGCAAAGTAGTTCAACGCCCAGTCTTCGATCTCTAGGTTGTGTGCAGTCAACAAGACACATGGAAAAAAGCTGAACAACAGGGGCTTTCTGCACATTGTAATTATAAAGCTGTGAGGAGAAAATTCTCCTAAAGTATAGGGGTGTCCTGCACCCACACACAGATTTAATTTGATGCGTTTTTTATTGGTTTATGAGCGGTGGCGCCACCTGAATGTGAAAGGCAGATCCTGTCAGACCACTGAAGCCAAACAGGGAAAGGCCTGGCTAGTACTGTGATGGTACACCTTCTGGGAACACCAGAAGGCTGAGGCTGTAAAGTGCCCAATTGTCATAGTGTCCTTAGGAAAGACCTTCGTCCGCATTGCCTTGAATAGGTCTGGTGTGTACATGAATGGTTGGTGGTGGTCAGAGGTCCAGGGCAGCAGTGACTACAGTAGTAGTAGTGTTTATCCCCACTGTGTATGGAACAATGAGTGTGAAGAGTGTCTTTGAGTGTCCGTTGTGTGAAACCAATATAATTATCATCATTATTATTATTTTATAAACATAGTTTTCCAGGATGCTCGCATTTCTGAGCCTTTCTTTTCTGCCTCGGCTCTAGATGCAGTCTCCTCGCAGTGAATGATCTCCAGGCTGTTCACTGTCCCTTCGCAGAGTGATGGGTTTAAAACTAACATAATAATGAGCACCACGATTCAGCTTAGCTTGTGGGAAAGGCTAAAGGAAAAGAACGTAATTTCAAGTGTTCTAGTGACTCAGCCGCTCTTACATACAAGAGGAAAGGCTTGGTCCCCTGTGTTTTTAGCTTTAAAAAGCGGTTGGGAAGAAAATGCAGGCAAATACAAAGATGCCAAACCATTTAAATATTTAAAGACAATGACATTTTTTTTTTTATTTTATTCTCCGATCCTAGAGAATTCCAGAACCTATAAAAAAATAAATAAATCAACAGTCATGTACGAGGCAAACACAAGACCTGCTTGTTGTATGGCAACAGCTCTGCACCACCCTCTTATACAATTGGCATCAGTTAATCCACCGGAGGCCTGTGACTTACCTTGAGCTGGAGTAAGGCAGAGCACTCTTGGAAAAGCAGACAGAGCTTCTCCACTGCGTCCTGAGCAAGGGTGGCCAAGCAGAGGCTGACATGGAACACCTGCACACATAAGGGATGTCAATGTTCTAAGCAAGTATTACACTTTATGGAAACTGTGACATATTCATAAGACTGTTGTATTCTGGCCATAGTGAACATGTCATGTCATTCTACTAACTCAAAATGTTTCAGTTGAAAAAGAGGTTCTTAATCTCAATGGGACTTTCATGGTTGAATAAGAAATTACAGAAAACTCTGTTTTTAGAGATCCAGGTATCAGAATCCAAATTATATGTAGCACCACAGTAAGAGACACATCCTGTTCCAGCTCCATGTTGTGATGTGAGAAATGGCACAAACCTAGGAAGAGAGAATGTATTTACTTTGGATGTGAGCATTGACTGTAGTCTCTTAAGTGTTTCTTCTTCCAACTCAAGCTTTTGAGCTGATAATCTGTAAGTTATATTTATAAATACATATGAATGTAACTCTTTCTGTTGAATGAAATTAAATGAAAGTGAAATGAAATTCATGATCAAATATGATTATTTTCTGTATCTGCATTTGAACTGGATGTTCTGCCCCATCACATGTTCTAATGTTTTCAGGTAGTGTTCTAAAGGCACTTATTTAAGTCTGCAAGGTACTACTGTGTTGATATAAACTGATACATGGTGATTTTTGGCTTACAAAATGATATCACAGTAAATTAAAAATACACTTACTGTAGTACTAGTTTGTAATAAGAAATATGTGTTCATATTTGCATCGTTAGTCTGCAAATATTACATTTTAAGGCCATTTAAAAGCATGTCCTGTCTCAGTTATAGATCCATGCTCAGACTCGTCTCTTGTTGGAAACGCAAAATGGCCGCCAGCCGCAGACCAGCCCCGCTCTCTCTAGCCCTTCCGGTGTCCGCCAGAACCGAACCAACACAACACTCATGGAACCATAGACTTAACACTCGCCTTCTGGTCCACAGGCTCCGCGGGGCTCACACACTCCTCTGGGAGGAACGCTGCGGTGCCGTCCACCACTTTGGTCACTTCTGTCATCGCGGCGCCGACCATCAGCTCCAGGATGGCGGCCACCTGCGCCTCCACCTCCCCCATGGAGCTGAGGCCTTCTCTGGCTCTGTCCGAGACCGGTGGATGAGGGGGCCGTGCAGCGGTGTTTGTGGTGAATGTGTGGAGGCTGTGGGGCGGTTAACAACGTTCTTAAACTCTTGTTCTTCCTCTTCTTCAATGGATGGATGGTAAACAAAGTGAATGGCCCGTTACCGCCACCAACTGGTCAGGATAAGACTTACATCTGTGGTGAGGCCATGCCCAGAGGTCTGCAACCTCTGTTATCTATCTTAGAGCCAGGCTCTATTTTCAGTGTCCAGGGCCACAACAGATAAAATGTATACAAGTTACAATGTTGAGTATAATATAATAACAACCACCAAAAAAACCCATGAGATTAAAGAAGAAAAACATGTTTTACTTTTGCAGGACTCTTTCTGTTTGGACAAACATTTATGAAAGAAATACAGTTTGGTACCCCAGATTTTCTCAGCAGCAACAGTATCGTGTTCATTTGTTCACTTCATGTGTGCTTAATCACAATTAAAGACTCCAGAGTCCGGTGTCAGGTCTGAGACTAGAGCTGTTCGAACATGTACGCAGCCAAACCAATGGGAGTAAATCAGACATTTCCCTTCTTGGAGCATTATGCCCCATCCTGCAGTGCTAACCTGTGGCGTTGGGTGGCCGCCTCACAGGGCTCTTTTAAGCTTTATTTATTTATATACCGCCTTTCACAGACCAGAGTCACAAAGCGGTTTACAATTGTTATTTTTTGGGCACTTGTCTCTCACTCCACACAGAGATGGGAGCGGGGTCGTCGAACAGGAGGCGCATGCCAGACCTATTGGACATATTTTTAGTGGTAGGGGAAACCGGAGTACCCGGAGGAAACCTACGCAGACACGGGGAGAACATGCAAACTCCACTCAGAAAGGCCCTGGTCCGACCGGGATTCGAACCCAGGACCTTCTTGCTGAGAGGCGAGAGTGCTATCCACTCAGCCACCGTGCCGCTGCTTTTACCGTTGCTGCTTCTTCTAAATCTCATTTAGTTGCTTTAGTTTCCATCGTGGTCTGTCACGATAGAAAATTAAGTTTATCACCCTTATTTTAGTATGATCTTTGTCAGAAATGCGCAAGGCCATGCACCGTCTTTATCCATAGAAAACATGTTATCACCTGCAAACTTGTAAGAAAGCCCTCTTTTGACTGAGGGTCAATGCCGTAAGGTTCATACCGTTTTGAGAGAGAAACTAGTTAGATTGATTTTTATTACATAGTACTTTTTAAGTGGTTTAGCTAGTGCAGCACCTTGGGACCCATCTCCAGATGCTCTTGGTTTTTTGCATGTTTTGGGTGATGGGGTAAACCGGAGTACTCAGGGGAACCCTGCCCAGACACTTGACTGGTGATAACCTTATCCATGGGAGAAAGTTGCAAATTCCACAAAAAAAGACTCTTCACAGGATATGAGCATATGACCTTCTTGCTTTGAGGCATAGCTCTACCTACTCAGCCAGGCACTTCTACATTTATGGACCTTAGGTGCACCTTGATAAACATTTATTTTACTTGCAAAAGTTGATTTCTTGTATACAGATGAAATATAAGAACATTGTTCAAAAGTTCATTTAATTTTGTAATTCCATTGAAATGTGAAATATATAAAATAAAGTCCCAAATCCCTGCAAACAAAATGTATTCACTTTTCATTTTGTGTTTGACTCAGTTTGCAGAGCTGGTCCGTAACATTCAACCATAGATTTAATGATAAATGTGGTTTCCTGTGAAATGTTGTTAACTACGCTTCTTGAGATAGCAGAAGTCAGAGGAACTTCTAGAGCAGGTGGTCAGAGGAGACCACAGCGGTGCTTCTTGAGGTGGCGGGAGTCAGAGAAGCCCAGGCAGCAGGTGCTGCAGGTATATGGCCTCTGGCCTGTGTGCACTTGCATATGGAACTGCACATGTGTGAGCTGTCTGAAGCGTGCCCCACACACTTCACACTCGTAGGGCTTGTGCCCTGAGTGGATGAGCAGGTGTTTGCGGTAGTTGGCTTGGCCTCTGAAGGCTTTTCCACACTGCTCACACTGATGTGGTTTCTCTCCAGTGTGCTGAAGTTTGTGGCTTTTCAGTGCTTGTTTGGTTATGAAGGCTTTTTCACACAGATCACAATGAAAGGGTCGCTCCCCTGAGTGTAGCCGCAGGTGGTAGGTGTACATGGATTTGTAAAAAAAGCTTCTGGGGCATAGATGGCACTTGTACTGCTTCTTATCAGAGTGGATCAGCTGATGTTTGTGAAGAGTTTTTGCGTCCTCAAAGCTGCGGTGACAGCTTTCACAGCTGAAGGGTGTGACGTCCAGCGTGGTCCTGTCCAGCCGCAGAATGACCCTGCGCTGGGCTGTTCGGATCTGTGCTCTTGCCTGATCTCTGCTTCTCACACCCCCCTGGTCCTTCTCATGGACCTGCTTCTGGTGTTTCTGCAGCTGGTATTGGTACAGGAAGGTGCGCCCACAAAGATCACACATGAACATCTTAGGAGCTCCGTGAATGATCATGTGTGCCTTGAGTTTGTTCTGGACAAAGCTTTTGCCGCAGATGGGACACTTGAACGGCCGCTCCCCAGTGTGGATGCGCATGTGGCGCTTTAGGTTCTGCTGAAAACTGAAACTGGCAGCGCACACGTCACAGCTGAAGCTCTTGCCACTGTGCACGGACTTATGCAGCTGCATAGACCTCTTGAGTTTGAAGCTCTTGTCACACTGGGAACATTTGTAGGGCTCGTCTCCAGTGTGGGTGCGCTGGTGGCTGCGCAGGGCAAAGGCGTTCCTGAAACTCTTCCCACAGTCAGTGCACTGATGGGGCTTGTGCCCAGAGTGCACGGCCTGATGGGAACTCAGGTATGCCCTGGTCTTGAAGCTTTTCTTACAAGTGGAGCAGGTGAAAGGCTTGTTTTCACTGTGCAGCTTCTCATGGCTTCTCAGGTACACTTTCTTTTTGAAGCTCTTGTCACAGATATCACACTTGAAGGGGCTGGCTATTTCCTCACTGTGTTCCAGCAGGTGGCGCTCCAAGAGGCTTTGTTCTGTGAAGGTAAAGGGGCAGTGCTCACAGGCCAGCGGGATCATGTTGCACAATCCACCCTGAAGCTCATCGCTGCTCCTTGCTGTGTTTGCAACCTCCTCATCCTGGACATGGACTGGAGTATCTGTGGAGACAACATATGTGGACACATAAGTTTTTTGTGGAAGAGGAGAATGCAAAAGCACATAAATCAACACTGCTGAATTGTATAACATCAGATGCACTGAAAAAGAATCATATTTTACAACTCAGACAACTTTGTTAGACAAATCCCCAACAAAATTAATTTATAATTACTATAAAATTTGTTGTGACTTTCTGTAGAACTTCTGGTGAAAACAACAACTTATAGTAATCAGTGTTTTGTTGGTAGAATATTATTATACCTGAATACTAAAAGACCCAGCTTTTATGGTCTCCAGTTGATACTCTACAAGAATACTGCAAAGGTGGTTGCTTTCTCAATTTTGAGTCAGAAGAGTTCAATGAAATATAGATTACGTTCAACCCTAAAGTCGATCTCCCAATCAACAATTCAGCAAACCCTCCAGTGTCCAAGCTAAACTAATTATAGCTTGCTGTAGACCAAGACCAGGAGTCACCACAACTTGCTACTACTTCATTGTTCATTTAAGGGTTACAATGTTGAATGTTTACAAGTGGTTTTTGGGGTTTGATTCCTTGATGCAGTCTTGTCGGATGCCTCCTCAGCAGCGCTCCTCACACAGTTTCTCCCTTGATGCTCGCACTGCTTCTGTGAGTAGTTTCTCCTCTGCTCCTGCTCAGACATGTGCCTCCTCTCATGTTGGCTCTCCAGCAGGTCCAGTCGGCTTTGCAACTTTTTGGTCTCCCGCCTCAACAGCTGCACAAAGATGTTGCCGATTTTTCTCGCTGCCTCTTGAGATGTTCTTGTCACCAGTCTTTCTTGTGACTCTGGCTGTAAAAAGAATTATGGTGATGTGTCATGAGTTTTTTTTTTTTTTGCACAAATATAAAACATATTATTCCTTGTGTTTTATCTTGTTTTGTTGCAAATTATGGAAATTGTAAAACAGAATAAGCCCCTCACTTTTTATTGTCTTCTGAATAGAAAAGCCCCATTTGTGATTAAATAAAATTATAATCAAATGAAATCATAGTAATTATGGATTTAAACACACTGGCGGGAAATACTATTGATGAACATATAAAGTTGTGAGACCCACTTCTAGGAGATTGCTCGGCATGTTTCATCTTTAATCGCATTAATGTACAGAAGAACTAACTGGGATGAACTTTCAACTATTGAATGAATATTCAAATAACATACTATCTTTTATAATATTAGTGATGAGAGAAACATGTACGATACGATTCTTGAAGATTAATTTGTAATAAATACATACAAGTGATGAGTTTGAATGTGACATCCAATGTCATTTTCGAAACCGGTAGAAAATAAAATAAAATAAAACACAAAAGTAGAATTATCTGAATTAATTCTGCTCGTCAGGAAGCACATGATGGCTACCAAAAAAGAAGCCACAAATTCTCCAGTATCTTGTACCCAATCATTTTGACTTCCACTGACATAATCCATGATAGCACACATAACGTTGGATTTCTTTATTTTAATTACTATGTGTCCTAATTTGCATATATATATATATAAAATCAGCTGAGCCGCTGGTGTCGGCTCCGACAGTCAGAACACAGAGGGTCCTGGGACTCACCTTGGCAGATGCAGACATTTCAAGAACTGTGGTGATGGCGGTCTCTACTATGGTCCGAGTGGCGCAAGCCGCGGGGCCCATGTCCCCCGTCTCCACCGGGAACACGGCAGACTGGCTGAGTGTAGACTTCATTCCAAGTGTAATATAAGTGGGTTAAGCTGGGTCAGTCGTTGATAAGTGTGTGTGCGGGGATCTCTGGTCTTGGAGCTACTTTAAGCGGGGTTTAAAGAGGGTGCCCTTAAAACACCCTCCATGCTCCACTCTCGCCCTGTCAAGGCTTTAATCCTAAAACCAAGTCAGTCCATCACTCTTTCATGACCCGGAAGCCTCCTTCTTCTGTCGCTTAATGGCTAAGACTCAATACTGACGTATGCCGCCACCTACTGTATCGGAGTGCGATAATCCATGCCTTTGGAACAATGTTAGTCTATTTATCAGTTTTGTTGAAGTCAAAAAATAAAAAAATGCCCTCCATGCCTTCTCTTGATTAAGCCCCTCTCCCAAAACACCCTCCATGCTCCACTCTCGCCCTGCTTCACTGAGCCTTTAAAACACCCTCCATGCTCCACTCTCGCCCTGCTTCACTGAGCCTTTAAAACACCCTCCATGCTCCACTCTCGCCCTGCTTCACTGAGCCTTTAAAACACCCTCCATGCTCCACTCTCGCCCTGCTTCACTGAGCCCTTAAAACACCCTCCATGCTCCACTCTCGCCCTGCTTCACTGAGCCTTTAAAACACCCTCCATGCTCCACTCTCGCCCTGCTTCACTGAGCCTTTAAAACACCCTCCATGCTCCACTCTCGCCCTGCTTCACTGGAGCCCTTAAAACACCCTCCATGCTCCACTCTCGCCCTGCTTCACTGAGCCCTTAAAACACCCTCCATGCTCCACTCTCGCCCTGCTTCACTGAGCCTTTAAAACACCCTCCATGCTCCACTCTCGCCCTGCTTCACTGAGCCTTTAAAACACCCTCCATGCTCCACTCTCGCCCTGCTTCACTGAGCCCTTAAAACACCCTCCATGCTCCACTCTCGCCCTGCTTCACTGAGCCTTTAAAACACCCTCCATGCTCCACTCTCGCCCTGCTTCACTGAGCCCTTAAAAAACCCTCCATGCTCCACTCTCGCCCTGCTTCACTGAGCCTTTAAAACACCCTCCATGCTCCACTCTCGCCCTGCTTCACTGAGCCTTTAAAACACCCTCCATGCTCCACTCTCGCCCTGCTTCACTGAGCCTTTAAAACACCCTCCATGCTCCACTCTCGCCCTGCTTCACTGAGCCTCTAAAACACCCTCCATGCTCCACTCTCGCCCTGCTTCACTGAGCCTCTAAAACACCCTCCATGCTCCACTCTCGCCCTGCTTCACTGAGCCTTTAAAACACCCTCCATGCTCCACTCTCGCCCTGCTTCACTGAGCCCTTAAAACACCCTCCATGCTCCACTCTCGCCCTGCTTCACTGAGCCTCTAAAACACCCTCCATGCTCCACTCTCGCCCTGCTTCACTGAGCCTCTAAAACACCCTCCATGCTCCACTCTCGCCCTGCTTCACTGAGCCTTTAAAACACCCTCCATGCTCCACTCTCGCCCTGCTTCACTGAGCCCTTAAAACACCCTCCATGCTCCACTCTCGCCCTGCTTCACTGAGCCTTTAAAACACCCTCCATGCTCCACTCTCGCCCTGCTTCACTGAGCCTTTAAAACACCCTCCATGCTCCACTCTCGCCCTGCTTCACTGAGCCTTTAAAACACCCTCCATGCTCCACTCTCGCCCTGCTTCACTGAGCCTTTAAAACACCCTCCATGCTCCACTCTCGCCCTGCTTCACTGAGCCCTTAAAACACCCTCCATGCTCCACTCTCGCCCTGCTTCACTGAGCCTTTAAAACACCCTCCATGCTCCACTCTCGCCCTGCTTCACTGAGCCTTTAAAACACCCTCCATGCTCCACTCTCGCCCTGCTTCACTGAGCCCTTAAAACACCCTCCATGCTCCACTCTCGCCCTGCTTCACTGAGCCTTTAAAACACCCTCCATGCTCCACTCTCGCCCTGCTTCACTGAGCCTTTAAAACACCCTCCATGCTCCACTCTCGCCCTGCTTCACTGAGCCCTTAAAACACCCTCCATGCTCCACTCTCGCCCTGCTTCACTGAGCCCTTAAAACACCCTCCATGCTCCACTCTCGCCCTGCTTCACTGAGCCTTTAAAACACCCTCCATGCTCCACTCTCGCCCTGCTTCACTGAGCCTTTAAAACACCCTCCATGCTCCACTCTCGCCCTGCTTCACTGAGCCTTTAAAACACCCTCCATGCTCCACTCTCGCCCTGCTTCACTGAGCCCTTAAAACACCCTCCATGCTCCACTCTCGCCCTGCTTCACTGAGCCTTTAAAACACCCTCCATGCTCCACTCTCGCCCTGCTTCACTGAGCCCTTAAAACACCCTCCATGCTCCACTCTCGCCCTGCTTCACTGAGCCCTTAAAACACCCTCCATGCTCCACTCTCGCCCTGCTTCACTGAGCCCTTAAAACACCCTCCATGCTCCACTCTCCCCTGCTTCACTGAGCCCTTAAAACACCCTCCATGCTCCACTCTCGCCCTGCTTCACTGAGCCTTTAAAACACCCTCCATGCTCCACTCTCGCCCTGCTTCACTGAGCCTTTAAAACACCCTCCATGCTCCACTCTCGCCCTGCTTCACTGAGCCTTTAAAACACCCTCCATGCTCCACTCTCGCCCTGCTTCACTGAGCCTTTAAAACACCCTCCATGCTCCACTCTCGCCCTGCTTCACTGAGCCTTTAAAACACCCTCCATGCTCCACTCTCGCCCTGCTTCACTGAGCCTTTAAAACACCCTCCATGCTCCACTCTCGCCCTGCTTCACTGAGCCTCTAAAACACCCTCCATGCTCCACTCTCGCCCTGCTTCACTGAGCCTTTAAAACACCCTCCATGCTCCACTCTCGCCCTGCTTCACTGAGCCTTTAAAACACCCTCCATGCTCCACTCTCGCCCTGCTTCACTGAGCCTTTAAAACACCCTCCATGCTCCACTCTCGCCCTGCTTCACTGAGCCCTTAAAACACCCTCCATGCTCCACTCTCGCCCTGCTTCACTGAGCCTTTAAAACACCCTCCATGCTCCACTCTCGCCCTGCTTCACTGAGCCTTTAAAACACCCTCCATGCTCCACTCTCGCCCTGCTTCACTGAGCCCTTAAAACACCCTCCATGCTCCACTCTCGCCCTGCTTCACTGAGCCCTTAAAACACCCTCCATGCTCCACTCTCGCCCTGCTTCACTGAGCCCTTAAAAGCGTCGCTTTGCACACTGTACTTCTCACATTTCAACAGCACATGCTCAACTGTTTTACTTATAGCACACGTTTCACACTTGTCTGTAACAGACTTATTCTAAATGTTGAGTTCAGGCCTGTATGTCCGAGCCTTAGCCGGATAAGTGCTGTATCGTTTCTCCTGTGATAACTGGCAGGTGTTAATCGCCAAGCTCTGACACTCTTTAATTCCGCACTAACATCTTCCCTTGACTTATTGCCTGCCAGCCTATTTCAGGACAGGTTCTCCCATAGTGCCAGCAGTTTCTGATGATTTTTTACTGATTTTTCAAACCCACAAAATATTGTACTATGACTATCTGAAATCTGATTCTGAAAGAAAGGACAGTCTACTTTCATCAGCAAAAATAATGTTGTTTCTAGCTTGTTTCGTTCCCCTGTAATCCTCAGTCGAGTAGAGGGAAGTTTTACTGAAATCACCAAAAAGCTGAGAAAAAGGAGGCACAAGTACATTCTGTTTTCAAAACATACAGAGCTGGTGCCGCCTGCTGGCTCGATGAAATATGCTCTAAAGCTAATCCCCATACAATACTATAGACATCTGGAACAGGAAAATAGCGGAAAACGCAATCAAAGGCAGACGACTGTACTATTTGGCAGTCAATGAGTTAAAGATGCTATACCAGATTTATTTTCTAATGAGTTCATAAAAATGCTTATTACTACATACAAGTTGTATTATAATCCGTAATTTAATTTAAAACTTGAGTTAATTGATTCAGCGTGTGCATGTATGAATTCAGGCCGTAAAAAAGTGCTGAGTAGAGACTAAGGCCCAATCCCCACACTGCCCCTACACTCCTCCACCAAGTGTGCATTTGTCCGAAGGGCACGCAGGCTGATACTAAAATTGTTTCTTGTACATATACGATTTCCTTTGATATATTTTTTGCACGTCCCAATGCCCAATAAATTATAACGTCTTGATATAAAAAGAAACTGGATAAACGTATGTAGAAACAGAACATGATGAAAAAAGAACACGCAGAAATCATTTTGTTAGATTATAAAAACATTTGCCTAATTAGTGTTTCCATTTAGTCTTTTGACTCGCTTGTTTTGAAGTTGTTTTCACCATTTAATTGTTAACTTAAAGAAATGTATACCCTCAGCAGATTAAAGTTCAAAGTCATATCTAGAATCCAGATTCTAGGGCAGTAAAAACACCTGTGATTAAATATTGTTCTACTAGTTTAATTGAACAGTGAGGGACATTCTAAATAAAGCAGTAGCATCTCCATGGCAAACAGCAGACCAAGTTGGTGCCATATAATAGAACAAAGCACAGAGTTTGGCTTGTACCATCTGAAGTATCTCATGGACCACGGTTTGAGAAACATTGCTCCAGAGTCTATGTTGCAGCTATGACTCATTTGCAGTTAAAGATGATAATAATTAAATGATTAGCTGCAACAATGAAATAAGTCAATGTATAAATACATTCAGAGATGCTGTAATAAACCTTTTTACCCTCTTTAAAAGACAAGAACAATAAGTTTTTAATTAGTAAAGTAAGGCACAGAACTGAACATACGAGCGGTTAAAGGGTTGCCCCCTTCGAGCTTAAATTTAGAGTCCATATGCAGTTAATGTACCCGTGTTTCCAAACAAAGCCCAAAAGAGCTGGAGCACAATATGCGCTCGCTGACAAATGTGTGACAAGTCTGAGAGTAGCTAGGTGCTGTAGTTATGAGCCGTGGCAGCTGTGCTTCTTGAGCTGGCGAGAGTCGGAGAAGCCCTGACCACATGCGGTGCAGGAGTACAGCTTCTGCCCCGTGTGCAGCTGCATGTGCGCCTTTAGCTGGTTGGACTGGTGGAACCTTTTCTGACAGTACATGCACTCAAACGGCTTGTCTCCACTGTGAATGCGCATGTGTCTGTAGTAGTTGCTGTCAGTGCGGAAGGCTTTCCCACACTGGTCACACGTATAGGGCTTCTCTCCTGTGTGGATGCGCTCGTGCTGCTTCAGACTGCTGGCCTGGTAGAACCTGTTCCCACAAACGTCGCACACAAACGGCTTGTCCCCTGTGTGCGTGCGCTGATGGTAGTTGAAAGAGTATTTGTTGTGAAAAGACTTGTTGCACACATCACAGGTGAACTCCTTCTCTTCACTGTGGCCCTTCTCATGCAGTTTGAGTGACCAGGCAGCAGAGAATCCTCGCAGACACACTTTACAGTTGAAGGCCTTCTCCACATCCTTTTTTCTGCGCCGCTCCCCAGGAGGCTGCAGCCCGTCCTCCTCCCGGTTAGCATGGACAAACTTCTGATGGGCTTGCAGTCTGCAGTTGAACAGGAAGGTCTTCCCACAAAGGTCGCACATAAACGGCTTGATGGCTCCATGAATGAGCATGTGCGATTTGAGTTTGTGATTGTCAGAAAAGCTCTTGCCACAGTCCTGGCAGCTGAAGGGCTTCTCTCCAGTGTGGATACGGATGTGTCTCTTCAGGTTGTTGTTGAGACTGAAGCGCGCTCCACAGATGTGGCAGGTGAAGGGCTTTTCTCCCGTGTGCACAACACTGTGGCGCTTTAAGGCCGTGCCGGTGCGATAGGTGCGGTTACACACAGAGCAGATGAACGGGCTGATGCCAGTGTGCTTCCTGCGGTGCACAGTGAGGGAGTGGGCATACTTAAAGCTCTCCTCGCACTCAGAGCACTTATACTTCTTGGCGCTGGTGTGAACCATCTGGTGGAAGCGCAGTGTGTCTTTGCTCTTGAAGAGTTTGCCACAGGTGGCACAGCTGTAGGGCCTCTCCTCGGAGTGCACCACCATGTGGCAGCGGAGCTGCACAGAGTTCTTACACGTCTTCTCACAAAGTGCACACTGGAACACCAGCGCCTCCTTGTGATGGCGCACCCAGTGGTTGCGTAGACTCTGTTCCAGTCTGAAGCTGCGGCCACACGGCTGGCAGATGAAGGGTTTGGGGGGGCCCTGCTGGTGCCGGGCCATGTGGCTGTGTAAGGAGTGCTCCTTCCTGAAGGCCCTCTTACAGTGGGGGCAGGGGAAGGGCAGCGGCTCCCTCACCTCTGCATGACTCTGCGCATGTTTCTCCAGAGAATCCGCGTCTGCAAATGAGTGCTCACACTGCTCACAGTAGTAGGATTTCAGGTGCACCTTGATGTGCTTGTTTAAGTCTCCTTTCCAGTGAAAGCCCAAGTTACAGAAGTCACAAAAGTAGCGCATCACAGGCTTCAGAGTCCTCCCTGACACTCTACTGGCCAGCACCTCTACAGGGCCAGCCTCCTCCTCCTCCACCACCTCCTCCTCCACCTCCTGCTCCTGCTCCTCCACCTCCTCCTCAGCCTCAGCCTCAGCCTCAGCCTCAGCCTCAGCACCTGGGAAAGAGGAGCTCTTTAACTGGAGGACATTTACACACATTATATATGTAAACTATTTAGGAGTCACACAAACCTTTGTATTTTTTTGAAGTGGCTTCTCTTTTTCTTTTCAGTCTCTCAGTAGCTGAGCAGTCAAATACAATCTATAAAAAACATACATTACACAACATCAGTATAGTAACACAAAGTATGTGTTGCACACATTAACCACAGTATTGGATTTCTCTGAAATATCTTGTTTCTAACTTTTTGCAAGTACTTTGAGTAAAGTATTGGTTTTGGCAACAGCTGCAGGGATGATGTTTGGGCAGACTACCCTTCCCCTTCAGAGATGAGCCCCAAGGAGCACAGAACAGTGAGGCCTGACGTTCACCACACTGTTAAGGCCTTTACACAGGGGTGTCAAACCGGTTCCAGAAAGGGCCGATGTGGCTGCAGGTTTTAGTTCCAACTTGAGCAGGAGCACACCAGACTCCACCCATTTCCTCAAATCTTAAAGACCTTATGACGGGTTTGATTTATTTAGAAATACAGTTTTAATACCATTTTATATTAGAAGAGAACTACTAAAGGTTTCAAAATCAGTTTTTTTTGTCTGATCCCCCCAAATCGAAATAACCCCATAGCAACGCCCTTAGAAACGAAAAAACTTCACAGCCCTTGGTGACGTCAGAGTGGGTACGTTTCAACGCTGTAAGTTGTTTACAATTTGGTATTCGTTCTTTTTTCGCGGATATTCAAGATGACAAGGCCGTGTACAGCGAGTCTAAGATAAGTACTAGAGTGTAACATTTCGTTGCCACTGAGATAGTCCAGTGGTTGTGTCAATGGACTGTCGACCCAGATACTTGGGTTCAAATCCCACCTCGGACACTTTTTCACACTCAAAACGGCAATTTATGTGTAGTGAGCAATTGTCACCTGTAGAGGGCAGTATTGTGTTGGGCATCAGTGGAGAGAAGAGAGAAAAGGCAGTCCTGTGGCATAGATCCATGGTTTTCAATGCATGGGCGTTACCCGCTGTGACGTCACACACAGGTTAGAGCATAGACGACTTAAATTCATGAAAAACACTTTTTATAAAATATAGGATTTTTTTTTGCCGGAATCTCTTTCAAATTGACATTGTCATGCAATTTTGATATCCACTATTTTTTTTTTTTAAACCCGTCATAAGGTCTTTAAGGTGAAAAATGGTCTCACCTGAGGAAATGGGTGGAGTCTGGTGTTCTCCTGGTAAGGTTGGAACTAAAACCTGCAGCCACACCGGCCCTTTGAGGACCGGTTTGACACCCCTGCCTTTACAGGTATCTACATGTGGAATCCAAAGTGTTAACCTGCAGATAGGACATGTGCAGGTGGCTACAAAAGACAGTAACTTACTAACCCTTTAACCCATTGAGGCCGGGAACGCATTCCTGCATTTCTACCCTTCAAGCCGGGAGCACTGTTGCGCACTTCTACCTTTAAGGCCGGGAAAGCGGACAAGTCTTTTCTTTTTTTGACCTATTCTCTTCATTGATCAATTCTCTTGACCAATGAAATGCATCAAGATAAACCTGTGATGAGAATTATCTGCGGATCCATGAATTTTTCTGTGAAATGTGTAACTGCGGGCTGTTTGCATTACGTACTCTAACGGGATTAACATTCTCCCTTCTGACCTCCGTAGCAACTGTGGCCGCTTTGACACAACTCTGCGAAAGCGTAGCCGTAACGTGGTCATGCCCCGCAGACAGAATCATAAACACACGCGATCAGGACCATCCCCAGCTTGTTGCACATGCGCAGCTCTTGTCTGCCTGTCTCCCCCGTCTCTCCAAGTCTCCTCACGAAGCGCAGCCAAAACTCACTGAATTAAAGCTCAGGTACCTACATTTTCGCTTGCATTGACAATGCATGTCATTTGTGCACAAATATAAAAAGTTTACTAAGAGCCTAAGAGCCCAGTGACTCATTATTTGACTTTTTGGGCTGAGAGTAGATTTTTTATATATTTTTTTCTACATAGTTAGTGCCACTTTATTGCCAAACTCTTTGTGACTAATTGTATTGAGAAACAATACAATTTCCTGTCTGGAAGTTTTTGTTTTATTCTACTGAAGGTTTATAATAATACACTGCATTCTTATTGACAGCCACAAGTTTCAGCTCTTAATTTCCTTTGAAATTATGTCTCTACTACAGATTCAACTTCTGTAGAAGTTGAATTTCAGGAAAACTTCAGGTTTTAGAGGTGGTCCTAAAGTCGGCCGTAGGTTTTACAGATCTGTTTTATCAGCTGTGTCAGGCCCAGTGGGGGAGGGTCCCAGCTCAAAAGTGGCCAAAATGACGTGCGCTGACATGCTGCAATACCACCCCGGGCCGATGGGGGTGGACCATGGATGTATTATATTAACTGGATAGGGTATTACAGCTTGTAGCTGAATAACTCATGTGCTCAGGGGATTCTCGCGGTACTGCAGACTGAACCAGACTGAACCAGACTGAACCAGACTAAATTCACGTGGGCTACCCAGAAATTTTCCCCATAGAACTCAATGCATATTAAAACAGCTCAACCTCAGCTGACAGAGAACCTGACAGAGAACCTGACAGAGAACCTACAGCTTTAATAAAGATAGTATTTTGTGGGGATGTTAGTGTCCCTTGTCGTCCTGAACTTTTTTTCTTCTTAAATCCTTCGGTTTTGTTTAAATCCACACTTTAGTGCCACAAACTCTGCTCGTCTGGCTCTGGCTCTAACTCCCGCTCTGATGAACTGCTCTGATTGGTCAGAGCCGAGCCCCTCTGTGCACGTGCGTGAGACCCTCTGTGCACGTGCGTGAGACCCTCTGTGCACGTGCGTGAGACCCTCTGTGCACGTGCGTGAGACCCTCTGTGCACGTGCGTGAGACCCGGTGTGAGACCCACACACGCGTGTTTGGCGCAATGCATTATGGGAGATCATCCACTGCACAGAACCGGGAGGACCAGACGATGCCCAAATACAGGCGACTTTCCCATAGATCTTTGAGAGTTTCCCATAGATCTTTGAGAGTTTCCCATAGACCTTTGAGAGTTTCCCATAGATCTTTGAGAGTTTCCCAAAGATCTTTGAGAGTTTCCCATAGATCTTTGACAGTTTCCCATAGATCTTTGAGAGTTTCCCATAGATCTTTGAGAGTTTCCCATAGATCTTTGAGAGTTTCCCATAGATCTATGAGAGTTTCAGGCAACTTCCGCTAATCTTTCAGCCCCCATGCCGTCACAAAGCGCCACTGAGCACAACCATTCATTTGAACAGGGCGCCATCTTGGATCGCCGGGGCTTGGGGTGGACCCAGAAGTAGAATTAGCCAATGCTAACATATAGCATTGGCAGACCTCTCAAAAACGTCTTTACAGGATGGACCAAAAGTTGGCTCTTGGCCCAAAGCTCCGGTCCACATGTGTGTCAATGCTGAGGGGGGTGATTTTTTTGGTCCACTCTAGTTTAGTCGCTGTGAATTTTTTAAGTCTCTCGTTCAAATGAATGGAGCTGCGCTGACGAATGCGCAGATGCGTTTTTCCACAATTTTCTTGTGGGCGGGACCACTCGCGGCCATTTTGGATTGCTCCATGAAAGCACTTTTCATGGCCAACTCCTATGAACGGCGGAGATAGACGTGACTCTGTCCGTTAATATATACAGTCTATGGTCAGGCCTTAATGGGTTGATGTTTGGATACATAAGTATAAAAAGTGATATGTAATATTTGTATTTCAGTCAAAGTCAAAGGACTAGGGCCTGCAGGTCCACGGATGTATGTGCGTCCCTGTATTACAGTTTAAATTTGGGTTTGAAAAAAATGAATGGGGCAATGCTCAGACGTGCTGGCAAGAGCTTACAATAAACTACACACCAAGATTTCTTTGGTTAATAAATAAAATGAACTCAAGACAGGGTGAAAAGGGGATTCCACAAAATATTAATATGTTGTAAGAATGCAATAAAAATACAATCATGAGTCATTTTGCCTTCACTCCAGTTGTTTGCAATTTTGTGGTGTGGTTTTTACCAACCGAACATTTTTGCAAAAGTCGAATTAGTACTAAACATCAGCGTCATTGTGATCAGCTAAAGCCACATTTGATTTGAACGTGTCAGTGAAAATTGTGGTGGTGCAGCTCACCGGACTGTTGAGACTGGTCAGCTGCTGTAGCTCTGGTGACTCTGGGTGAGTGGACACAAACAGCACAGGAGCCTCTGGGACAAACAAACATCCAGGTTTGAAGATTTTTAGTTGTAACAAACAATTTAACAATCATTGTACAGTTGTAAATCCTCATTAACTTTCATTTGCACTGGATAATATGAAGAATGGGGGCTTTATGATATAATAACAATATGTTGTATTTAGTAAAAAAAAATAAAAAAAATTCAGTTTCACATATGGTCATGACCTTTGGGGGACGAGCAAAGGGACAAAATGGAGGACACAAGAGATGACAGGATGATACATGAGAGACAGGATGACAGGATGACAGGACGACCTCGGAGTAGAGCCGCTGCATCTGTTTACAGGCATGTCGGGGAAAGACCCAGGGAAGACCCAGGGCATACTGGTGGGATAACATCTCTTAGCTGGCCAGTCTGCTTAGACTGCTGCCCCGCTACAAAGCAACAGATTAAGCAGAAAACAAGGGAAGCCATTTCGAGATGAGAATCACATCGATTTGATTTTTTTTTATTGAAACAAGACTAAACCGGTGAACATTTACTCAAAGACAAAAAGCACATTAATAGACATGCACGAGAAGAATCTTCTGGAATCCCTGCAGGTAAAACTCCTTCCCAACATACCGACCATGGATCTATAATAATAACGATACTGACCCAGCAGAGAGCCGTCCTGTAGAAGCACGCCTTCATGTCCCCCGGAGCTGCAGAGCTCCGTTCCAGGCCGCCTGTCCTCTGCTGGGGGCTCTGCTGAAGGCTCTGCTGAAGGCTCTGCTGAAGGCTCTGCTGAAGGCTCTGCTGAAGGCTCTGCTGGGGGCTCTGCTGAAGGCTCTGCTGAAGGCTCTGCTGAAGGCTCTGCTGGGGGCTCTGCTGGGGGCTCTGCTGAAGGCTCTGCTGAAGGCTCTGCTGGGGGCTCTGCTGAAGGCTCTGCTGGGGGCTCTGCTGAAGGCTCTGCTGGGGGCTCTGCTGAAGGCTCTGCTGGCTCCAACTGCTGCACACGGGCACGGAGGCACTGCAGCTCGGTCAGCAGCTCCGCGTATACCGCCTGGATGTCCAGTACCAGGGCGCTCTGGATGCTCCGAGTGTCCGGGCAGAGGCAGTCTTCTCCCGGGACCCAGACGTCCCTGCAGGCGAGCACAGCGTCCTGCAGAGCGGCCTCCACTAGTGAGGACACCGCACTGCTGCCTGGAGGCTGCTCCATCACACTGGCCTGGGTCACACTGGGCTGGCCTGGGTCACACTGGGCTGGCCTGGGTCACACTGGGCTGGCCTGGGTCACACTGGGCTGGCCTGGGTCACACTGGGCTGGCCTGGGTCACACTGGGCTGGCCTGGGTCACATATGGGTCATGTCGGAAGAACCACCGTGGAGATGACGCTCGCGGTGTTTTTAAATCTTGAGTGAAAGTTGAGTCTCTTTTAGCCGTTAGCCGTTAGCCGTTAGCCTGTTAGCTAATAGCTTTCCGTACATTTCACTAAACTTGTTCTTCCTGAAATTTAACAGGGAAATGGTTCTTCTTCTGCGTCTGTCCGGAAGCTTCACGGAGATAACATACCCTCCTCAGGTGTCGCCCCCTGTCGTCAGGAGTCTGTGATAATATTGTAATACTCTCAGGTAAGAAATGCTCGAACAGTGCTCTTCAAGATGCTTTATTGACAAGCTGCCAGAACAAGCTGCTGTTAGCCACAGCTCACGCTTAACTCACCACTTACAGCACACACTGCCGTCGTGTGAACTCTTGGGGAAAACGCCACTCACGTAAAAACTCTCTACCATAACCAGAGCGCCCCCCTGTGGTAGTAAACAGACAACACAGAACTATTACAGTATAATGGATCTATTATAATCATTGATCTATTAAAATAACGGGTGACACGAACTATAATAAAATTCTATCTCTAGTTTTGTCACATTTATATCTGGGTTTTTTCTGACGGAAAACGTCTGGGTCATTATACTCAAAACTACTTGTTGGGAGAAAAATAATGTCATGTTTAAAAGAAGGACAAGTAAATAGCCTAGCTTTAATGCAGAGGTAGCAAATTGTACTCTGTTTAGGAACTTGTATCTGGGGTACTAACTGTTAACCACCAAATCAGTCAAATCAGAAGCGTTTTACCATCTACAAAACATTGCTAGAATAGTATTTATTATCTATAGCCTGTGGTTAGACCAGGGCGGCACGGTCGCTGAGTGTACCGCCCTCTCGCCTCTTATTAACAAGATCCTGGGATCCCGAGTGGAGTTCAGATTCAGATTCAGATTCATTTATTCGCCATTTGCAGTAACACTACATTGGAATACATTTGTAAAAGTTCTCAGTGTGCACAGGACAAGTACAGACACAAAACAACATTAAAAGACAACAGTAAACAAATGTCACCGTGAAGTTGACCAACTTAAAACAGATCTATACGAGTGCAAAAACATTAAAGTGCTCTGTTCACACTGATAACAGCTCGTGGAAAAAAACTATTAGCATAACGAGATGTCCTGCATCTCAGAGAACAGTATCTTCTGCCAGAGGGAAGAAGCTGGAACAAGGCTTTTCCTGGGTGGCCAGAAGAGTCTCTGATAATTCTCAGGGCACTGTTAAAAAGTCTGGATTGATAAAGAACCTCCAGAACAGGAAGTTCACAGCCCACGGTCCTCTTTGCAGAGCGGAGCACCTTGTTTAAAGCTCTCTTTTCTTTATCTGTGATGTTTCCAAACCACACAGACACAGAACCAACAGGTAAACTCTCAATGGTGCAGCCATAAAAGTTAAGCACAATCTTAGAGTTAGTGGTAAATTCTCTAAGTTTACGCAGAAAGTAGAGACGCTGACAAGCTTTCTTAACGACTCGGTCAGTGTTTTTAACCCATTTCAGGTTAGACAGAGTTAAACCCAGAAACTTGCTCCTCTACGATCTGCACCTGGGAGTTGTCGATTACGACAGGCAAATGAGAACTATTGTGACTGAAATCAAAGACCAGTTCACATGTTTTGGATGCGTTCAGCTGGAGGTTGTTAGTTTGACTCCACTGAACCACGTTTTGGATCTCGGCTCTATAAGACGATTCATCGTTATTACTGATGAGACCGATGATGGTGGTGTCATCAGCATATTTGATGATCAGGTTAGAGTCTGAGGAAGACACACAATCGTGAGTGTACAGTGTAAAAAGTAAAGGACTCAAAATACATCCCTGAGGAGAACCAGTGCTCACAGAAACAACATCTGAAAAACAGTCATTGATTTTCACTCTCTGAGATCTGTCAGTTAAAAAGCTATAGATCCATTTACACATGGCAACACTTAAACCCAGAGACATGAGCTTTTCAATCAGTTTACCTGGGACAAGACAATTAAAAGCAGAGCTATAATCAATGAACAGCATTCTTGCAGCAGATTTACTAGTGTCCAAGTGACTGTAGACAGAGTTCAGAGCAAAGGAGATGCATCCTCCACACTCCTGTTCTGTCTGTAGCAAACTGGAGCGGGTCAACACTCACAGGGTTCTGGCTCTTAATGAAGTCCAGCACAAGCCGCTCAAAAGTCTTCATAAGAACAGACGTGAGAGCCACAGGGCGGTAGTCATTCAGGCATGTCACAGGAGTTTTCTTAGGAATTGGGATAATGGTCGACTCTTTGAAGCAGTTCGGCACAGTACAGTTCCTTAGCGACAGGTTGAAAATGTCTGTTAAAACAGACATTTTTAACCTGTCGCTAAGGAACTGTACTGTGCCGAGTTTGCGTGTTCTTCCCGTGCCTGCGTAGGTTTCCTCCGGGTGCTCCGGTTTCCCCTACCTCTAAAAACATGCAAAATAAGTAAATCCTCCAGCTTCGGTAGTCCGGACCGTGCCAAGCATCAACATCTGAAGATTGGTTCCCGAGCGTTGTACTGCGACCCAAGTGGCATCAAGATGGGTCAAATGCAGAGGATGAATTGCCCTAGATAGATAAAGTGCACCTTTACCTTTATTATCTAGAACCTTGGAGTAACTTTGATGAAGGAATGTCCCTTGAACAACATACCAAACAGCTGATCAAAAGCTGTAACTTCCATTTGAAGAACATCTCCAAGCTCAGACATATGGTCTCGGGTCACAAGCAGGAGATTATGGTCCACGCTTTTGACCTACAGTATAGGAGAGTCCATATTTCTCCAATCTTAAAGTCCTTACACTGGCTCCTCGTCACACATTTTAGGTGCCTGAATATATCATGGGCCTGATCACGCCTTATGTGTCTAACAGAACCATCCACTCAGAAGCATGCTTTTTCACCTCACTGTACAAAGGCGGTGAGTCTGTTCATGATGAGGACCGTCTTCTGTATCTTTCTTTTTAGAACTGACTTGTGTGTGTATTATTTTCATCTATCTGTAAGTTTGTAAATGTGAAGCGCTTTGTGATCCTGGTCTGTGAAAGGTGCTATACAAATAACCTTGCCTTTCCTTATCTTACCTTGTTGTATCAAAGGTTTGTGTAGTTTGTACGAAAAGTCTTATTAAAAACATGTGAGTAAAGGTAGCCCTCTTTGGTGGGAGGCCAAAACTTAAATAAAACTACTTTGGTATAAGTAAAATTATTGAAATAATTACAAACCTGTATATTTAAAAAGTAAAAGGTATTTTTTTTTCTTTAATAATTGACTTTTAGTGCATCATGTGAAAAACTTTTATACTGTCGATGAGTTTCATACTAGCACAGAATATGTCTTGGGCTTCCACAAATGTAGGCAGCTTTACCTGAACTTGACCCGGAAACTGGTGTGAAAACCATGTGCAGGTGTGTATTATCAACGAGGCATTTTCCTATTTGGGTTTAAGAGTAAGAACTACTAGTTCTTACTAGTAACTTACAAGTAACAACTAGTAAAAGTACAGAGTATTTACACACACACACAAAAGAAAATACAATTATATATATATTATATTATATTTATACATAATATATAATATTATGTATAAAATATAATATATAATATAATGTATCAAGTTTAGGAAGTTTGACTCTCACATGAAAATACTGCAGTGGAGATTGGAAAAATATCTTATATAGTAGACTCTAAAGCAGCGCTGCCTGTGTACAAGTCTCTCCTGGACTAACATGGACAGGCAGTAACTCTGATTTATGCAGCTAAAATAGAATTCACAGGCTTCTTCTGTAACAATGTTGAAGAATTGTATCTTCACTCTTTTTAATGTACTGTGATTTTTTATGATTTAGTTGTTTTGACTGCCAGCCGTTTTTGATGATTTCACTGGTTCTCAAGACCCATAGAATATTATTTCTGTAAAATATGTGAAATATGAAACCAGATTCTGAAAGACTGGATTGTCTACTTTCATCAGCAAAAATAAGTTTGTTTCTAGCTGTTTTTATTGTCCTGTAATCCCCGGTCAAATCGAGGGTCTCAGACAAATACGGCAATGGCAGTCAATGAGTTAACTTGTTATCTTGTGCATGAACTGTGCTGTGCAAATAAACCTGTCTTTCCATGAGAGGAGCCCAGTACAACACATGAAGACCCCAAAATAAGACACCCATGGGAGGAGCCCAGTACAACACATGAAGACCCCAAAATAAGACACCCATGGGAGGAGCCCAGTACAACACATGAAGACCCCAAAATAAGACACCCATGGGAGGAGCCCAGTACAACACATGAAGACCCCAAAATAAGACACCCATGGGAGGAGCCCAGTACAACACATGAAGACCCCAAAATAAGACACCCATGGGAGGAGCCCATTAAAGGAAGAGCACAGAGCAAAAGCCAGGTGTTTATTAATGGCGGTGTGGGGACAGGACAGGAGCCCTCTTCTGTCACACATGCAAATCCCACATTGCATTGATCTGGCATTCACAGCTGAGATGCATTACAGTGAGTACAAAAATCATATCAAATCTGAAAAAATGTCCCTTTTTTAGGTTGGGAATTCTGGCCGCGCCCACACTGCTTTTCCTTTGACGGCAAGTAGTCACAGCTCTTTAATTTCTTGTGTTTGAACTGTTTGATTCTCTGATCTGTGCTGGCGAATTAACAGTTTTTATTAAGTCCTCCGAGATAACTACTGTTGGGATTTAGGGCACTACAAGAATAAATTAAATTGAATAGAGCTCTGGATCAGTGTTGCTTTGACCAGGAGAGCGCAAAGAAGCCCAGGGCACATGTGCCTATCTGCCAGGACAGTCTGAAACAACAGAAACTACTGATCTGTATAAGTTATTGTTCTTATTCTGTCATTGCTTTGACAAAATATTGGAAATGTACAGGGATGCTACGCGTTTCGGCCACGTAGGGCATTCTTCAACACAGAAGGCCCTCCGTTGCCGAAACACTTAGCATACCTGCACATTAAAGGATTATCATTGAAATTTCAAGAGTGTCTCAGATTTTTCCTCATCTCTTTTAAGTTTCCAGAGTTTTTGCCACTGCTTATCCCGATGAGAACCTGACGTAGTTAGACCCACTGCCGCCCTCATCTTTCTTGAACTTTAAAATATTGGATTTGTTGCTTGAAAAAGAGCTGGCTAAAATCTCAGTATGAATGTGTCAAGATTAAAAAATCCCACTGATCAAGGGTCAGGGAAAAATACCTCAGCAGTGTGTGTTCATTTCAGCCTAGAACAGGAGTTAATTTGGGCCTTTTGTTTTGGAATGTGGCTTGGTTTTTATGTGATTTAGATGAAAGTGGAATCTGCATTCATAAACATAAGACAGTCTAAAGATGGATTAGTGAAAGCGTTGTAGAAGAGGGAAATTACATAACTGGAAGAAATGAGAACTACATTATTTATATAGCACATGTCATTCACAAATGCAACTCAACGTCCTCAATACAAGACGGATCCAAAAAACTTTAAGCAGCACATTTTTAATTGGTGGCCATTCTGTTGTTTTGAAAGGCAGAAAACAGATTTGTCCATGACGTCATCCTCTGAGGACTCATCATAGTGAAATGAGTTTAAGGCTTTAGATATCTTTAGATAATTGTTTTATTCATATAAAAATGTACATGTTTTTCATTGATTAATTGAAAATGGAACAGGCATTTAAAGTTAAAAGAATGAGTTTTTTGCATGATACAAAACGTTTGAATTTATTTCATTTCTTGAACGTCATAGTCCATGTAACGTTTTCAGTGCAGTGTAAGCGCCATGGAAACCGCTCCAAAACATACATCCAGCGAGGCAATAAAACTGAAAGATTTTTGATTCAGATCATAAGCTTTCTCCAACAGCTAACAAAGGCGTTCTACGCTCAGGACTGGTGAATACCGGTGAATACTAGTGCCCGAATACCTACATGAATGAACATATGCAGACCATAAGCCTGTTTTAAGACAATACATGTTCCATTTCACTGAAACACCAATTAGATTAAAGTGTTTGGAGTGGAAATGAGCAGGCTGGACTTCAGACAGAGGATGTCTTGTTATATGAAACCTTTGGAAGACAGAGGCAGAGTAGCATAGGGCATAGTCCAGATTATTGTCCAGCCTTGACCATTGATCCACCAGGGATGCTGTGTTCTTACCCTTCTATTCTTGGGTTTCATGAACCTGGCCTGTAGGGGGCGCATGAGCAGAGATGGGCCAACTCAGTTTTGCTCCCATTGAAAACCATGTAAAGTCTGTTTTGGAGTCAAAGGCTCTCCTCCTGTGCGGTGTACGGTTGTTGGAACAGTCTTAACCGGGGACACTCAATTCTAAGAGAGTACTAAAAATGTTTCTCAAAAGAGTCTTGATTTTGGGCATTTATGGAAAGAATAACAGAAGAAATTGCTGCGTTTCATTGGGGTGGCCTGCAGGGGGCGCTTATCTGGGAAAGCCTTGATCCTCCTCGCCTGCCCATGGATCTATTATGCGCCTGCCTCATTCCAGTGATTTTTTTCAAAATGTCCTTCTTTATGAGACCACAGTTGGAACATGGAAGAAACTCTTGTCTTTCTCTCTATTTGCGCGGTTGAATTGGGCTAAATAAGCATAATGCTTCATCCAACCCCTTTTCAAACCTTGAACATATGTCTGAACATTTGTAAATTGTGTTTCTTGTGCAGGTTTGAAATAAATAATTCAATACAATAATTCAATTCAATTCGCGCATTTTGACCGAAGACTGCTAGCTTCTACTTCTACTACATCTCCGTGTATAAACCCGGCAGACTGCAGCGCCAGGGTATGTCACGTCCGGTCAGGTCCTGTCCCACGTATGTCATTCGCGCCACTGCCCGACGTCATATAAAACACAAGAATACCACTGGTTCTTCATTACATCTCTATATTTTTGTATGGTACAAACTGATTTAAGTTAAAATATACAGAATAAAGAAACGACTCCAGGCAGCCGGTTTCATTGTTATCATGGGGTGACAATATAATCAAATGCGGTTGTTCCCTAAATGGATTTCTGAAGCAAAGGGATCTTCGGTTGCACGACCGATGAAAAACCCTCCGGTTCCCTAGTCGGAAGATCATTAACCAGACTAATCAAGTTCGAGTCATGTAAACTCACCTCGAGGTTGTTTCTGGGAGTGAAATGGGGGATGTACGTGGGTTTTGGTGCAATGGAAAAGTATTTTGGACTAAAAGAGGACACCAACTGGGATAAGTTTTAGCGCAAACGTACTTGTTTATTGTGATGCATGTTCAATAATCCTGGACAATTTTAACCTGATTCCATCTGCAGTCAAACAAAACTATTTAAGAACAAAATAATGCATTACTTCAAACTTTACTTTGGCATTTCAGGGTTTCAAACTAAGACAAAGTAGATAACAGATCTGTCATCATCCCACATTAATGTACTTCATTATATTTTGTATTGTTTTAATAAAAAGGGTTTTGCATAAATTGACTTTGGCGCAATGATTCTATGAGGAATCCTCTGACAATGATCCCTAAGTTATCAGCACCTAATGAGCGTCAGCAGTGAAAAATGTGCCACTATGAATCGGTTGGAGTTTTATCTTGTATCCTGGCAGAAGACAGGGAACAGCATGGGATGAGCGTCTGGAGTAAGTTGAAGGCTTTCTAAGCTCTTCTTTTGCCGTTATGTCTATATTAAATTAAGCTTGCCGCTTGCTGTAAATTGGGTTGACGTCACAGACAGAGCTATTTTCTCCCTTTTATGTGGTTTTCTCACAAAACTATATATTTGCCTTTCATTTAGAATATTCAGTTAAATTTCATTCTTTACAACTGCATGCCTTTTAGGCCTCGCCATGTAAGATACTTATTTTAAAGCAGAATGTAATTCCACACTTCTACCACTAGATAGAAGTGTTATATATATATATTATAATATAATTCTACTAAAGACATGATTTGACATAAAAACATGAAATACCAAAGGAAATATTCTCAGGTTCCTGTGAACCTGGAGTTGCCGTTTTAACAATTGCCAGATCAGGGGCTAACAAACGGCTGCAGAACTTCATCTCGCTGGATCACGGCTCTGAGCAGAACATGGGTGGATTTGTGCTTTTAACGAGTGGATTGGAGAAATGTAGTCAACTAAAAATAACATGCAGAGAAAGCTATTTCTCCAGTTAAAACTTGCAGCCAAGACAGAATTCCCAACAAAAAAAACATTCATCAAAGCTCCTCAAAACACACACAAGCAAATCTCTCTCGATGACTATGGCTTTAGTGTTCAAAGTATATGTTTAAGTAAGATAACCAAAACTGGGTATAGAAGGGATGTGAAGAGATGAAGGGTAGGTGCATTTGTGGAGAACATATTTTGGGGTGACAGCAGTTTTAACTCTGCTGGAGGATCAGAGCACAGTTCCCAGTGCAATGAGCTGTTCTCCATTCAGTACGGAGCATGGAGAGCACTCATGTCAGAAAAAAATAACTTCAGATGTGAATTTTACCGAGGGGGATATTTAAGGGGAAACTACAAGTCCAGAGGAAGACCTGAGATATAAAAAAAAAAAAAACGTGTGTGCTTTTGGAAAATGAACTCCTGTGGGACTTGATTCAAGTCAAGCTAAGTCCAGATGAGTGTGTATGAATCCTCCAAATGCATCATGGTCCGACTCCAGCGGAGCCTCCAGGAGTCAAACTCCAAGTGTCTTTCAAGTGTCTTCCAGGTGTCCTCTGATGTCCAACTCCAACTAGACAAAGACATGAGACATACTCTTGCACAGAGAGATGGAAAGAACTCAGACAGACACTTGTCGTAGAAAAAAAGTGATAACATCAGGACTACGCTTGGTTCACTCGACAGTGATGGGGAACTCTGGAGCTGTGTGTCCTGCAGACAAGCCCTTCTCCCCTACCCCCACTCCCCCCCTACACTCTGCAGTCCGTCCAGGGCAGAGGAGGCCCCAAAGTGGCACCACAACCAACCTTTGCAGCTTACTTCTTCTTGCTGGATTTCTCAGAGCGTTTTGACTCAGATTTTGCAGTTTTCTCTGAGCGCTCTATTCTATCTTTTTCTTTCTCAGTTCCTTTGTCAGAGCCCCGGTCCGGCCCCCGGTCAGAGCGGTTGTCGGCCTTGCTGCCCCCCTCTCGCGTACCCTCGTCTGTGGATGAGGTAGTGGGTTGAGGTTGGCCCCATTTGCCAATATCCTCATGCTCTGAGATACTGGTAGAGATGGTGCCCACCCAGGCCTTCAGGTCGTCCTGCCATGGAGCACAAGAGCCTCGAACATCAAATACTTGACGAGCAAATTAGCTTGAAGGTCAGTTTGAAAAAAGCCTCACCTCATCTTTTGCATGGAACAAGTACTCGCTGCCATCTTTTGTCCTGTAAAATACCAAACATGACAGTAAGAAACATTGTACAGAATAATTCCAAAAACTCCTTCAAAGTTTGTATAATTCTGTGTTAACGTGGGCTGCGTTGGCAAATTTAAGCTCGCAAGCAGGCATGTTTTCATCTTAATTGAAGCTCACAGAAAATCTCCAAGACATCCAAACTGCATCATCATCATCATCATCATCATCATCATCATCGGCCCTGTCCAGACTTCTGCATACTGTAGACAAATGTTTTTGAAACCTGGTCCGTGTACTGACTAATGACTAATGACTATGATGTCTACCACAGGATCCTCGTTCCTCTGCTGCCCCATGTTATGATGAAAATATATAATTATATCCACTATGGAATTATTCAAATCTTTTTCTCTTCACCTACTTTGTACTTGGGGCTTGTTTGTAATACGGTTTCAAATCTATGAGCCGTATCATCTCCATCTGGACAGGGCCTGAATGTGTCGGTTTGGACAGAGGACTAGTGTCTCACTTGAGCGTGAAAACGTTCTTCTTCTTCTTGTATCCGTTCGTCACGTCACATTGGCAGTGGCCAAGGCTGAGGGCGGGCTCGTTGTTGTAAGGCGTAGCCATGCTTTTGGCGTCTTTGTAGAAGCCCAGCTCGCCTTTGTTCAGCACACAGTACAAGTTGACCCAGGACCTGCTGTGAGGAGAGAGAGGGCAGGGTCAGGGGCAAAGCTTCCGGTCAGACTACACTCACCTGAGCCGAGCAGACAGGTGCCACGAGCCGGAACACCAGCACCAGAACACAAATACAGAGACACAGAGACAGGCACGACAAGCAGGGGGCGCGGGGGACTGCCACCACACTTACCTTAAAGAGGAGGCCAAGGACAGCGTGTACGGGACAGAACACAACACAGCACACAATTGGTTAAATCCCATTGGAACATATCCTCAAGAGAGCACCACCACACCAACAACAACACCACAAACAGACAAACAGACAGACACACAACTGCAGTTTGAGGACCTCTGGTTACCTGCATTTATGGAGCTGTATACTGAAGGTACCTATAGAACAATACAAGTGACTACTGTCTGACAAATTCTAAAACTGCAGCTTGTTGTGGGTGTCTATGTGTCCAACACAAATGATCTTTCATCAGGGTTCTCTTAAAGCCACAGCAGGTCACGATATGAAACGAACAGCTCCATCAGACCATAGAAATGAGTTGAACCATTTCATGGAAATAGAAATTAGGACCAACAAACCCGCACAAAGTAATGATGCATGTTTTCTGCAAGTTTGACTAAAAGTCACATACCCCGGCTTTAAAAGTGCTCTTTGAAGGTATGGGGGAGGGTCCTTCACCAACAGTATAGCTAATCTGGTAAAAACATTTATCTTGTGTTTTTTTCAATTTCCAGGTAGGTTCATTTAATGTTTGCTTAACTTTCTTCATGATTCAGAGCCTCCCCTTTCATACCTAATGTACTTGTGCTTCACAAATGTGGGGTAATTGGTACAAAGAGTCAGGCTGTATTACTGTGAGGAAGGGGCAGCCAGTGTACAGCCATGTGAGCTGCAGATGTCAGCTCAGTCCTGGTCCTTCTAGAGCTGTGGGTCTTGACCCTGCTCACTCATCCAGAGAAGTGGATGAGACGGCCTTCACGTGCAGCCGAAAGCCCCAAGTGTCTGCGCTCCAGGCTGGCACAGAGATCTCAACGCTCCACCCTGTATGCTCTCATTTAAATCCTTTTCCAATAAATAATATGCTTGTTCTAACTGCACATGCTCAATTTAGTACATGAATTGATAAATATTTGCCCCAGTGTAGAAGCTAATAATCTGCCACGTTCCGAGAGCTTCCAGACAAAAATTAAAATTCATCATATTGTCTTACATTACATTGTCTTAGGTATGCTTCCTGATTGATTCAAATGACAACCTAGAGCAGTGAAACCTGCATTTGGAGGGGGCACTTTGGCCCTAAATCAAACATAAGAACAACCCCCAAGTGAGACATACAGAGTATATATATGTCTGTCTATTGAGTTTAGACAAGCTCGAGATCTGCGGACAACCTTCACCTGGTCTAATGTGGCATGGTAAAGCAGCAGCAGCAGCAGCAGCAGCACAGTGAGGTCAGAGAGGTTCTTGGACACATCCAGGTGACCTGCACAGGGTCACTCACTAAGGGCAGTGGTGAGCCTGAAGGCATCAGCTCTGCATGCATCAGCAGCCTCTGCCATGGGGGTCCTGTGAGTCAGACTGAGTGGACTGGGGGTCCCGCACGCACATACTGGACACCTACTTGCTGGACACCCACCTGTTGGTGCTCTTCTTCATGCTCTCAATGTCCAGCTTGCGGAACAGGAAGCCCTCCTGATGGGCAGTGTGGGAGGGGGGCTGGGGGGTGGCCGGGCTCTGAGCCGGGGCAGACCTAGACCTCCTGCTGGGCTCCCCTCCCTCTTTGGGTCTGGGTCGGCGTCGAGGCTTAGGTCTGTCCCGTGCCCGTGGTCGCTCTTGTTTTGAAGATTTTTCTGGGAGACCATTGGGCAAACGGGGTACCTCCCCACGGGCCTGGGAACAGCACGCACATGTAAACATCCACTAGATGGTGCTAAAGCACGACAGCAGCACCATAAGACCTCACCTGTGCTGCTTCTCTCTCCTGGAGCTGCTCCACTATGTCGGCCATGGTGGATCTCTTCTCCCTGAACACAACATAAGTGTGTACTGTGTATTGTGTAGAGTTTGTAGTGATGTGTGTGTCTCCACTAAGCACTTACACTGAGCCTCCTGCAGAGCGGCGGTCAGACTGCTCTCTGTCCATCTCACTAGACTCTTGTCGTTCCAGTTTGTGCCTGTCTCTCTCTCTTCGCCGGGCCTCATGGCCCCCAGGGGCCCCAAGCCCCTCATGTTCACTGGACGTCTGTCTTTCCAGGGTGCGTCTGCGCTCCTGCTCTCTCCACACCTCCTGAGGTAACTCGTCTCTGCGTGCCTGGATGAGCTGCTCACTGGAAAGGGGCCGCACCATCTTCTGCTCTTTGTGGTGGGCCTGGGGCTGGGCGTGGCTTGGCACTTCTGAGCGGGATCCCCGGGGCCCCCTGGTGGGTTCACTGTGCAGCCTTTCCCGACAGGGCTCCTGAAGCACTACTTCAGCCATGATATTGACATCTCTGTCTGGGCCTGGCTCTCTGTCCCGTCCTCTTTCTCGAGACTTCTCCAGGCGACTAGCAACTAGCAGAGGCGTGACCACGTCGTCCAGGTGCTTGATCTTGGGCTGTCGCAGATACTGGGCCCTCGGCTCGGGCTCCTCAAGAGCACGGCCACTCTGTAGCGAGCACAAGGCTGTTGAAGGCTGGTTTCTGGCTGCACTGACGCCTTCTCGCGCCTGATTGGCTGAAACCAGCATGGCTGCAGTGGCAATGGAAGCAATAGAGGATGGCGCAGGCACGCCCACTCCGGGAACCACCACCCCCCCACCCTGCCGGGGGTCAGCGGTGCTGCGGTAACTGTTCATCATAGGACTGTAGTTAGGGGACAGTGTGTTGAGGTGGCGTGCTGATGGGGAGGGGGGTGAGCTGGGCTCAGTCTGCTCATAGATGGTTTTTCTGACCACAGGAGACACATGAGGCTGGACAGGGGGCTCCTGGGGCTCCAGGAACACCTTGCGGCCGAGCAAGGGTGTCGGGGGAAGTTTCCCCTGCTCAGCCTTCAGTTTTTCCACCTGCACAAAGAGTAGTAGTAGTATTTATAGTTTCTCTGTTTAGCCTTTTTTTGTTGTCATTTTTCAAAAATTGGTGTTTCAACAAAAAATGTTTTAATCGCATGAATGTCATATATCAATTGATAGCACATTTATCTATTCTTTATGTCCCTTGAATTATCATTTTAATACTCATATCAACATGGAAAAGTGATTACATAGCTGGTAACAAAAAGCCCCTTCAATGTCCCTTCCTCAGGGATCAAAACAGGACGATACAAAATAAAGTGCAGTTTGTTCTTAGTTGTGCTATCCATACATTTTTATCATAGATCCATGTATCCATGGATGCCAAGAACACAGCAAAGGAGGAAAGTTCGCATGAGCCGTGTATCAGAAGGTATTTCAAAGTACTGTAGATGTGCTAAGGTGATAAGCAAGTGCACACCGACAATACACACGGATAAGTTTCAGACAGACCGATTGTACTGGAGCACCAACTAACGCGCATGAATATGGTTCAGACAACAACAAACCACAGTGGCACAGTGAACATGAACAAAGAAGCTCATGTGATCCCATCGGTTGCCTTCGTTATGACCAGTAGATTACTGGAGGTTACCACTAGGTGGCGTTGTTGATATACATGACAATAACCTGTACAGAGACAGTGCTGTAATGACCTCGAGATGAACATGATTAAAAGTAGCTCCCGGAACAACTCGTTTGGATTATTAAAACACAAACACAACGGATGGAAGCGTGGATAAGAGCATGGCTGTATGCAAGCTGCGCAGGAGGAATTTGCATAATCACTGCAGCACATCAAACCCTAAGTATCACCTCAGTGCAGAAATCCATGTGAAAAAAATGACCTCTCGCTGTTCTCTGGTCAAATATCTATATGCAATTAAAATGTGATTAATTTTGAGTAATTACAAAGCCTCTAATAAATTAGATTAATTTTTTTTTATCAAGTCCCACCCCTTATTATTAAACGTTTTTTGGTTCAAAAATAAATAATAAAACTACATTATTTTCTGTATGCATTTATTCATTTCCTTCAAAGGTTGAAGTAGCAATATGAAAGATTTTCTTGTCAAGTCATCACTAAATGGCCCTATTATGTCAAAAGTCATTAATAACCACGCTCTAATTGAATACCTCTTTAAGTGATAACATTAGTTCAGCAGAGATATCTGAATTTCAAAATTGGATTTACAGCCCCTGATTCTAGTCATTGTTTTAATTCTGATGTCCCGCCCAACGATGTTACCAATCATAAAGTCTGTGAACCGGGTTGCCAGAATTCACTGCGTCAAGCTAATCTCACTGGTCAAGTAACATGTGGCCGCAGCACTAAAAAAGGTCTTGTTATGATTACCAAAACAATAATGACAAAAAAAGGAAAAAACTCTTGTCTATTCAGTTATTATGGTCCCAGCTGGATCCGTCTGCATATTTGGCAACCTGAGTCAGCGAGAGTGCAGTACCACTTTTAGCCAGATGTTTACATATTTCTCCTTTAAGATTGTAAATCAATATGTTATTATTTTTTAACTCTAGTTTTCTGCTCAAAGAAACAGTAAATTCTCATTATTTTCATTTTGTATGTATTTATTTTCATTTATTTTGTTTTTATTGATGTAAACAACGCATTTTTCTTTTCTCGTGTCTTGCAAAATGCAGAAATGCAAATGAAGGGAGAAGAGGTACAAATCTCATCAGAGATTGGCTGTGCACATGTGTCTGCTGGATATCGCTTCATTCTCCTGGTGTAGGCTTTTACAGTCTATGGTGCAGGCTCAGGGATTCACGTTTCTGAAGCTCCACGTGATCTTTGTCAGCTCTAGAGACACCTTTACTAGAGCTCCCAGAGATCATGTTTATCCGTCAGCTCTAGTTCCAGTCTTGTCCCTGTCAGCTTTCCTCCATGCCTCGCTTTGCGTCTCTCCATCAGTACCATAGACTGATCTGAACACAGCTCTCGCTGTCTGTGGCCCGACCCTTCATTTGCACTGCTTTGCAAGACACGAGAAAATAATAATGCATTGTGAAATAATAAAACAGAACATCAATAAAAAAGAAAATAAATGTATGCAGAAAGAAAATAATGAGGATTTATTATTTTGCTTGGAACCAAAAACATTGTATAATAATAATATATATTTATTGAATAGCACAATTTGTAGCATTATATAATCAATAATTTGCAGATAGTGACATTTATTTAGTTATTCACTTTTTTATTTTGACAGTTTTGGTCCTCCATAGATGACTTTCAACCACGTGACCAAAACTGATGACGTAATCAGCGTCCGCCATGTTGGTGGGTTACTGATTTGACAACTTTTTGGTGTCAGGCTGGGTGAACAAGCTTCAGACAAAGCAAGTTTGTGTTGACGAGTCAGTTGTTTTTGCTTGGGTAAGTAATAAAGATAATGTATCAGTCATTTTTGAGTTTATATTTGTATTTTAATGTTTATGACGTCACACGTCTTTTATATATTGTATCTACAAATGCTGTTTGCTGATGGTTGTTTCATTCTTTTTTAATCAACCAGTCCCAGAGAGCGCGAGAAACACCATTGTCGCGGCGGGCGTCAGTCTGGCGGCTCACAAGGAGCGGAACCAATCACTTAATTAGCGGCGTGCGGCCGGACTGGTTTAAGCAACGCACTTCCGCTCAAGGAGAGACCAAAACAAACCGGTGAGGAGAGAGGCATCTGAGTTACGCAGGAGATCGTGTGAGAGAAAGAGTTGGACAGAACGGGGACTCGCAACACAACTACTGGGGGACTGCCGGTAAGAGGCAACGTTTGTGTGTTGATAGCGATGTGCTCGTCATATGCTCAAAGACGCTGGGGTGTTTAGGGTTTCGTCTCACAGGTGAAATGTGAACATCAGAGACTTTCATTGACCAGTTTAATTCTGTATATTTGTTAGGTTTAACATAAATGGGAAAAGTATTTTAAACTATTTTTCTAGCAACTGAAGTCGCAATTAGGGAGTGGCTTTTAGTTATAAAATACCATTGTACAGTCATAGTTAAAATGGGGCTTCTTTTTGCACTTTAGTCCAAACTCCAAGATGGGGAAATTAGGGGGTGTGTTGAGGGCTTGTGAGCATAAGAAACATCTCAGTGCGTCAAATGTCACTTTTCTTTAACCATTTTAACACAACTTGGACGTCTGCTTCAATACAGCAATTGGACTGTACTACAAATATTTAATTCCAAAAGATGTCTATGACAGTTGAATGGTATTTTATAATATATTGTTTAGACAAAGCTTTTTACACTTAATCCAAGTGTTTGTGCTATCTATGTGTTCCAACTGAAAGTACTCATGTTAATCTATCTTTGCTACTTCAAAGAGCCCCTCAAGTTTTGTATTTCTCAACTTTTGTAATTTCACTTTATTTGTACCTATCAACTCAAACTATCAAAAATAAAATTGTTAATGTATCATGATTTTGAGAGTAACTAATAGAGATCAAATGCGGTTTATTCAAGAATGGTAAATATATTTAAAAATGTAAATGGTTGTATAGTTGTGATATTTTTGCTAAAGTTTATAAACGCTAACCTAGTTGGACATTTTTTTATCTGTGAAGTTGTTGTTAGAGTACCTACCTGTCCTTATACTGGGTTTCTTTTGTGTGCACTGTTTGAAGGTTTTCACCTGATGAAAGTAAAAATAAAAGGAAGAAGAAATTCCAAAGAAACTTGAGTGGAGTCGTTTAATACCCAGTAGCGAGCCCTTTCCCTATCAAGTCAGGGGACTGTCTAATCACAGATTGACTTGACAACCATTGACAACTTGGTTTGTGGCTGAGAATGACGGAAATGTTATGTTGGCGCACTGCAGCATGGCTGGCCTTCATGAGGCTGTTTGTTTGTGGAGCACTGTTGTTTGCAGTAGAAGGAGGGTTCAGTTCCCTGTACCCAGGAGAAGAGCAAGTGGGTCATGCCAACGCCAACCTAATGTCAAACAAGTGCCCTATATTCCAATTTGCGAGATGGATTTCAAATCTGCAAAAACAAAACAAACAAAAACGTAAACCAAACAAGTCGGGGAAACGATAAAAACTAAATTTGTCCTTGTCACGCTTGTTGTTAGCAAAATGAAACACGACACAATCGAATGGCATTGCTTCAAAGAACTTAAATGACGCTTGAAAGACTCTGATGTGACATTAGAGAGTGTGGCCCTACAGCTACAGCAGCTGCAGCTGCAGCAGCTGCACCAGCAGCATGGCCGACCTCCGGTAAGCCGAACCTTTTTTCACAGGATGTGACGTCACGTGAAAGTCATCTATAGCAGCAAGGCCGGAGCAAAACACAAACCAAACACTCGCAGGGGGGTTTCCACTTCCTGTTTCTAATTTCTGTAGTTTTTTTAATGCTACTAACAGTTGCCACAGCAAAAAAAAGTAAAGTTGTCACAGAAATTAATCGCGCTGTTAAAAAGAATAACAGCGTTAATATTCATTTGTGTTAATGCGTTAAAAAAGGGGTTCATTTGGACAGAACTAATAATATTCCAAGACTATTCTTGTGAAACTATGACTGAAAGGGTTTATATATATGTATTAGAATATACCCAAAATACCACAAATCAGAAAATAAAAGAAAGAAAATGACAATCATGTAGTAAACTATGGTGATTCGGCACATGTTATAACACTCAAAGAGGCATTTGAAAATGTACAGTACATAGATCTATTTATTATTATCTATTTAAAGGAGCAATATGTAATATTTGCATGTCAAGTCATCATTAAATGACCCGAATATTTCAAAAGGCATTAATAAATCATGTTCTTTTCAAACACATCTTTAACTGATAACAGTAGTTCAGCCGAGATATTTGATCATCAAAATTAGTTTTACGACCCGTAAAAGTTGTTATTGTTTTGATGTTGATGTCCTACCCTCCGCCGTTTCGCCAATCAGGAAGTGTCATGTAAGTCCGTGATCGGGTTGCCAGAACTCCGCGCGGCTCATTAATCTCAGAGGTAAAATAACATGTGGCGTAGAACTAAAAAAGGTCTTGTTATGACTCTCAAATAATTAATGACAAAACAAAGACTAAAACGAGGATTTATATCGGGATGCCTTTGAACAATTGAGACGCTGATAAAAGTTCACGTGTGATGCAGAATTTTCTAGTTTGATTCCGTTCTTCTCAGTGTCTCATTCGTGTGTATCGGTGGCCTAGTGGTCTAAACTGTGCGCTTACGATGCAGGAACCCGGGTTCGATCCCAGGCTATGTCTTTTTGTATTTATTGCATGTTATCACATTCTATGACAGATTGCTCTAAAAACGGTAAAAGATGAAGGTCAAGACGTTTTTTTGCAGATTATAGCTTAATTGTAAAAATAATCATTTAAGACCACATGTACCCCAATTAAAATAATGTTAGTCTCTTTTTGATGTGGGACTTTTACATGTTTGTCTAAAAAATAGGGAATAAATAAAATTGAAAGGTGATATCCTCTTGAGCAAACCCTGATGTTGATACGCTGAAGAAATACGTTCCAACATCCATTCTTCAACAACATTCATTCAGCATTAGCACGGCTCATGGCAATGTGAATGGAGACGGACAAACAACTGATAAAATAATTCCCTGTGTTTGCTGCTGGATTTGGTGTGAATCTGGCAACCTGAGTCAGGGAGAGTGGGAGAGGACTACAAAATATGGACTGTGACTGCAGTACCACTTTTGGCCAGATTTTTACATATTGTTCCTTTTAAGATGTATTTATTTGTTTGTAACTTTTGTAATGAATGACATTACTCGTAGATTGTACTGAGAATTTTAAACCTCTGCTGGAGGCAGTATGATAGCTTTTGGTTAAGAACCTTGTACATGGCAGTGGCTGTATGAAGATATTGTGTGAGCTGATCTCCAGCTGCTTACAGAAGTGAGGCGCCTCAGGGAGCTGAAGCGCTCCTCCCAGCTAGCAGCTGCTTTGCGGAAAGCCTCGTGTCGCCGGATCAGCTGTTCCACCTCGTCCACGCTGGTGCCCAGTTCAGAGCTGTTAAGGAGGGGCTCCTGTGCCGTGAGCCAGGCCTCTGCCACCACAGCCTCCTGGGCAAACTGGTGCACCTCCAGCACTAAGACACATACCCATGAGAGGCCAGTCATCAGTCTGTTATGTGTCACCTCCAACTTAAAGAGGCCTGTACTCACACTGCTGCAGCGCCTCCCAGTGTCTGTCCCACTTCTCTGACAGGTCGTGCTGCTTGGACATCACCTTGTCCAGTTTGTCCTTGATCTGAACAAATCACATACATATTGTTGAAGTTGCTACAAATCAGAAACAATCAATTGCTGGGTTGCAACAACATGACCAAAAGGGGGCATGGCAAGGGGCTGTAGGACAGGAAGTGATTGTGTCTTTTTGTTCAAATGGGCGATGCGGGAAAATGCACACATAGGAGCGTTCCGTGGCTTAGTATCACACTAATTTTGAGTGGAAACTATTTTCGATGCAGCGTACGCCATCTAGAGTTTGAATAAGTCTAGTTTTTCCAACAATGAGGATTAAGCGGCTGTTATAGTGACGACAGTGGAGCTCGTCACTCTGGGATCGACAGAACCAAATACAACATGACATTCCCAATCAATACAACAAATAGAGCACAAATGTTACTTTTAACAACATTTGAGGCAAGAAATGTGACCCTTTATTGTCATTTTGGTGATTTGTTAAGCTGTAAATAATAAAAAGTGGAAAGTTCCGCTCCAGTGGAAAGCTCCGCAGCGTTAAGCTAACAGCGGGGGGCTGTAACGAACGCAGCCAATGGCTATCTATGTGAGAAGATTTGATTGTACAGCCTGCTTTTAGTGCACCTTGGTTTGAGATGACCTTTGGCATTTAAAAATATATTCATCAGTTCTTTCTCCCTGTTGCCTCAACCGTATGCCACACAAAAATACTGCATTGTATCTATGAAAGTCAGTGAAGTGAAGACTACGGACTGCCAGCAGTGTTTGTGGCAGATGCTAGGCAAGGCTAACACATTTTTTCCATTCCTTTTCAGGAATTTTCCTAAAAATTGACACCCGTTAGAGAAATAAATGTCAGCAAAGTTGAGACTCTATAAGTTCTCCACTTGATTAAGAGCAGTTGCCACAACTGTACACGCCACAGAAAAAGTCAATTTTGATTCGGAATCAGTGAATGTTTACATTGTTCTTAGTGGGGAGATTTACTTCCTGTTCCTCGGAGGACTTTCGAGCTGCTGCATGACTTCAGCTGCAACCCAGCAATACCACAACTATCATCAAGATAAAGATATCTTTACAGTAACCTGCCTCACCTCTGGGGATGCAGGGTTGCGGGCAGCGAGAAGAGTCTTGCCCATCTCCACACACTCCACCGTGCTGTGTCTGCGTGCCTCTACCTCACTCTTCAGGCTTTGATGGTAGTTCATGAGGACCTCCACAGAGGATACATCCCTGAGGGCACAGACAGCTCACAGACAGCTCACACACATGCAGGCTCTGGATAAACTCTGGTGAACCCTTGTGTACCTGGGTTTCTCCCCTGTGTCAATCTGGCAGATGATGGAGTCCATCCACATGAGTTGGTCCCTCACTAGGCTGAAGAAGCGCAGCTTGTCAGCCTCTGTGGTGATGTGCACGCGGCACTCTTCACAGCAGCTCAGAAGCTCCTTCCAGCACATCATCACCTCATGTTCCCGACAGGCGATGGCCTCAGCCTTCTCCCCTGCGTACACCGCACGCAGCTGGGCTGCACACTCCTGCACCTGCCGCACCTGCAATCAAACTGGACCAATGAGGCAAACTGCAGAACACCGACAGTATGTGGGTGTATATGTATACATCATGAGTGCTATCCACTCAGCCACCGTGCCGCCCTGGCCATGAGACCATGAACATACATATGGACATATGTAATGGGATTGAAAGCCTCAGAGTAAAAATGCTTAAGGTAAACACACACCAATTGGAATATTCTGACCCGATTATGCTCATTCGGGGTACAATTGAGAATATATAGATTATACAATTGAACTATCTACTAATGTTTTACATAGTTTTAGAAGAGCTTTATTCTTGATCTCACGTCTTATGGAGTATGAATAGGCCTAACAGCTCGACTGCAAGAGGGTAAATAAAATATCTGAAAATACGGCTCCTTTGGTCTTATAACTGAATTGTATCCAAGGAGATTCTATCACTGTGTAGCTTTGAGTGCACATGTGTACCGTATGTGCGTCTTTGATTACACGTTTGTGTGTATTTTTGAGCGCACACATGTGTGTGTGTATCTTTGAGCGCACATGTGTGTGTGTGTGTGCGTGTATCTTTTATCGCAGGTGTGTGTATCTTTGAGCTCTGTGAGTGTGTGTAGGCTGTATTAGGCAGCTCTGGGGTTTCGCACTTCACAGCAAGAAGATCCGATTCCACCTTCAGACCTTTCTATGTGGAGTTTGCATGTTCTCCCTGTGTCTGCTCCGGTTTCCTCCGGGTGCTCCTGTGTGTGCATGTGTGTGTGTTTGTGTGTGTGTGAGCGTACTTGTGTGACCAGGTGCTGGATGTCCTGCTCAAACGTGTTCAGCAGCCTCTGCAGGCTGCTGCTGTTGGTGCCCTGTCGTGCCTGGACCTCAGGTAGCCGTCGGTGTTTGTCTGAGATCTGGTTCAGAACCTGGCAAAGAAGGATTAAAGAATTAGTCACCAGCTGTTACACAGCAAAAACTCTAAAGAACTGAACAACTTAAGAGGGATCTTGAAATGGTGAGCTGGTTCGCAAGACAAGACAAAAAAACAAATGTGCACCTCTGAGGAGGCACATCTCAGATGTGAAACTGACTGCTTAACTGCCAGTCATTTATCAAACTCTATTTGATGACATCATCAAACAGGTCTAACCCTAAACAAATATTGTTCCCGTCTGTGTCTGTCTCGTAACTTTCCCTTCTTACTCACATTTTAATTAAACTTTTCTTTTGAATAAAAAAAACAAACGACAGTTGCAGCTAATTTCCACAGTAGGCGTTGACAGCGCGTACGCGTGGACTGCGCGCATCTGCGCATAACATTATTTGGGAGTATCTACACAGGCCGTGCACAGGTCCTTCTGATGCTGTCCCTGTGTAGTCTGTGGAGCAGTGCAGAGGACAGTACGGGCCAGAGACTAGACTAGACTAGACTAGACTAGACTAGTTGCAGATGTAGAGCAACACAAATCACATGTGTTTGTCTTCATGGTCTCCAATAGCCTTCAGCTTCAACATGGAGATGGTGGACCACTGAAGGACCCCATGATGCAACAAAGGACTGGTCTGCATCCATTGTCATCACGACCCAAGGACTCTGGTTGTATGATCTGCTCTGCTCCACACCGCTGTTGGCTCATTTAACACCTACAAGTCAAGCTAAGAACGCTTAGTCCCTGGATTGGCCAAGGCTACACATGGTAGCCTTGGCCAATCCATTCATGGACAAAGGCCTTGCTTTAGCCTTAGCATTTTAACTATGTATCTTGCAACGTTTCCTTCATGTTATTCTTGACGATTTGCATATTTCATATCTAATCTGTATTGTATATACTGATTTATAAAAGGATTCATACCTTCATATTCTATTGAAAAGAATTGGACTAACTAGCTCAGGGGTGTCAAACCGGTCCTCAAAGGGCCGGTGTGGCTGCAGGTTTTAGTTCCAACCTTACCAGGAGAACACCAGACTCCACCCATTTCCTCAGGTGAGACCATTTTTCACCTTAAGATTTGAGGAAATGGGTGGAGTCTGGTGTGCTCCTGGTAAGGTTGGAACTAAAACCTGCAGCCACACCGGCCCTATGAGGACCGGTTTGACACCCCTGAACTAATTAAATAATGAATTACTCATATGATTACAGAATCAATAAATGAGCCAATTAATAGATAAGGTGACGTCATATGCACATTATCAGTTGTAATTGATTCACTGGTGCCCAGAATAATAGCCATGATCAATTATTGTATTTACTACATGATTGTTTTTTATCCAATTCTCCTATATCAAATAAATAACTTAAGTTATGTGTGATATCGGCTTCAATAACCCCTACAGAATTATGCTGTTAATTATGCTAAAAGGGGATTACATGAAATTGGATGAAGGTGAGGAGCCCATTCAAAGATGTGATGAAAGATATGTTTACAACAGAGAAAATGACAGCAAGTATAAGGCTGGAAAGTTGAAAATTTTAAGAAATATGAAAACATTGGATGAAATGTGTGCGGACGATAAGACAAGATTTTATTTGAAAAGAGAATTTTAAATCCCCAAGTTTTGTCAAGCTACTTTTGTGTGTTATCTGTGTTATACTTTGTTTTTTGTTGTTTTAAAAAAAAACGTGTCAATGTAAAATGTGAAACACTGTAATGTACATGTCAAGTCCTTGAAAAATCAAACAATAAATGAAAAAAAAGAAAGGGAGTATGAGGGAAATTGGAAGAACACATGACTTTGGTGAACAGTACCGGACACAGACCCCGCAGAAAGATCTCAGCTCCTGTGGACTGGGTACAGCTCTGACTGCCAACTCCAGACCCAGAAATGGATTAAGGGGAAGAAAATGGATGGATGGACATTGACATTCGGACCACTTCAATTGTCTGAGCAAAGGGAGGGTACTTGTTTGAGTAGATTTCCTATTATTAAGTGTAGATTTACTTGAGTAATAATATTCAAGGGTGAAATGAGTCGTGTGAGTCTGACCTCTCTGCAGTCGGAAAAGAACTTGTGCAGCTGGTGTGAGGCAGACAGCATCTGTGCACGGGTCTCCATGAGCTCCAGCAGGTCGGCCCAGGCCTCATTCACAGCGTCCTTCCACTCAGCAATGGTGGCCGCCTCCGCATGCCCATAGTCGATCAGCTCGTCCACCATCTGATTTACCGCCAACACACGCTCCTGCCCAGTGCTGCCCGTGTCAGAGGCAAAAGCAGTGAACTTCTCCTGCAGAACCTGCTTAGAAAGAAGAAGCTTCATGTTGGTAACATGACCACATGCACACTATTACAATAGTTGGCAGCACGGTGGAACAGTGGATAGCACTTGTGCTTCACAGCGAGAAGGTCCTAGGTTCAATTCCCCCTACAGGACCTTTCTGAGCTCTTCCCGTGTTTGCGTAGGTTTCCTCTAAGTACTCAGGTTTCTCCTACCACTAAAAACATGTACAATAAGTGAGGGATGAATGAGTTTGTGTGTTTAAAAGTGTGACTGTGAGACTACAGCTGGAAAATAGCTTCATACTGTAGCTACAATGTAGTATATTTTACTTTTGACACATAATGTTGTATGGTTTACTTTTAAATGCGCTGGAAAACTGCAGCAAGTCCTAAGTAGCTCTGAAACGGTTGTGCTTTACAATTTTTATTTTTATTGCCTTTACCTGAGATGTTGCTGCAGTAAAGTGTCCATGGTTTTACACTGGTCCAGACCAGAGCAGAGAGGATTCATGGTTTTACACTGGTCCAGACCAGAGCAGAGAGGATTCATGGTTTTACACTGGTCCAGACCAGAGCAGAGAGGATTCATGGTTTTACACTGGTCCAGACCAGAGCAGAGAGGATTCATGGTTTTACACTGGTCCAGACCAGAGCAGAGAGGATTCATGGTTTTACACTGGTCCAGACCAGAGCAGAGAGGATTCATGGTTTTACACTGGTCCAGACCAGAGCAGAGAGGATTCATGGTTTTACACTGGTCCAGACCAGAGCAGAGAGGATTCATGGTTTTACACTGGTCCAGACCAGAGCAGAGAGGATTCATGGTTTTACACTGGTCCAGACCAGAGCAGAGAGGATTCATGGTTTTATACTGGTCCAGACCAGAGCAGAGAGGATTCATGGTTTTACACTGGTCCAGACCAGAGCAGAGAGGATTCATGGTTTTACACTGGTCCAGACCAGAGCAGAGAGGATTCATGGTTTTATACTGGTCCAGACCAGAGCAGAGAGGATTCATGGTTTTACACTGGTCCAGACCAGAGCAGAGAGGATTCATGGTTTTACACTGGTCCAGTCCAGAACAGAGAGGATTCATGGTTTTACACTGGTCCAGACCAGAGCAGAGAGGGTTCATGGTCTAAACTAAGTGGAACAAGTGAAAATTCACTGGAAGAATGCATGTTAATGAAGCATTTAGCATTATACTTTGGACTAGAGCAGAGAAAATGGTCCGAAACAAGTGGCTACTCCACCTTTTGACCCGTCCTCAAGCCCCGGTGATCCAAGATGGCGTCCTATTCAAACGAACGGCTTGTGCTCAGTGGCTCATGGGACTTCATGGAGACTGAAAGATTAGAGGAACTCGCCTATATTTGGGCATTGTCTGGTCCTCCCGGTTCTGCGCAGTGGACGAGCTCCCATGATGCTTTGCGCCAAATACGTGTGTGTGGCTCTCACGCACGTGCACAGAGGGGCTCAGCCTCGCTCTGACCAATCAGAGCTGATCAGAGCAGCAGCAGGGCGGAGTCAGAGCGGGAAGGAAAGGAGCAGAGTTTGTGGCACTAAAGTGTGGATTTAAAGAAAACAGAAGCATTTAAGAAGAAAAAAAGTTCAGGACGACAAGGGACACTAAAATCTCCACAAAATCTGATCTTTATGAAAGCTGTAGGTTCTCTGTCAGGTTCTCTGTCAGGCTCTCTGTCAGGCTCTCTGTCAGGTTCTCTGTCTGGTTCTCTGTCTGGTTCTCTGTCAGGTTCTCTGTCAGGTTCTCTGTCAGGTTCTCTGTCAGGTTCTCTGTCAGGTTCTCTGTCAGGTTCTCTGTCAGGTTCTCTGTCAGGTTCTCTGTCAGGTTCTCTGTCAGGTTCTCTGTCAGGCTCTCTGTCAGGCTCTCTGTCAGGTTCTCTGTCAGGTTCTCAGTCAGGTTCTCTGTCAGGCTCTCTGTCAGGTTCTCTGTCAGGTTCTCTGTCAGGTTCTCTGTCAGGTTCTCTGTCAGGTTCTCTGTCAGGTTCTCTGTCAGGCTCTCTGTCAGGTTCTCTGTCAGGTTCTCTGTCAGGTTCTCTGTCAGGTTCTCTGTCAGGTTCTCTGTCAGGTTCTCTGTCAGGTTCTCTGTCAGGTTCTCTGTCAGGTTCTCTGTCAGGTTCTCTATCAGCTGAGGTCGAGCTGGTTTAGTTTACATTGAGTTCTATGGGACTTTTTCTGGGTAGCCCGTGTGAATTTAGTCTGCAGTACCACAGCGCCCGGTCCGGGTGGGACAGCTGTAAGCTGTAATACTCTATCCAGTTATTATTATAGATCCATGCCTGTCCTGCTCCACCCAGCAGCTACTCCACATTTGCTGTTGTGACTTGTCAAAACAGTAGCAGTGTGCTTTCAAAGGAGCAGTTGACTGCTTAAACCAAACTTTACACAAAACTTTGACTCTTAAAACACACATATTACAACATATAACCATCAATATCTCGCCTCAAATTGTATCAAAAGTGACATTTGTGTCTTTGTTCGTTCGTATTTAAACTTTTAAAGCGATTCATGGACCTAATGTCTGCCATCTTGGTTTGCTTTGGCTGCCGGGAGAAGCGCATGCGCAGGTTTGCATTACATCATAAACAGCTGAGACAAGGCAGTGCAAACCGACGTTACACCTGCCAGCCTATTTCAGGACAGGTTCTCCCATAGTGCCAGCAGTTTCTGATGATTTTTTACTGATTTTTCAAACCCACAGAATATTGTACTATGACTATCTGAAATCTGATTCTGAAAGAAAGGACAGTCTACTTTCATCAGCAAAAATAATGTTGTTTCTAGCTTGTTTCGTTCCCCTGTAATCCTCAGTCGAGTAGAGGGAAGTTTTACTGAAATCACCAAAAAGCTGAGAAAAAGGAGGCACAAGTGCATCCTGTTTTCAAAACATACAGAGCTGGTGCCGCCTGCTGGCTCGATGAAATATGCTCTAAAGCTAATCCCCATACAATACTTTGACGTATTAGTGCGTCAATGGCACAAAACGAGTTAACATTTTCCTTGTATGTATAAAGACCATGCGCACATTTGTGATAGAATAGTTATACACAGTTCACACAGAATTATACATCTCAACTGTGGCCAAAAAAAAAAACAATACACAGGTGAGTGTATTCATTTACTGGACAAAGTTCAACCATTAATTTGCAAAGAAGCTGAGATAGCTGTATCTCACCGTGACATGCTCGTAGTCCTGGCCCAGCTCTGGTGAACTGGCCACCACCTCTCTCTGAGCAATCCACTGCTCCAGCTCGTCCACCTCGCGGTTCAGCTGGTACAGCCAGTACTGCTGCTCCAGGCGGCTCTTGCGCTCCTCCACCAGGTCCTTCAGAGACACATAGAGACGGTCCACCTGCGCCTGTCGCTTACTGATGCGCTCACTGCAACACACACACACACACACAAATATCAAAATGCAACCATCTTCTCTGAGCTTCTACTAGAATGTTCTCATGTTCTCTACTTAGCAGTAGGCTGAGCTACAGCCGGTATGTGTAATGGGTGGAAGTGCAAAAGAGCTGTGTGCACCAGTCTGGGTGGCCCATCTCCAACAGCTGTCTGCACTGCTGGGACAGCAGGCCGATGGTCTCAGCATAGTCTTCAATGGTCTGCTCTAGAACCAGGTGTTTTTTCAGCAGCTGCAGTGTGCTGGGCTCGTCCTGGGCACAGGGTGGTCTCACATTAGTCCGGACGTATATCATTCGTAGACGTGTGTGCACAGAGGCCTCGCCCACCTTGCCCTTCTCCTCGTTCATCATGTGCAGCTCTTGCTCACTGAGCCAGGCCTCCACCTCAGCCGTGTCAAAGTAGTACTGTTGAGCCTGGTACATTGCATCCAGCACCAGCTGCCTGCGCTCAGTCTCTGCCCACAGCAGCGTCCAGTGCTGGGACAGCTGCTCCAAACCGACCCTTGCGCTGTCGGCCTGTGGGCTGCGCAGAGAGGCGATGAATGCTGCCCGCTCCAACACGTCATCTACTCGGCTTCTATGGCCCTCCAGCTCCCTCTGCAGACTCTGCACACACAGGAGACTTTAGACACAGCTCGAGACTAGACTCTGTCCTGCCTCTGTCGCACTGCACCTGGTTCTTCTTCATCAGCTGCTGCACGGCCTGCAGACTACCCCCATGCTCCTGAGACATGGCCAGTGGGAGGCGCTCTTGTACCCACAGCTGCAACACACGCACATCAATCAATCAATCAAACACTTTATTATCTCACAATGGTGAAATTCAGTTCGATGAATAAACATCAAGGCTGGCCGCGTACACTATTTTCATATTTCCGCGCTCCTTATGACAGTTATTCAACAGCAGAGAGCAAAACAAAACATATATTTCAAACAGACATTATTGGAGAGATACAGAAAACATGCAGATCTTTTTGATGGGACGTTGCTCTGACCCGCCTCGTCCAATGTTGAGAGAGAGGCAGACCATGTAGTAGGGAGGGGGAGTGGTGAACTGGTGAACTGAGAGTCTGTGAGTTATGAGAGAGAGTCCATCCTTGGCCTTGAGTAGTGGAATGTGGAGGTCAATAGATAAGAGCAGTACCTGCAGACATGGGAGACAAAACAACATGTATTCCTTGTGGGAATTTTTAAAGCACTTTAGCTGGTCGGATCAAAGGCAGTGTAAACTTTAAAGCCAATTAGGTCTAAATTATATCATATCTGGATCCGTTAACCGTTATCCAGAGTTGACCTCGTCAGTGCGAGATTCTGGCATGAGGCCCAAGTCCATCCAACTTCTCCTCCAAACGTTTATGTCCTTGCATCTTAAAGAGAATGTTCGATCTGTATCACACACCGTTGTGTCCCCATTCCGCTCTCAGCCACGACTCTAGTCAACTCTACTTGTTTTCCGCGGAAAGCTTCTCTCATACATTTTCTGAGTAGACATTCCTCCAACTTTGCGGTAGATCAAGCCAACTCCAAACCCAATCAGGAGGAACCCTGCTACCATAAATCCAAAAATGTATATATCCTCAATGTCCTCGATGGACAGTCCCGACAGACAAACGGGGTGCCACTTTTGCCAGTTGTCGTAAACGTACCCAGCAGCCGCCGTACCGTCCGGACAGACGGCATCTCCAGAACCGAAAAAATAGTATCAATTGCACTGAGGGACCAGTTGATTAATTCCATCATTTGTTAAATTGTACACAGGCAGCACTCAAGGAAAAAGACGATCAGGGCAAGCAGAGCAGGAGCAGAGAGAGACACGTCTGCACTCGACAAGGGCAGGAGGAAGTATGTTTTTCTATTATTGTATTAACTCAGATAGAGGTTTCTGCCATCACTAAAGTAATATCAGACACAATCAAACTCACAATCTCGTCTTCCAGGTCCCGACCAACTTGGTGCAGTTCTTTAGAGGCCAACAGGAGGCGCCGTCTCTCCTTGAGAGGTTCAATGAGGCGCACCATGCGGGCCTCCACGGCCGCCTGCCGCTGCTCCACGCTGCCTTTTGTGTGGCCCTGCTCTGGGAGCGAGCACGTCTGGTTCTGCAGCTGTCCCGCCTCTACACACCACTGCTCCACCTGGCTCTCCATGCCCTGTCAGGAGGGCGCCAAGGCAACCACAAACAACAAGTCATGGACATGCGGTTAGTGTTAGAAAAGGACATGTGGATGCAGGCAATGAAAACCTCTACTCATTTTTACTTTTAGACCACGGGAGTATTCATTAAAATAAATTAAAACAGCACAGAAGCCCTATGTCAGATGAGACAACTAATTTCTATAAAACATAATTAAGATATATTTCAGATTTGACTTAAATATTGCCAGCTTTCCCTAGTTTTAGACATAGGACACAGATCTGGAATAGAAATACACACACGCACACGCACACCCCTTATCTTAATCATGTGTGAATAGAGTTTATTTGGGTCGATTCAAAGGTTGATTCACATAGGAAATTACTTGAAAATAGTAGCTCACATAAAGCCTATATAAAACATTTACATATGATCAATGTGGTCCAATGAAAGCAAATAATGAATATAGCAAAAAAACTAAAAAGTTAAATAAGTGGCCTACAAACATGCGGACAAACTGAAATATAGAAAATAACTCTTATCTTTCCCAATAATGGAATCAAACATTTCCTGTTGTCTGTTTGAGACTTTGTTGTTACTGCAAATGGCAAATAGATTAATCTGAATCTGGTGTGAATCCCTGAGGGGACACGTGCAGTACTGTACCCCGTCAGCAGAGAGCAGTAAACCAGTGCAGTGCTAAAGAAGCAAAAGCAGCATGCGGTGGTGGGCGCCCCCTGGAGCCCGCCGGTGTCTCTGGGGTCTACCAATGAGACTGGGTGGACATGAATGCAGATGACTGAAGAAGAACCATCCAAACAAAGCAAAATGAAAGAGACGTGTTGAGAACTGAAAATCAAGGCATAAAAACAAACATTATATCATAAATGAGTGATGTGAATGGTGATAGCTCTGTATGGCAGCCCAGTCAGGACTGAAGTATTTTTGTGAATAAACAAATGTTTTAGGATTTAGAAGGGTCGACTGAAAAATCCATAGATTTAGTCAGAAATGGACACAACATTAATTACACTAATTAATTGCAAACTGAGCATAATCACAATGGCCCTCATTTATGAAACTTGTGCAGAAAAGGGTGTACATTTTGGGTGTATATTCCTAATACTCAAGATCCAACGTGGGATTTATGAAGGTGTGAGATCCGCCTGCACGCCATGCAGCAACAGCCTGTTTCACGCCCCGTTTTTACAACATATCTGAATTGATATCTGAAATATACGCTATATTCAGCTGCGTTTCCATTGAACACATTTTCTAAACTTTTTTTAAACATTGCAAAAATCTCTTTTGAACTTTAGAAGTGAATAAATAAATAAATAATGAATGAATATCTGTGGCTCTCATTGTTAACTAATGAATGTGATAGAGCGCTGTACACCTGAGAGGATGAGAAGTGATGTCTTTTAAATACATTTCGATTTTCTGTCATCCATGTATCAACATCTATGAAAATATGAAATTCTATATTTTATTATGAAATGTTTGCATAAAAAGTCTTTTGTATAATGTTTAGCCTGAGTCTAGTGAATTCAGGGAATCCTCAAGGACAAGGTTGGTTTCTGTGATATAAGTATCATTTTAGGAAACAGAGCATGCCTCCCTTATCGGGACAAGGGATAAGACCCAAAACCAGACCAGACCAGACTCAAGGGACTGGAAGAGATTCAGATGACGTAAGCGGAGGCACTTCATATTCATCTAGACATTTTCATAAAACTGTTGGTAGGACATTTTGTAGGGCAGTCTGAGCAGAGACAGAGAGAGGACTTCTCAGAGCCTGGTTGTCCTCGCTCATGTTCAGGCCTGGAGGGATAGGGCTCAGCTCATAGGGTTATTTAGGGAAATAAGAGCGCCGAGAGTTTTGCATTAATATTTAATTGTAAAGAGAATTAAATGTTGATTGATTTTGAACTCTTGAATGCTTGATTTTATTTCTGTATCAAATTCTGAGACACGTTTGTCGTTCTTTTGACAATAGAAGCTTTTGGGAAGTAGTGGTATATGATTTCACAAAGAAACTCTGGATCCAAAACTTCTGAATGACGCGCACCACATTTGAGGAGTTATGCGGTGGGACCTCTCGTGGCGCCCGCTGCGCACTGCTCAAAAGAACCACTGCCCATGAATGAGCCCGTTCCCACGGATAAGCGCGTTGCCATCCGATCTATAAACTACACATGTGGACAGGGCAGAGACATTTGGAGTGTGAAGACCACAGTCCATCGGTTTATGGGGTGTGTGAGGCTTTCACAAAACTAATGAAAAAATTAGGGCTGTCAAAATGATTGCGTTAACTCATGTTAATTAAATTTTTCATTCACCTTTTTACGCATTTAACACATAACCGAATGACCCGCCCATGTACCCCATAATATCACTCAGAATGCCGCGGGGCACTTACTTCTGACTCGGGGCAGCTGCGGCCGCTCTGGACAGAGGTTCCCACCTCAAGCGGCTGTGAGCCGCTAACAACAACACGTCGAATGGCGCCGCGGTAACGTGACCAAGACCAGACACGCACAGGACTATTCTCTGCATGTTGTGTGCGTCTTTACGTAACCTGTGCGTAACCTGTGCACGCAAACACACCGCTGAAGCTAAACTCTGGAGCCTCAGGAAGTGTCCGTGTCTCCTCCTGAAACGCAACTGAACTCGCTAAATTAAACCTGGGGTATGTACATTTTTCTTTTAGCTCATGTTGGTTGTGCTCAAAAGTAAAAGGTAGTGAGCAAATCAAACAGATTTAAGTACATTTGGTATGAATGACAATGTGTCATTACATTTGATAATCTCATTCAAATTCAATTGGATTTGAAATAGAATGTTAAAAATGCGATTAATCACCATTACTATGCGATTATTCAACAAAAAATGTTGTGACAGCCCTAGAAAAAATACATTGCTTTGCCAGAGGTGAAAACAAATAGCCATGCGTTACGCAGCGCAGGGTCTGTCACAGGTTTACAGAGCAACAGGTGGTCACACATCTCTGTAGTTTAGGTTAGTGAGTAAGTAAAGTGTATCTGTATAGAGCCTTTCACAGTCCAGGATCACAAAGCGCTTCACATTTAAAAACATATAGATCAAAATAACAGATTTTTCTGTTTTTCTGCAAATTCACATTTCGAAATTTGATGCTCAATGGAAACGCAGCTCATGATTTTACCAAAGTGGAAATATTTTGTCCAAATCTTGAGGTTCATGCGTGTCTTGGCGTGTTGGGATGAGCGTACACATTTACACCACCTCCAGACTTGGCGTATATTCTGTGCGAACTGTACGCTCACGTCCAGATCCCGAAAGGTGTAAATATTCTGCGTACGCCTCATTTACACCCTGATATGGCCGTAAGTTACATAAATGAGGGCCAATGAATGCTGATAAAGACCTTTAATGACTCAGAATGGTGGGTTTATCACTTCAGACACATTCATATTGCACTTTATTTGAGCTCTCCTATGTTTACTGCAATAGTGTAAGAATATTGTCAATAACTGTTACTGACTATTTTAGAATCTACACTTTCAGAAAGTATCAATAACTAAATAGGTGGACTTTGCCTGCCTTTTTACAGTTTAACACATATTATGGCACTTGCCTTTATCACTACGTGACTTTAAATGTAACTAAATGTCCCCCCCCTGCCATACCCCACCTTGGCCTGCTCACCTGCAGTCTCTTGAGCTGCTTGTTGACACTGGTCAGGTCCTGGCCCTGGTCCACGTAGCCCAGCTGCTCCTCCAGATGCTCCAGGCGCTGGTCCAGGCTCTCGTAGCTCTGCACCAGGAGTTCTGCCTTGTTGGCCTCAAACAGCTGCCTGGCCCGGGCCTGGGTGGTGCTCTCCAACTCGAGCCAGCACTGCCTCATCTCCTGCAGCTTCCTCTGGACCCCTGTGCTTAGCTCTGGCTTCTCCGCCATCAGCTGCTGACCCTCCTTAGCACAGCAACAACAACATTTAATTGGTTACTGACATTAAAGTCTCAATCATAATTTTCCCAAATTTTAGGAAAGAACCACCCTCTCCACTGTATGTGACACTTGTTCAAGATTGTTTTGAGCTGAGAGCTGATTGGCTGAGTGAGAGCAGCCTCTATATTTAACTTCTCTGTCTGAAAAAGCCAAAATGCACATGAAAACCAGAAATATAACCAAGCTGTTTTGAGAGCAAAGACCTTGTGACATTGATGTTATTACAGTCTTCCATTCATGTGGTTTAAAAATGATGGAATCCAGCTTTAACTGGTATCCTTCTCATTAAAGAATTGGTGATGGCATAATTGCAGATGGGGCAGGTGAGCACTGGACCCTTCAGCCGGAGTGTTGGACATGACTGACAGCACAATTCCTCACAATCCCAGTCCCTGGTCCTGTCAGTCCAGACAAGGTGGTCCAGACTCAATAGAGCCAGGGCTAGAACCAAACAGGGGAGCACCAATGACCATCACTCCCAATAAATGTTGGTGTTGAAAGAATCACACGCCTTCTCTTAAAGACGTGGCCTTATTACGCAAAACGTCAATTTTGAGCTTTTAATTATACATAGTATCAAGTATTGGATCGGTGCCTCTAAAAATCCAGAATCAGGCCCAGAGCCTGGTCCATCCACGGGCTCTGATTAGAGAGGAGCATGGGGGTGACCTTCACACATGAGTGGGGCACACAGGGCCAACAAGAGTGGTGGTTGCATGGTAACCGAAACATCACAGCTCAGCCCTTCCTATTTTTATTGTGTCTCCAGAGTGAGCCAAAGAGGGTGCTGTCCGCTCAGCTAACATGGTCCGCAGCACTCAACTCTGGTTCAGCTCTGCTTCTCCGACGCAATTGGGCTTTTCTCATAAAACCGCTCTGCCGACTCCTGTCTCAGTATACATACAGACTTCTCTTGTCTCAGTATACATACAGACTCCTCTCCTGTCTCAGTATACATACAGACTCCTCTCCTGTCTCAGTATACATACAGACTCCTCTCCTGTCTCAGTATACATACAGACTTCTCTTGTCTCAGTATACATACAGACTCCTCTCCTGTCTCAGTATACATACAGACTCCTCTCCTGTCTCAGTATACATACAGACTCCTCTCCTGTCTCAGTATACATACAGACTCCTCTCCTGTCTCAGTATACATACAGACTCCTCTCCTGTCTCAGTATACATACAGACTCCTCTCCTGTCTCAGTATACATACAGACTCCTCTCCTGTCTCAGTATACATACAGACTCCTCTCCTGTCTCAGTATACATACAGACTCCTCTCCTGTCTCAGTATACATACAGACTCCTCTCCTGTCTCAGTATACATACAGACTCCTCTCCTGTCTCAGTATACATACAGACTCCTCTTGTCTCAGTATACATAGACTCCTCTCCTGTCTCAGTATACATACAGACTCCTCTCCTGTCTCAGTATACATACAGACTCCTCTCCTGTCTCAGTATACATACAGACTCCTCTTGTCTCAGTATACATACAGACTCCTCTTGTCTCAGTATACATACAGACTCCTCTCCTGTCTCAGTATACATACAGACTCCTCTCCTGTCTCAGTATACATACAGACTCCTCTCCTGTCTCAGTATACATACAGACTCCTCTTGTCTCAGTATACATACAGACTCCTCTCCTGTCTCAGTATACATACAGACTCCTCTCCTGTCTCAGTATACATACAGACTCCTCTCCTGTCTCAGTATACATACAGACTCCTCTCCTGTCTCAGTATACATACAGACTCCTCTCCTGTCTCAGTATACATACAGACTCCTCTTGTCTCAGTCTACATACAGACTCCTCTCCTGTCTCAGTATACATACAGACTCCTCTCCTGTCTCAGTATACATACAGACTCCTCTCCTGTCTCAGTATACATACAGACTCCTCTCCTGTCTCAGTATACATACAGACTCCTCTTGTCTCAGTATACATACAGACTCCTCTTGTCTCAGTATACATACAGACTCCTCTTGTCTCAGTATACATACAGACTCCTCTCCTGTCTCAGTATACATACAGACTCCTCTCCTGTCTCAGTATACATACAGACTCCTCTTGTCTCAGTATACATACAGACTCCTCTCCTGTCTCAGTATACATACAGACTCCTCTTGTCTCAGTCTACATACCAGACTCCTCTCCTGTCTCAGTATACATACAGACTCCTCTCCTGTCTCAGTATACATACAGACTCCTCTCCTGTCTCAGTATACATACAGACTCCTCTCTTGTCTCAGTATACATACAGACTCCTCTTGTCTCAGTATACATACAGACTCCTCTCCTGTCTCAGTATACATACAGACTCCTCTTGTCTCAGTATACATACAGACTCCTCTCCTGTCTCAGTATACATACAGACTCCTCTTGTCTCAGTCTACATACAGACTCCTCTTGTCTCAGTACACATACAGACTCCTCTCCTGTCTCAGTATACATACAGACTCCTCTTGTCTCAGTATACATACAGACTCCTCTCCTGTCTCAGTATACATACAGACTCCTCTTGTCTCAGTCTACATACAGACTCCTCTCCTGTCTCAGTATACATACAGACTCCGTCCTGTCTCAGTATACATACAGACTCCTCTGTCTCAGTATACATACAGACTCCTCTTGTCTCAGTATACATACAACTCCTCTCCTGTCTCAGTATACATACAGACTCCTCTTGTCTCAGTATACATACAGACTCCTCTTGTCTCAGTATACATACAGACTCCTCTCTCATGTCTCAGTATACATACAGACTCCTCTTGTCTCAGTATACATACAGACTCCTCTCTGTCTCAGTATACATACAGACTCCGCTCCTGTCTCAGTATACATACAGACTCCTCTTGTCTCAGTATACATACAGACTCCTCTCCTGTCTCAGTATACATACAGACTCCTCTCCTGTCTCAGTATACATACAGACTCCTCTCCTGTCTCAGTATACATACAGACTCCTCTCCTGTCTCAGTATACATACAGACTCCTCTCTGTCTCAGTATACATACAGACTCCTCTCACCTGTCTCAGTATACATACAGACTCCGCTCCTGTCTCAGTATACATACAGACTCCTCTTGTCTCAGTATACATACAGACTCCTCTTGTCTCAGTATACATACAGACTCCTCTCCTGTCTCAGTATACATACAGACTCCTCTCCTGTCTCAGTATACATACAGACTCCTCTTGTCTCAGTATACATACAGACTCCTCTCCTGTCTCAGTATACATACAGACTCCTCTTGTCTCAGTATACATAGACTCCTCTTGTCTCAGTATACATACAGACTCCTCTCCTGTCTCAGTATACATACAGACTCCTCTCCTGTCTCAGTATACATACAGACTCCTCTCCTGTCTCAGTATACATACAGACTCCTCTCCTGTCTCAGTATACATACAGACTCCTCTCCTGTCTCAGTATACATACAGACTCCTCTCCTGTCTCAGTATACATACAGACTCCTCTCCTGTCTCAGTATACATACAGACTCCTCTCCTGTCTCAGTATACATACAGACTCCTCTCCTGTCTCAGTATACATACAGACTCCTCTCCTGTCTCAGTATACATACAGACTCCTCTTGTCTCAGTATACATACAGACTCCTCTCCTGTCTCAGTATACATACAGACTCCGCTCCTGTCTCAGTATACATACAGACTCCTCTTGTCTCAGTATACATACAGACTCCTCTTGTCTCAGTCTACATACAGACTCCTCTCCTGTCTCAGTATACATACAGACTCCTCTTGTCTCAGTATACATACAGACTCCTCTTGTCTCAGTCTACATACAGACTCCTCTCCTGTCTCAGTATACATACAGACTCCTCTTGTCTCAGTATACATACAGACTCCTCTCCTGTCTCAGTATACATACAGACTCCTCTCCTGTCTCAGTATACATACAGACTCCTCTTGTCTCAGTATACATACAGACTCCTCTCCTGTCTCAGTATACATACAGACTCCTCTTGTCTCAGTATACATAGACTCCTCTTGTCTCAGTATACATACAGACTCCTCTCCTGTCTCAGTATACATACAGACTCCTCTCCTGTCTCAGTATACATACAGACTCCTCTCCTGTCTCAGTATACATACAGACTCCTCTCCTGTCTCAGTATACATACAGACTCCTCTCCTGTCTCAGTATACATACAGACTCCTCTCCTGTCTCAGTATACATACAGACTCCTCTCCTGTCTCAGTATACATACAGACTCCTCTCCTGTCTCAGTATACATACAGACTCCTCTTGTCTCAGTATACATACAGACTCCTCTCCTGTCTCAGTATACATACAGACTCCGCTCCTGTCTCAGTATACATACAGACTCCTCTTGTCTCAGTATACATACAGACTCCTCTTGTCTCAGTCTACATACAGACTCCTCTCCTGTCTCAGTATACATACAGACTCCGCTCCTGTCTCAGTATACATACAGACTCCTCTTGTCTCAGTATACATACAGACTCCTCTCCTGTCTCAGTATACATACAGACTCCTCTTGTCTCAGTATACATAGACTCCTCTCCTGTCTCAGTATACATACAGACTCCTCTCCTGTCTCAGTATACATACAGACTCCTCTTGTCTCAGTATACATACGGACTCCTCTCCTGTCTCAGTATACATACGGACTCCTCTCCTGTCTCAGTATACATACAGACTCCTCTCCTGTCTCAGTATACATACAGACTCCTCTCCTGTCTCAGTATACATACAGACTCCTCTCCTGTCTCAGTATACATACAGACTCCTCTTGTCTCAGTATACATACAGACTCCTCTTGTCTCAGTATACATACAGACTCCTCTCCTGTCTCAGTATACATACAGACTCCTCTTGTCTCAGTATACATACAGACTCCTCTTGTCTCAGTATACATACGGACTCCTCTCCTGTCTCAGTATACATACAGACTCCTCTCCTGTCT